ACGCAGAGGGCCTTCTTGGGAGTGGCGCCCACCCTGTGGAATGCCATCCCATCATATATTAAGGAGATGAGTAATTATATAACATTTAGGAAACATCTGAAGGCAGCACTACATAGGGAAGCTCTTCAAGGATTAATGTTTTACTATGTTTTACAATGTATATATGCTGAAAGCTGCTCAGAGTGGCAAGGACAACCCAGTCAGATGGGTAGGGTACAAATAATAAATTACTATTATTAATTATTAGTTGGGACTAGTAGAAATTATAGAAAGATGCAATTTAGGGTTTACTAATATATATGATTTATTGGTAACCATTTCCTTCATTATTGCTGCTCATTTATAAATTGCTCTCGTCGATTTTTCAAGAAAAAATAGTCAAAAATATTTTTGTCGCATATATATAACAAGAGTAATGGTACTAGTATAATCTTTGCCTTAACTATTTTGAAAGGTACCATTCACCCTTATGGAATAATATGAAAATTAAGCTGGTGCCATAAGTGGACAAGGCTATATCAACAGGCAAGATTCTTAGTAGAAGAGAGCCATTCATATAATGGACTGTAATACTATCTGCCACTGCTAAAATTCACACACAACTAGTTGAACTATTTTTTAATGAGTGCTTTTATTGTGCAGAAAGAGAAACCCAATAGCATAGTGGGAACTTTAGTATTCTGTTTAAGATATCATTACACCTTCACAGCCAATTGAACAATTTCTCTTACCATCATTTTTTCAAATAGTGATAGGATCTCCCCGTCTGATAAAGGATTAGGAATGAAGTCATCCAAATCTGTAGATGTAGGCCAGCTGCTGGTTGTAGAATGCAATTGTTTCAGATTCATTATAGTTGGTCGATCTTTTTTGCTCCCAGGAATTCGTATACTTGAAAATCTATCAAACTGAACAAGAACTAAAAATGAATATGTCTAAAGTTCATATTATACACAGTGCATCCTAAAAATACTTCTTATACATGGGATCAGTAGTATCTCTTTACAGTAGCACTGAAATACAAAAAAGCAAAAACATTTTTTAAAAAAAATGTTGTATACCTAGTACTATTTCATTCCTACCATCATTAGGTGACTCCGACTCATTGTGGCTTTGCTTAGACAAACACTCAACTTTGGTTTGATATTACAGGACTGAGCCTGGACGAGCCAGGTTGTACTTTGTCTGATATAGGTACCTAGTTTATGGGTACTCCCAGCTTTGTCACTTGAAGTTCAGGTTACCTCAGTAGCTACAACCGCATTTTACCAGCATCGTTTGGTACATCAGCTGCAACCATTATTGGATTCGGATAGTTTGGCTGCATGGGTTCAAGCATCACTAGCCCTGAATATAAAGTATTGTAACTCACCCTTTGGAGAGCCACCCTTGAAGCTGGTTTGTAAGCTGCAGCCACTGAATAATTCTGTAGTCTAGATGTTATTGGGCATTAGCTACTGACACCTGCGTTGTATGTCAGCATGCTACCAAGCATGCTATCAAGGTAAGTATATAAAGTCCTGAACAACATGGCACAAGTGTACTTTAAAAACTGCCATATTCCTTATACCCCTGCCCATACTTTGCAATTTGCTGCTGTGGCATATCCAACCACATGTGGCGGTCTTCAACAAAAAAAATGTACATTAGTATGGTGATACTGGGATTATGCAACTCTCTACCTAATCAGCAATAGCTTTATTCAACAAACCAAACTAAATATAAACTACAGTTTAGGGTTCTAAAATAATTAAATAAGCAGTTGACTGGACACACAAGTTAAAGCTTCCAATCTCCTCACAGCAGTACTAGAAAGGTGATCTGGAATGCAAGCCTGAAGTAAACTTAGGCTCATACACATAATTCTAAACTATAATTTAGTATCATGCCCAAAGAAGTTAATAGGACCCCTAAATACATTCCTGCAGCAAAATCTTGCAATGCAAAATACCTAAAAATAAGGTAGGACCCAGGACTGTCATCTATAACTCTGACCTCCCAGACGTAGAAAGTTGTTAGCTGAATAGATACAGTGGTGCCTCGCAAGACGAAATTAATCCGTTCCACGAGTCTCTTCGTCTTGCGGTTTTTTTGTCTTGCGAAGCACGGCTATTAGCGGCTTAGCGGCTATTAACGGCTTTAAGAAAAAGGAAACAAACTCGCAAGAACTCGCAAGACGTTTCGTCTTGCAAAGCAAGCCCATAGGGAAATTCGTCTTGTGGAACGACTCAAAAAACGGAAAACTCTTTCGTCTAGCGAGTTTTTCGTCTTGCGAGGCATTCGTCTTGCGGGGCACCACTGTAATGGAGAATTCCAGCCAAAACACAATAAACAGGACATCTCTTTCATAAGTGTGGAAGCATGGTTAAAGCATAGTTAACCAATGGCACACTCAACTTATTGGCTTGGTTTGCATGAACAATGCTTAGGATACCCATTTATTCCTCCTATACTTGTTTTGTCAAAAACTATAGTTTATCACTACATCCAATCTGGGCAAACTATTATTTACAACCAAACATTTAATTCCCAATTCTAGTTTACAAGCAAACTTGCCACAGCAAATTGTAGGATGCCACAGCAAATTGTTATAGTTTTTATTGTTATTATTTCTTACTCACATTTATCCATTTATTGGTTCACTTACCCATTAACTAAAGAAAAAATATGAGATGGCATTATGGGCAGCGGGACAGCACATTAGCCCTAGGCAAGTTCATGTAACACAAAATCATTATTTGGCATTACATCTGAAGTGAGTTACTGCATTTCAGTTAAGTGCCAAATCTGAATGACAAAAAGTGTTTATTTTACAAAGCAAGTTCCCGTTATCTGTGTGGTAAAACATACAATTAGTCACAGCAGAATAAAAGCAAAATAATCTTACCACATCATCTGTCAGTGTCTTGATGTGCAAATGCTGTAAATAAAGAAACAAGCTCTTAATGCAGTTCAGATAGTCTACCAAAAATTAGCAAAGAAATTCTAGGTATAATTTCACTATGCAAGCAATATTCCTTCACTTTCCATCATCATATTGGTCTCTGTAAATGTGGAGGTAATCCTGATGATACCCCACTAGACAACCTCAAGAACCCATTCCATGGAACATCCACAAGTCCCTGGCCTCCTTGGCTTGGCTTGAGTGGCAGTAAGTGAAGAAGAACTGCCCCTGCTGCCCCCCTTTTTAAACCTGCTTATGCCCAGAAAAGCTAGCAGATAAGGAGACAACCATCCCTTCCCTGCGAACTCTGTATGAACTTGTGGCTAAGAGTCCCCTTTATCAGTATCAGAATAAAACACCCTAGGGCAGTGGTTATCAACCAGTGTGCCTTGAATGCTGGTCAGGTGTGCCGTGGGCAACACTGGCCTCCATCTCTCTTTCCTTCCTTCCCTCCCTCCTCTGATGCCCTATTGCATCTCTGCCTCCCAAAGGCTTGCATGGCTGTTTGTTGCAGCAGCCCTGGCTCTGGGGCTGGCCAGGGGCTGCTGGTTGCCAGGAGCTGAGGCAGCCTCGGAGGAAGCAAGCAAGTGGATGAGGGAGCCCAGCCAGTCTGCCAGCCCTTGCTGTTGGGAATGGACAGACAAGTGGGAGGCTGGACAGGCAGACAGACAGACAGGTGCAGTGCTGGCCTTTCCTGTGCTTGCTGTGTGCAAGGCCTGCCTGAGAGCTGAGTGTCCAGCCCTGAAGAGGAGCCTTTCCGCCATGCAGGCCCAGCGGTGCCAGCTGCTGCCACTCAAGGTAAGATGCTGGCCTCACATTCTCTTTCAGCCAGTCTCCGTTGGGCTACTAAGGCTGGGGACATCCTCTTCTGAGGCCCCAGTGGGATGTCGTGAGGAGGCACCTCTCTTTGGGGCAGAGTGCGGCTGGCTCAGAGACGGGGGCAGCTTCCCTAAGAAGATGGGAGAGGAGGCTGAGGAAACACTCCCCAAAAGAAGGATGTTTGGAAAGGGATGAGGGGCTGCTGGCTCTGCAGGCAAGGGGGACCAGACTGGGCTTCTGAGGCTTGGGGCATCTTTCCCCACAGGGGAGCTGCAGAAAGAACGCGGTTCATCAAGGGACTCACAAAGCCTGAAACCCTCTGCCCGACAGCATCTCTAGAGATGCCTGAACACCCTTCTCCCAATTGGCCTCATGCTGAAAGAAAAAGCCTTCCTTGAGCTTTTGCATAAATATCCTAGTTATAGGGTTTTTTTATATTAAAAAACCTCACCCTTAAAGCGGTTTACAAAAAGAAAACCCAGAAAAATGCACAGCATTCAGAGCTGGTCTAACTTTCCCAGCCTATGGGTGGCTTGCCTAACCAATTCTCTTTTTCGGCAGCTGCAGTCAAGAGTCAAGGCGCCTCCTGGACCTCAAGAGGCAGCCAGTTCCGAAGGAAAGTTCCTGGGCAGCGTAATGGGGGGGGGGGGGTCCCCAACCCCCTCGTGAGGGAAATCAGGTGCGCGTTGTTGTTTTTCGAAAAGAGGTATTTTCCAAAGAGGGGCCTTGGGGAGGGAAGGAGAGGCTCCCGGGAGCCCAGAGCTGCCTCAGGCTACTCACAAACTTGGGCTTTTTACTGCTGCTGCCGCCGCCTCCGCCCGCCGCCGCCTCCCAGCCGGGCTCGTCTCCGTCGCCGCGGAGCATCCTGCTCCCTCCTCGGCCCTTCTTCCCTGGCGGCGCCCCCGGCTCCATGGCAGCCCCTCGCCCGGCGCGCGCTCGGCCGAGGAGAAGGCCGTTGACCAGGCCCCGCCCCCGCCCTCTCGCCCGCGCGCCCCGGGCCGTTGAAGCGCCCGCCCCGCCCGGGCTCGAATCCCAGACATCCGAATCTTCCCGCCACGGACTCCCCGCCCTCCCTTCCCGGCCCGCCTCTGCGCAGCCAATCCCAGGCCGCCCAGCATGGCCAGGGAGCCTCTCTCCTCTCTGATAGGTGGAAACGGAGCTCTCCGGAGAGAGGGAGGGAGGGAGGAAGAAAGTCCCGGATGGAGGCCCTTTGGCTTCGGCGCGTGCGCGGGACCGAAGACTGACGAGGCTCCCGCCTGGGCCTGTAGATGTGTGAGGGAGCTCGTGTTTCATCTCTCTCTAGACACAAACAATAACTCTATTGTTTTCCAGAGTTATTCAACACAAACAAATAAATATTGTTTGAATTCTAGAATTTAATATATATATATATTTAATGATTGGTTTCTCCATATCTACCTGTCTCTCTCTCTCTCTCTCTATATGGTTATCAATATAGTTTTAATTCTATCAATGTTAAATTGCTGTTTTTAGCTGTACGCGGTCTTGAGTCCCCACCAGGGGGGAAAAAGCAAAGTGCACACAAATGTTTGTTGTTTATTTATTTATTTTATGTGATAAAGTTTGTATACTACCATTCCCACAGATTTCCATCCCGCATGGTGGGGGAGAGTGGGCTGGGGAGGCTGCTTTGGGCTTCCCTCATGGGGAATATGTCCCAGCCCAATGTCCCCCTTGAGCACTAGAGGGGATGGGATGGAATCAGGACCGCCCATCGGCCAGTTAGGAAGCAACTTAGGGGTGCATACATATGACAACACCCTCTCCCATACTTGTAGCTGGAAAATAAAATGGGAAAAGCAACACCGTCTGTTTCTCTATTCCACTCTCTGACATGAGATATTCAAGGGTAAAAACTGAAAACTGGACTTGAACCAACATGATTACTCTTGCCTCTCAGAAGAGCCTGCTCTAATGAGCAGAACAAGTTCACCACTCTGGCAGATGCTGTGCTGAAAACAGAGCATCTGCCTTTTCTAATCATTACTTGACAGTCTAGGCTTATACAATCATCGTTTTGTTCCATGAGGCTCTCAAACGTGTCACATACCAAACATCAATCTTTTTTTGGTGGTTGTGGCAGAGAAATTCCACTTGTTCAGATTACTTTGGCCAATATGTTGTTTTCCTGCTAAATTTTTTTTTTTTAAAAAATATCTGAACACATACTGAGAAAAAAACCTGCAGATTTACATTCCATCCTAACAGAATTTCAGAGCAACAGGTGTATCATACTTGTGAGGCAGATGGGCTATGAAATGAAAAATCTTAATCTACTGAGGAAGAGAAAAAGACAGAACAGTGTAATCATGGCCATGTTACCTATTTGTGTAATATCCTCCAAACCAAAGCCCACATTGCCCCATGTCCTTAACAACTATTTGTGATGAGACATACAGAAACGAGGTGCTAATTATATTGGCTTCCCTGCTTGCATTTCATAACTCCATTAGTGTCTACAAACATTAGACCACCTGTACACTGTTTCTCATCCGCATGTGTGAAGAACCCCCACCCACACCATGTTTTGGAGAGAAGACAAGTAAGGAAAGATGCAACACTCTTTCTCCTGCCAGTTTCCATGTCAGCAACCACCCTCCTTCCCCTCTCCAAATACTAAAGCATAACCATATAGCCACTTGGGTTTGCTATTATCGGCCTTATAATCCTCCCTTAACTTTGTACATGAGAGCCTTCAGTAACTGTAGTAAAACAAAATGTTGTTTTACTTTTTCAGTAAAAGTTCTTTTTTCTGGGAGCACTCTTGTGTTTGTTGTTCCCCTGGATGCCTTGCAAGGCTTTCCACCTCCCAGACATCCCTAAGTTACACATCCTGTGTAGAGGTAGTTTCATAAATGTGCTAGTTTCTGGGCCAGCTCCACTAGACAGATGGCAGCCTGTCCTCCAGCAATATAAAGACAAGCGTGCAGTGGAGAAAGGTTCCCTTAGCACTGGGTCAGATCCCACCCCTGTGCTATTTGTGTTGCAGAAGGACTTATTTGCTGAAGGTGGAGAAGAGTTTGCAGATGTGCATAGAACATTTCTGGAGCCAGCACTGTAACACCTTTGAGATTTACCTCTGAGGCATTCACTGTAACATCATTTTGGGAGGCTGTCCTGCTGTGTCCCTTCAGCACTCGCCAGCCTCAAAAAGGATCATGGTGCTGGTATTGAATGAGGCATAAAAGCTTCTTAAAATAAAAAATCATGATTACAAAATGGTGGCAGAAAAGCTTGACTTAAAACTGAATACACCTACCATTCAGCACCAAAGGTTGAACTTTCATAAATGAAAGTCTACTTCGCTTTTATCATGAGGTTTTTGTGATATCTAGATTCCAAGAAGTAATGATGTTCCATTACTGTCTTACTCAGAGTTAAATATGAAGCAGCAAAATTAGGCCAAATTACTGCCAGCTTTCTGATTTATGCATTTTCATACTGTCAAAATGGCCCAAACTCCACTAAACCACTTCTAATTTTTACAACATAATTCATAAGTGTTATAAAAGATTATCTCATTATTTAAAAGTTTACACAGAAACTATGAGTTAAATTGGTTTCCTTTAAACTTCACACAGACTTTTAAAATTATTAGGAAGAGAGTCCCCCCCCCCCCCGAAATAATTTATCTCGCACATGTACCAAATCTATACATATCTCAAATATGCAGAAAAAGGATGCAGCAGCAGAGGCAGGCATTTTAATGAAACTTTGGTACAGTATCTCAATTTGTAGAACATTGCTACGGATTTCTCCTTTTGCAGAATGCATGCCAAGAATTGGTCAACCTTGTGACAACTAAGAATTTATATACAAAAGCATCTGAGAAGCTTTAAAAAGATATAGCCTGAGGCATGTTCTGCTTCATGTAGTGTCAGGAAAAAATTATACAAAGCTGCTTTTAAATAAGCAGAAACTAAACTGATGTTTGGCACTGACACTCTAACAGGAGGGAACAGTGATTCCTAATTCTTTTATCTTTTAGTTTTGCTTACTTTATGCTGAAGTTATTCATACTTGCACTCTTGAGGCCTACATAGTTTCAAGCCTTCTTGGTTTGGTTTCATCTGTGGTATGCATGCACACACTCCTACCCATCTAGATTCTGGCATGGGAAAAGGCAACGTAATCAGAATGGTCCCAACCAATTCAGTGCTGCAATGATGTAGGACAGAACCACAGGTAAAATTTATCTAAATATTTTGGTTCCGACTTTTCACTCCCATAGATCCCCAGGGTGATTTCCAAGTTAACAATGCAATCCAATGCCTGTCTTCAGAAGTAATTCCCAGTGACTTTAATGGGTTTTCTCTCATATAAGTGTGTACAGTATAGAATTGCACCATTAAACATAGAAATACAATAAAAATAACAGCAATACAACACAAATGAGTATAAGATCAATTAAAAAACCATAAAATAAAAATGGGCCAGTAAATATGAGAGAGAGAGAAAGAGCATAAAAAGACAAAAGGCTGTGTAGCTGTTGCAATATAGCTAATATGGAAATCAGGTCACAAATGCTTTTAATACACTAGCTTCCAATATAATAAAATTAGGGGAAGATCAAAATAATGAGTGCCACAAACTGCTGACCAAAACAAGTGTGCCATAGGTGTGTAAAGATGGCAGTTATAAAGTGTGCCAGTCATGCCTGTGGCTTGAGATGACTTGGTCTTCCCTTGCCAGCAGGACTGTGCTACGGTTTGGACATCTGTATGATAGAACTCACTTCTGTGTGCTTATTCTTGGAGCACCTTGGTCTGCAATTGATCCAAATGTGTTTCTAATTCTTGGAGCATTCTCACAGGAGGTTTACATCACTTTCAAGCCTGCCTGTGCTTTTTATGTGATTGTCATCATTGCTAAATCTATAGAGAAATCTGTAATTTGAATAGACGGTATAGGCAGTGAAGGTTGTACAGTAATACAGTATTACGAAGCAATCTCTTTGTGGGGTGGGGGGGAATAAAGGAAACAACGGAACACTTTAACTCTTGTGTGAAAATGAGATGACATCTGATGGCTGGAAGCCATGGTGCCCCTGGAGCAGCAAAACTGGATGCCTTCATCTGTCCCACTTGCAATAAAACATGTCTCTCCCATATAGGTCTCTGCAGCCTCAGCAGACACTGTAACCCTCCAGTGGTTTGGCTTTACCCTCGAAAGTGCACCCCTCCATAGTCTCCCAAGACAGGCAGATGCCAACAACATCTGATTAAAGAAATCTTAACTAATTAAATGTATAAGTTACCAGTAATTGATTGACCAATCATGTATGTACAGTATATGGGGGGAGGGTTCCAAAGGAGAAAAATGTTTTAGATTCTGTATGCATGTGTCACAGCTAGCATAATGTTGGAAAAGCAATTTCCTTCATGTGAGAGAGGAGGAATTCCTTTTTCTGGTATGCTGCATGCTTTAAAAAACCACAAAACCTGCGGACCAATTAATTAGAGGCAAATGAGTGCCCTCTTAAATGTCTGTGCACAAGAAGCACAGGGTTTTGTTACGTATTTCCATCATTTCCAAGGCTGGAGTGCCAATATGGTCCGGTATAACTGAAGTGACATACATAGCCACATTAGCATCAGGATTATATTTCTCAAAATAAGCACACACACACACCCGGTCACATAAAAAAACACACTTCATAAAAATGGAAAATACTTTCATAAGTAAGCTGTGATATGATGCACAGGTTGGGTCTTCCAAAGTTAAAAAAGCAAAACTCCCATTGGGCATGCAGAAGTCTTTGGGCATATCTAAATTAGTTATTTGGATACCAGCCAATAATTTTAAAGCGTTGGTGGTGGTGTGATAGAGGCCATATGTTGCCATTTCCTTTGTAACACAATCATCTGTCAAACCTGTGTTTGAAGAACCATCAATCCTGCATGATTTGAGGATGGAAAAGTGTGTGGGTCACAGGCAATGAATGTGCTGCCACACCACCTGCAAGCTATCGTCCGTTTTCAGATTCAGGTGCCCTAGATGACTATCTAGCAGCCACCAAAGGGTTTAATGTAATATTTTGGTCACTCCAAGGATGACAAATACCCTTCCACTACCTGTTGCTTTTGAAAGAAAAGAGACCAGTTAAAGGGTTATAGCAGAAGCATGTTCTAGTGGGGCTGATGAGGAAAACATGGAGCTGACAGGGCTACGTGAAATAATCTGGGGGAGGCCAGCCTCATGTATCAAATGGCCCAGTGGAAGGATAACCATGAATTTCAGATCCAATTGAAGCTGTTGTGAAGAATTTGATTTCATAGAACCAAATGCATCTCTTTATCTTTTAGGTATGCTAATCTGCACTACTACAACAAAAATGGAGGGAAAATAAAACCAATATAATAACCCACCAATTATTTAGTAGTTCCTGGGCTCTGCAAATAATATATTATTTTTAAATATATTATTTTTAAATGAATATTCTTTGTAAAATTTGTAAAATCTTTGTAAAATATCTCCTTCTTCTCCTCTTCCTCCTTCTGATGTGGTAAAAACCATGTAAAATCAAGTTGAAAATTAAGTAAATTACGTAGATGTATCACAGAAAATAGCTTCTTTTCAAAACATTGCTTTATATTTACAGTCTCCATATTTTCAGAACTGCTGAGGATGGTGGATATCGCATATATTTCTGATTTGCATATGAAATAAAGGCATGGCATGCTACATAAAACACACTTTGTCTATCAGTGTCTCTCATCAGATAGCCTGTGTTATTTTTTACAGCCACTGCAGCCTTTTAAATGTTTCTATAAATGCTATGTTTAGTTCTTCTAGGGATTTTCATTTTATGCAACAGATAGTCTAGCTGCTATAATAAGAAACATAAGCAATTCTTATGTTTTAATATCTAAACCTGGCCTCTCACCTAAGAGAATAATATTCACTAAAATGCAAACTTAATGGGTTCTTTCAAATTCAAAGTAAATTCCTGTTGTACTTCCCCCCCAAAAGTCACACTCATCAGATAGGTCCACCATAGGTGGTAGCAGATGCCCCATTCAGTTGTGCAAACAAGTTATGAAAACCCCATCTACAATTGTATGGGAGTCGTATACCATACTGTGTATGTATCCCAAAATTTCAAGGTGTTCTTTATATGCAAAAACTGATTGCATGGTTAACCAAATAGCTCTCCAATCATAATAGTCTATAGACTGCTCCACATTGGTTTCCCATGCTATCTTTAAACTAGTCATAGTGCTTGTTAAAGAAAATATTGTGTATTTAGTTTTTATATTAGCCCCCATTCAGAAGCATTGTTCACTTCTACCATTCTTTCAGAGCCAGTAAATAGCAAGGCCATCATCCTTAAGAGTACATCATTCTAACTGGTGTATTCAAATTGTCCAATATCAGCTCTGTGGTAAAGAATATATATTAAGGTCTAAAATATCAATTTACTTCCCATTTTACTAATTTACCTTTGGGTATATCACATTTAAATCTAGGGTGATAATCAGGTGGTATTATTGGAGAAATTCCTGGAGAGGTGAGGCTTTGCCAGTTTTTCCAGACCTGAAAAGTGCACCTGATAATTGGTTTTTTTTTATTTTATTCCAAACTGCTGAAGTACAATGGGTGGAATGACATACACATAAAGATTCTTTGCCATAGTTTTTGTTTATTCTATTTTTATCCATGGCTACTCTTCTTTGAAAATCAAGTAGCACAGTTGCTGAAGATGGAATGAATCATCATATATAGCCAGATTAGAGACTCCCCATTCATTCACTTCAAAAACAAAAAACAAAATGCATGGTAATTCTAGATCTTTCACTCTGAAAAAAAAATGAATATTTTTAGCCTTAATAGTGGGAGTGGGGAAAGGGAAACAAATAAAGGAATATTGGAATAAGTTTCATTTCTGCCATTCTATTTCTGCCCAGCATACATTATTCTTTCCCTACCTCTTTATATTTTTGAATGGCTTTCACTAAAGGCTTTTAATATAAATTATATAGTTTACCCAGTGTTATAGGAATATGTACTCTATATAGTCCTAAATATTTAAATGCCTTTGGGCCAAAAAGTACCCCAGCCATTCAGTTAAGCTCTGTTGGTTGCTTAGGTCCTAAAGTTCTGTCCTCTGGTTTATTAATGTGGTTAAATTAAAGTTTCACCTAAGTATCAGTTCAGATTTCACTTCTGGGAAGTAAGAGAAAACACGTGTTCCTGGAAGGTAAGCAATAAGGAAGGTTTGCTGCTCTTTTGGCACCACAGAAACATCTAACTGAGCAGTGTTGGGATATTGGGAAAGATGGAGCTCTGCTCTGACCCCACATGCCAATAATATTTTTGTGAAAGAACAGTTTTCCTCCCAAATTCTTTGGAGAGATGAGACAAAACTTTCCTTCTCAGATTTTTGCCACACATAAGAGCAACTTAAGGACCAATGATAAACACTTCCCACAGCAGTTTGTCTCTGATTCTCTCCTGCAATTTTTCTTTCAAGATTATGCCTTGATCCTCTGACCTTGAACTACCATTGTACACTCATTGTACAGCTTTACTTGTTCAAGAATTTATTTCAAATGTCTCACAGCTTATGGTTAATCACTCAGTACTGTATACACACTTGTGGTGTGACACTCATTTATAATGCATTTGGGAATTTAAAACAACAACCCAGAACCACTCAACTGAATAAGATGTGGGGGTTAATTTCTGTCATTGAAAGAAGAGAAAATAAAGTGCAAGAGTGGATGATAGGGACTGTAGGAATTCTGCAATATCTCTAATGTCTTGAAACATTATTCAGGCTGTTAACTGTTAATGCCACTACAGCAACACAAAGAGCATATGCATAGCACATATAATTATAAGTTACTTTTTCGATATCAAACTGTGTGGGTGTGGGTGGAGGGGGAAAGAATGCTTTAATAGCCACTTGACATGTTTTGAAAAGCTTTCTATACACTATATTACAAATAACAATTGTTATATTACAAATGTTATATAACATTTTTTATATTTCAAATAACCTTTGGATGGATTCAACTTTTACTACATACAATGTCTAATTCATGGTATATTGCTCTGTCCCAGCTCCTGCCAACCTAGCAGTTCAAAAGCATACCAGCATGAGTAGATAAATACATATCGCTGTGGCAGGAAGGTAAACGCCAGAAGCAGTTCAGTCATGCTGGCCACATGACCCAGAAAGCTGTCTGTGGACAAATACCAGCTCCCTTGGCCTGAAGCGCGATGAGTGCCACACCCCATAGTTGCCTTTGACTGGACTTAACCATTCATGGGCGGAATCACCCAAAGAAGACACAGCCCAAGTGCCCAGAGACAGTAGTGGCATAAGGTAAAGGGACCCCTGACCATTAGGTCCAGTCGTGAACGACTCTGGGGTCGCGGGGCTCATCTCACTTGATTGGCCGAGGGAGCCGGCGTACAGCTTCCGGGTCATGTGGCCAGCATGACTAAGCCACTTCTGGCGAAGCAGAGCAGCGCATGGAAACGCCGTTTACCTTCCCACCGGAGTGGTACCAGAGTCCCATCATCAGGTAACTGGCAGCAGATGTGACTGGTGAGCACCTGTTCTGCTTTAAGCAACCGACTCTGCAATGCAGATGTGAAGTGAGGCTTCAGCAGCACCCTAGACAGTTCCATACAGATCTCAGTTTGGAGACTCCACAAGAGCAGAGTTCAGATGCGACTCAGTGATAGCTAGCCATCCTCAGTCTGAGCCTTGAACAGGAGCTGAGCTCTAGCTCAGAAGCCAGCTCCACCTTCCATGAGAGGAGTCTCTCCATTTAAAAGGGCCCAGCTTAAAGCAAGCCATGTTTATCAGTCATGTCTGTTGTCAGCTGTATCCTGCTGAAATCACTCATCCAACAGAAATGCACATACATATACTGATAGGTGCACCCTGGAAATAAGTGAAAATGGCCCTCCCCTCATAACATGGCATTATTTACTATCAGTTACTGAGAAGGCCTTCTTGAAGAAGAGTGAGCACTTACTTTTCTAAAAAAGAAATTTAATTATGCTTTTCAGGTTTATATATTTCACTGATTTGACAATCATTTTAACATTTCAAAAATTGTCTTCCTTCCGCCTCTTTCTGCAATTCCTTAAATTTATTTTTAATAACTTCCGCATATCCAAATTAACTTAATTTGCTCATTTATTCATCGACTTTAAATATATACTCTTATAAAACTGCAGGTTATTACAATACTCCTGCCAATGTTCTTATCTGTTTACAGTTTATCTGTAAATATTCAACAAACCATTTCCATTTTTCTATATATATAAAAAGTTATCTTGATTTCTTATTCTTCCAGTAAGTTTTGCCATTTCTGCATATTCCACAAGTTTTTGTATCCATTCTTCCTTTGCTGGGACTTCTTTCCATTTTGGGGTGAGTTACATTCTTGGCGCTGTAGTAGCATACATGAATAAGATTCTATACAGTTTAGGTAGTTCTGTCCCTATAATTCCCAAAAGAAAAGCTTCTGGGGTTTTTTTACAAGCGTTATTGTAAACATCCTTTTCAATTCATTATATATTATTTCCCAGTAAGCTTCAACCTTACTACAAGATCACCAAATATGATAAAAAGAACCTTCGTTCTCTTTACATTTCCAACACTTATTTGATTTAGATTTATACATTTTATCATTTTCATATCATTTTCTCTTAGACCATAGCATGCTGTAAATTTTATATCCATATTCCACAATTGTTCCCATGCTTCCATGTCTATATTATGACCAATATCTATTGCCCAATGTATCATTGAGGATTTTACTTGCTCATCCTTTGTCTCCCATTCCAATAATATTTTATACATTTTAGATAGCACTTTTACATTACATTCCAACAGGCCTCTCTCCAGTTGCGATATTTGTTCCCCAAACCCTCATTTGTTCCCCAAACCCTTTCTTAAATACTTCATTCAAATGATGATATTGTATCCATGTTGTTAATTTCCCTGATAATTCCTTTAATTCTTTTAATTTATACTCTCCTCCCTCTTGTTTTAATAAATTTCTGTAAGTTGTCCACCCTTCTATCCTATTCTTTTTCTTTACCGCTATCGTTCCAATGGTGAGAGCTAAAGTGGTGTTTTTACCTCTAATAAATTCTTGTATTTATCCTATACATTGTACATCCCCCCCCCAATTATATGATTTGTAAATCCTTTATGAACTTTCACATTTTCATACCATAAATAAGCGTGCCAACCAAAAATAGTAATGACCTTCTAAGTCTAGAATATGTGAATTCTCTGATGTCATCCATTCCTTCAACCAACAGACAGGATGCCTCATAGTATATCCGGCAGGGGAAAACCTCCTTTATGTTCCTTTCTTGCTTAACTCCTCCTTCGTATTGGCTAATTTTGAGAAAACGAGAAAATAATAATAATAATCCACTCTGGGGATGTTTTGTGATCGCACCAACAATATTGTTCTTTTGATTTCTAATAATTTACTTCAATACTCAATACATGTAGAACATGCTATATCAATTATTGTTGAGGTTTATTCTTAACATTTTGAAATACATGTTGAGGGGAAAACCCCTAATGAAATAAGCTTCATCTAAGATAAGTAAACAGCGTTTCTGAGCTCTGCTCTGGTTCGCCAGAAGCGGCTTAGTCATGCTGGCCGCATGACCCGGAAGCTGTCTGCAGACAAACGCCGGCTCCCTCAGCCTATAGAGCGAGATAAGCACACAACCCCAGAGTGGTCCGCGACTGGACCTAACGGTCAGGGGTACCTTTCCCTTACCTTTTAAGATAAGTACAGAGTTCTGTAATATGGAACACAGAAGGGTAGAAATTGCATTCTTGGAAACTGAAGGGCTAAGAGGTTAAGAGCTAAAGTTAGTGTGTAAAATATGAACTTTTCTTTTACTAGTTTAATATGTGTGCATGTAGCTAATTGATATGTATTTACAGTCTCTTCATGCCATTAATAATACTTGCCTTGAGATAATTTTCAGTTGCACCATGTCAAGCAGACAATGGAGACTCCCTTGCATGTGAACAAAAGCTCCATTGTTCTTCCAGTTCTGAAGTAAATGATAAAAATTATAAACTAATTTGCATAACAGGAGATTAGAAAATTATCCTTTTATCCTTCTTAATATATTTGCCCTTCCTAATTATAAAGATACAAATCTTTTCAGAATAGCTTCACACAAAAATATTCTTGGATAAAAATTGCATGTTAAGCTCGATTTTGGAAGGTTATTTGCATAATAAGACAAAAGAGATAAATTGCTTCCGTTTAATAATAGCCAATTTTACACTGCCGTTCCATACATGGCTGCTCAGAATAAAGTTCCACTGAGTTTAATGGGCTTACTCTCAAGTTAAGTAGTTATGGGATGGCTGCCCAAACTGGACTCTTTGGGAGCAGAACTTTCTCCCTGAACTTTACAACTATAAGTTTCTTTGCAAAACTACTAGTCAGCATGGAGAAACACTTGGGACAGGCCTGTGTCTGCCATGAATTAGCAACCAGTTGTTTCTGTTACATGGAGACCCCCCCCCCCGGGCTTCCCCACTCTCTCCATAGCTTAGTGTTGAATCTCCTGTCAAGATGACTTTCCTGACTGGAACAGAAGCTACTGGGCTCAGGCAGCTGGCTTAGAGTTCCAAAAAGAGACGCTGCCTTTCAAGATCCACAGGCGATTGCACAGAGCACTATCTCTTTGGGTGTGTTTTTATGTGGGTGAGTGAGTGGGCCTGAGGCATGAGGCAGAGGGTACACAGTTGGCTACTTCATGAGATGCTGAAAGCAAAGGCAGACATGTTGGTAAACGTCTTTATTATGATAGGGAACAAGTGTCTGAATTCTCCTGAACTTGAAAGCTTTCCCCCTGTTGTGAGACATTTTGGTTAGTCTAATAAAGGTTATGCCTGCCCAACTCTGGATTTGCATACTATGTGACAAAGCATTGGCTGCCATTCAAAATGGTCCATGAACCAAACTTGGGACAGGATCTAGGTTATTCCTCTATGGTTTGTTTCTTGGCTGATCTCCTGAACTGGGACACAAGAAGCTGTCTCATTTTAAATTGTTATTAATGTTGTATTTTAAATTGTTGTAAGCCACCCCAGGATGTTAGGATGAAGGGCGGGTTGTTGTTGTTGTTAATGAGTTATAGATCACTGGTCCTTCTAGCTCAGCTCTGTTTACACACTGACTGGAGGTGGTTCTCCAGGATTTCAGACGGATCTCTACCAGTCATGCAGAGGTGACAAGGATTGCACCTGGAATCTTTTGCACACAAAGTTTCTGCTCCTCCATTAAACTAGTACCCCACCCTCAATGGACTTTGGTGGTTCAGTTTGGAAGCTGCCAAGCAGGAAACAAATTAACTTCTAGTGATTGCATGCACGTGTATTGTTCTAATGGATCACAACAGATAACTGTCTATTTAGCATGATGTTGTTATTTACATAATAGTCTAACTTGATTAGATTTATTAGACTTTCATATTGCTTTTTACTAAAAACAAGTCTCAAATTTATTTACATTACATATAATCAACACAAACATGACAAAACATGTTATTTGACCTCTGAGCCACCCAAAGAATTCAGGACAAAAAATAAAGTACTTCTTCACACAACTCTGCAAAATGTGATGAGTCACATGACTACCACCTTGGACGGCTTTACTAGGGGATTAGACAAATAAACTCATGGATGATAGGATTGTGGGCAGATCCACACCACACACTTAAAGCACACCCATTCCCAGTATTCTTTGGGAGAAGTCATGAGCTTTAAATGCATGATGTAGATCTGCCCACTATGGGCAGATTGAACCTCCTTCAGATGCCACATATCTCTGAACGTCAATGTAAGAAACAAGCAAACAGTTCACCAGCTCATCAGTTTGACTGGCCAAAATATTTGGTTCAATCAGTCTTTGGAAGCCATGCCTACACAGAGGAAGGGGTATAAATTTGAGAAATGAATGAATAATCCTTGGAGGTTTTTAAGCAGAGGTTGGATTACCATCTATCATGTATGATCTAATTGAGATTCCTGCATTGCAGGGGTTAGACAAGAGGACTCTTGGGGTCCTTTCCAAGTCTACAATTCTATGATTCTGTGGATTCTATAACATAGTTACATCACACACTTTTGCAATTCGGTTTCTATCAAGTAGTCATTTTAATAAATATGGTACACATGGTAATAAATGCCTCAATATGTACAGAAAGGATAAAAATGAAACTCCTAGAGCACACAATTCATAAAATAGCAGAGTTTATACGACAGACAGCTATTGCTGTTGTGCCAGGAAAACTGCTGCATAAATATCAAGAGAAAGTATTGCATTTAGATATAAATCTTCTTCATATTCAGATTTCAAGATGTGCTTTAAATGGCTAATGCAAGAATAATTTCCTGCTGTCTAATATCAATCCAGATACAAACTTAGGTTGCCCCTCCACTTTGACAAATGGTATAATCCCTCCCCCCCTCCCGTTTTTAGTTCAGTGAACAAAATTAATCTTATGCATCTTAGTGCAAGGATGGTATGTAGAGATACAACATGTGTTTAGGAGGTAAACCTATGGCAAGATCCGTGGATATCAGCAGTTTAGGATGCAGGTGTGTTTTTTTGCTAATTCAAGGATAGTGTAAATCTAAAAGTGGGAGCATTCGGGTGGCGGAGGGACCAGAGAGAGGGGATTAAGGTTGTACAGTATTGGAAACTCAGTCTGCTTGGTCACATGACCTGGCAACCCTGCAAAGAGCACTTTTTAAAAGGCTTCCTTTCCTTCTATCAGGGATATGTATAACTTTATGCTGGCTTAACTCACACTGGCATGTGTGGTTTTTTTATATTAATATTTTATTGAAAAGTTTTCAATTATAAAGAAATAAAGTGATACAAAGAAGAAGAAGAAAAGAAAAAGAAAAATGCACAGAAATGTGTAGAGAAAGAAATATGAACATACATGAAAAATACCCTAACCCATACATTCTTTTGTAAGTTTGATATTATTATCCTAATACACATGTAAATATTACTACACTGAGAGCCCTCTCAAGCCACTGAAGGAAGCTCTGTGGCCCATCAGCCGCACACCTTGGCTTTTGGACAGAGACTTCCAACTGGACCCCTCTAATGGGGTACCCTGTTATTGCACTGTTTTGGGGCGGGTGGGTGATGCGCTGCTTCAATCCTTCTCCCGAGGTTAGATGAAAAGTATTCCACCCAATGCCTTATCTGCCAAAGTTGTGACTATGGCTATGGGGAAGGCAAAACCTTCGAAGGGGGCCAATCTGTTTGCAACAATTTTTTCCCTGGCTCCATATTTGGCAACCATTACGCAATGCCCGAGGGAAGAAAAAGTTGGCATACAAAATCCACAGCATTACTGAATAGGGCGAGAGGGAGGGGTGTTCTTTGGCTGACTGCAGTCCCCAGGGTTGGGCACAGCTGGCTTTTATAGGCTGGGGATGGGCCCATCTGGTCTGCTCCCAAGCCTTGCCCACCCAGCGAGGCTGGATTGGCCAGAATTCAAATATCAGGTGGTGGCAAAGTCTGCCAACCCAATCGACTGGCCAGGGAATTTCCACAAATGCCAGCCGCTGAGCCAACATTGCTCCCTGGGGTGGGCAGAGCCTGCCAAGATGGGGCCGCAACAGTTGCCCACCTCGAGACTGGGTAAGCAGCCATTCTAACTTCTCTATTCCATTCCCGCACAACAGTTAGCATTCTGTGGCCACGAAGCACACGCAGTTGCTTTTGAACACTGGCATTCCCCCAGGCTTGCTGATATTTACCTCTTGTGAGGGTTACCTAATCAATGGAACTAAAACTGGAATTAGAGGGAGTGATGATTAGTGACCAGGAAATAAAGAGCTACATGACTAATTCCACACATGCAAGAGAACTTTGGACCCAATCCCCAGGCAAGCAGCCAGTGTGGTGTAGTGGTTAAGAGCGGTGGGCTCGCAATCTGGTGAAACGGGTTTGATTCCCCGCTCCTCCACATGCAGCGGCTGGGTGACCTTGGGCTAGTCACACTTCTCTGAAGTCTCTCAGCCCCACTCACCCCACAGAGTGTTTGTTGTAGGCGAGGAAGGGAAAGGAGAATGTTAGCTGCTTTGAGACTCCTTAGGGGAGTGATAAAGCAGGATATCAAATCCAAACTCTTCTTCTTTTTCTTTTTCTTCTTCTTCTTCTCTTTCTCCCCACTTCATCCTCCCATTGCTTGCTTTGGAAATGGAAAAAGAAAACAGTTTGCAAAATGTCTTAGGTCAAATGCCACAAGGTACTTGGGTACGCCTAAAGCACCCTTTGGATCCTGGCCAGGGTTCTCATACATAAGCTGTGGCAAATTATGCCTACTTTCATCTTTAAATATTTTCTAATAGTTTATCAATGCACTCAAATGCCCAAATTCTTCAGTTTCTTCAACAGCAAGTACTCTTGACTTTTGTTAACAAGGCTGACAGAAAGTCATTCCCTTTGATACCGTGGTACTTTGGTTCTCAAACTTAATCCGTTCCGGAAGTCTGTTCCAAAACCAAAGCGTTCCAAAACCAAGGTGCACTTTCCCATAGAAAGTAATGCAAAATGGATTAATCCATTCAAGACTTTAAAAAACAACGCCTGAAACAGCAATTTAACATGAATTTTACTATCTAACAAAACCATTGATCCATAAAATGAAAGCAATAATCAAAGTTCTGTACTATAAAATAAATAAGACAGTATTGTAGATAATAAAAATTAAAATTAAAAAATTTTCTTACCTGCACTGATGCAGTCATTGTTTGGATGAGTGGCTTTTATCCATTTCCGCATTTACACAATCAGTCAATCATAAAACGAAAAACAAGCCACAGTCATGAAAATGAAAAAGCCACACAAACAAAAACGCAAAAAAAGCAAAAACAAAAGTACCAAATAACCTCAGAAGACTGCATTCAGAAACAGAAGGTTTTAATTACGACGGGGGAGTCTCAAATGAGCAGCACAAGGGCAGAAGTGGGAGGAAAAGAGGCTTTAATTACGATGGGGGACTCAACTGAGCGGTGCAACAGTGAAATGGAAGCTCAGGAGCACGTTCGGCTTCCAGGGCAAAGTTTGAAAACCAGAACACCTACTTCCGGGTTTGCAGCATTCAGGTTCCGAGTTGTTCGGGAACTAAGCTGTTCGAAAACCAAGGTACCACTGTAAATTATTGCAATAGGTTCCCACATGAAGAAATGAAAGCCTTTGGCCGAAAGGTGGTCTGAAAATCATTGGAATGAATGAATGAATAAATAAATAAATAACAAAAAGTCTAGTGTTTGTGACATCACGCATGTGGAGGGTTATGTTCCAAAGCCAAAATTGTGCCTAGTCAAAACACATTGGGTTCAATGGTGGGTGGAATTGCCAAAGTTTTTTTCCCCAGATGTCCGTCTCCTTTCCACTTTTTTTTTTTTTTTGGTCAAACACTTAAAGCTGAATGTGCACAAGTTAAAAGTTGCAAGTTATCTGTATAGGGCTTTAAAGGTCAAAACCCGTACAGTCATATCTCAGAAGTCGAACGGAATTCATTCCAGAAGTCCATTAGACTTCCAAAACGTTCAGAAACCAAGGCGCGGCTTCTGATTGGCTGCAGGAAGCTCCTGCAGCCAATCGCAAGTGGCAGAACCCACACTGGACATTTAGGTTCCAAAGAATGTTCACAAACCAGAACACTCACTTCCGGGTTTGTGGCATTCGGGAGACAAAACATTCAACAGGTATGACTGTACTAGGAAACAAATTTGGGCTAGGAAACAAATTTGCAGCAGGTGTAGTTGGGTCAGAGCCTGCGTTCTATGTTCACACCTTCTAATTTCACTTAACAATCTAGCAGCCACATTCTGCATTAGGTGTAGTTTGTGAACCACCTTCAAAGGAAACCACAGATTAAATACATTGCAATAGTATAACTGGGCAGTTACCAGAAAAGGTCAGCTGGAGTTTAGAGTTTATGAGCTGAAAGGGAAGAAAAGGCATTCCTTCTCCCTTGCTCTTGTTGCCCAGGCAAAATATTCTGTATTGGAAGGTAAAACTTTTGAAACCTGTGCAAAATGGGCTAAGATGTATCAGAGAAAATCATGTGAGATGGAGATGGTTTGGAAGTGGGATGGAAATAAGGTTGATTTAAAAGCATATTTAATGTTTGTCGCTACTGAGTATATATTTTTTTTCATACCAGAGTTGTGGATGCCTTGAGACGAAAGACATAGGAGAATAATGGTCAAAGACAGACCTAAATAAATAAATAAATAAGGTCAATGATAATGCCCAACCCTATGCTGCTTTCAACCTGCTATAGCAATATTTCTTTATGCTCTTTAATCTTGGAGTTATTTTATTAATAAAATAAATTTTATTTTATTTTTTAAAGAAAAGAATGGGTCTCCTGTTTCAGTTTGGAATAGACATTAGGCATGGTTTGAAAAGCAAGTTCTGGTACAGAAGCGTCAGTAATGCCCGCTATCAATATGTGGAAATGCAGGAGCAGTTGGTCTAAAAATAAGACGCCTTTAAATGTGCAAACTATCCGCCAGATTGTAAAGATGCTAATGTAAGACCAACCTCTTGCAATATTGTGTTTACGTTGCAGTACCATTTGCTGTTTAGTAGAAACATTGATAATGCCCATGTTCCATCTGTTAGAAAATGTAAAGGCAAACATTTAACAAACGCAGGGTGCAGCTTCCTGGCAAATTAAGCTGAATACAACCCAAACATAAAGCAAGATTTACAACTTCACTCTCGCTTTCACCTGCCCCTTTTTTACTTTATTTTACTTTTTAACTTTAATTTTTCCAGAGTTTTGAGTAAATACATAAATAAAACACAGTTTTATGTTTAAATTACTGCCTTGTAAGAATGAAATATACATATGTACACACAAACAATATAAGCAATAAAACTGAAAATAAAACAATATTGCAGCTGTGAATCACAGCAATGTGCTACTGAGTTTTCCTGTAACTGGTTGTAATGCATGCTTTTGTAATGTGCGCAAATATGAAAAGTAAACAAGGACTGTATAGTAATGAGCATCACAACAAAGCAAATCAGTTTTAAGACACTGTTTGTTCTGGATGGAATCAGAGGAATTCAAACATCAAGTGGAGCCAATTCCAACCTACCAAGCCTGCTGGCTCCCTTTCAGGGACTTGGTTATTATTAAAGGTCGGTTTAACTCGGCAAAAGGCAGCTTCATATGGCATGTCTTGGCCTCTGCCACCCAGGCCTCTGGGAACGTGAGATTAAAGAGTAAGGATGACAGAGTTAGGTTTTTACGCCCCTTTCTAGATATCTGCCAGCAATACAATATCCTTGAAGAGTTGTGGCCACCAGAACTGTATGCAGTATTTCAAGTGTTGGTGAAACATAGCCTTGTGTAAGCTTTATTTTCAACCCCTTTTCTCATTCTTGCTAACAGAATTATCCCTTTTCACAGCTGCCATCTTAATTGTGCTATTCACTACAGCCCCAAACTTTTGTTCCTGGTCACTCATCACCAGTTCAGAGCCCATTAGTGTATATGTGTGTATTTTGTCCCAATGTGCATTACTTTACACTAGAATACATTGAACCAGATTTCCCATTTTAATGCTCATTCACCCAGTTTGGAGAGAACCCTGAGAGTTCATCATGTTCTTTTTTAGTTTTAACTGCCCTGAGCAATCTGGTGTCATAATCAGCAAGCTTGGCCACTTCACTGCTCACCCCTAACTTCAGATTGTGAACAAGTTTAAAAGCGGAACTGAGGAGTGGCCATAATTCAGAGACTAGACAGTGTGGGGCCAGGTGACTTGACTTAGCAAAATGCAGTTTCATAGGGTATGTATTGGCATCTGCCAAATCCTCACTGCCAAAATTGATGAATAGGGAAAACACTTTGAAATGGACTTGTGAAGTTTCTAGAAAGGCTGCTTTTTCTTCTTTTTTTATTTTGATGGTGGAGCTGGGAAGTACAGGTTGGGGTTCAAGAACGGCAAACAACACATAACCAGTAATTATGTCTCACACAAATTTGATGCAGTAGCATCAATAAATGGTGGATTTTTTAAAAGAACAAAAATACTTAAGATCTGCTCTGATTACATTACAGAAGACCCAGTTATTAACTCTTAGACTGTATCTCCTCAGGGTAGCAGGGTAGGACAGCCTACCAAGCGAGCCTGTTTCAAATAGAGCGGGCAAACTTTATTCCTCCAACCTCCAAAAAGATTATGAGGGGAAATGAAGAGCAAAGCAAGAAACCAAAACCAAAAGAATCTCTGCTTTGAGGGTAAAGCTGCTCACTTTAGAGAGGCAAAATCATCCACCGAAGCTAGCACAAAGATTCAGCAACAGAGTACTTTCAGCCAGTGGTTTAAATTAATTACTGGTAGTTGGATGTTAAGGGACGCGGGTGGCGTTGTGGGTTAAACCACAGAGCCTAGGACTTGCCGATCAGAAGGTTGGGCTCCCGTTGCTCGGTCCCTGCTCCTGCCAACCTAGCAGTTCGAAAGCACGTCAAAGTGCAAGTAGATAAATAGGTACTGCTCTGGTGGGAAGGTAAACAGCGTTTCCGTGTGCTGCTCTGGTTCGCCAGAAGCGGCTTAGTCATGCTGGCCACATGACCCGGAAGCTGTACACCGGCTCCCTCGGCCAATAAAGCGAGATGAGCGCCGCAACCCCAGAGTCGGCCACGACTGGACCTAATGGTCAGGGGTCCCTTTACCTTAGTTGGATGTTGACGTGTCTCCCTGCTCCCTCTAAGCAGCAGTAATGCAAATTAACCTCTTCCATAAGAACTAAGGTTGCTGTACTGCCTGTTCACTTGCTTAATGTTTTCTACTGACAAAGTGCAAATAATACTACCTTTATTGTCAATGTACAACCTGTGTACAATGAAATTAACTGAGCCTCCCTCCCCCTCCAAAACACTCAATCTCATTGCACTCTGTGTGCTTGTCGCACAACACACCAACCCTGAAAGTCAGTTGCACTATATTATTTTCCGTTCAGCAGCCTAACAGCCCATGGATAGAAACGTGTTTTTTAGCCTGTTGGTACTTCTATATCTCTTGCCCGAGGGTTGAAGATTAAAGAGGTGCTGGCCGGGGTGTGAATCATCCCTGAGAATTTTCCTCACTCTCCTAAGGCAACGATCCCTTGCGATGTCATCTAGTGGGCTCAGGGGACAGCCCATGATATCATGTGCTGTGTTCACCACCCTCTGTAGAGACTTTCTGTCCATGGCTGTCAAGCCAACGTACCACACTGTGATACAAAGCTTCTGGACTGCAGATCAAAAGGCTTCCTTCCAAGCAGGCCTAAAAAGAAGAGGCATTTGGGAGTGTCAGCCACCTTGCTGTGAACTACCATTTAAGCTCCAAGCAGAAAGAATGGCTAGAAGGGCATGCCTGCTGCCGCTTTGAGGAGCAATTCAGCCGAGCAGAGAGGGAACAGCAGCTTCCCTGTGCAGGGAGACGTGAAACACTGCAATGCTTCAGCTCTTATAGGGAGAGTAATGAGGACGGGAGAGAACAGGGGCCTGGAGGAAGGAAAGCGGATGGGCAGGTGGATGACTGTGCATTCATGAGACTCAAATTCCTCTATTCAAGGGCACTGGGCTGGCCCTGCAGGTCTTCCCTTTGCCCAGGGCCAACTTTCTTCTTCTCAGTGCCAGTGCTGAGGTTGGGGTGGTAGCCAATGCCAACCTGGAATATAAATGTAAGAAGGTTTTTTAAAATACATAAATAAAACTGATTAAAAAAGAGATGGAGTGCTAACAATGCTTTGTGGTTTAGGTGGACTGTTCTTATAGTATGTGTCTTTGCAGCTCTGGCACCCATTTTATGGAACACTCTCCCCTGAGAAGCTCGCCCAAAACCTACATTATGAACTTTTTGAAACCCGGTGAAGACCTGCTATACTTTCCGATGCTGTTAAACAGCTATGGTTCTATTGCTGTTTAGGCTTTGAACTGTTTTTCACCCTTGGCTGGATTTTATGCCGCTGTGATTGATTTAGCTTTGTATGTAGTAAGATTTTTGTTCTTTTAAGTTGTGAACTTCTCAGATGACAGTTGATTAGGAGATATTTATGCAATGACATATAAATGCCAAAACCAGATAAAATATTACTTTTCACCACCTGCACCACCTGCGAGCTCAGGGCAATTGATGTGAGGTTATCCTATTTCATCCTTGAACACCTCTGGGTTTGGCCAAATTATTGATTTGCCAAAAACCCCTAATGAGCTTCATGTCTGGGTGACCAGTTGAATCCAAGTTTCCTAAGTCCAGCCCATCACACTTCTCCAGTGTCATTCAAAACAAGGGAAATAGTTGCAGTGATACAATTAGAGTGCAGAAGGTCATGATCAAGCCTGCCCAATCTAAGCACCTACGATGGCTAATAACAGGATTGATGTGTGACTTTTCTCCATACTTTCAGCAGTAAAGGTACTATTAATTAAAATGGTATAAACTCTGCAATACAATGCAGATTCAGGATGGAAGCTAAGGGACTGTACTGATTCCATTTGCACCTTGCCACCTTAACCTCAAAAGTGTTTTGCTGAATCAGACCAAGGTCTACATGATCCAGGATTCTTTCCCAGCATCCAAGCAACCAGCAGGGAGCAAATGTTTCACTGGAAGCCTGCTTGTGGCCCACAAGCTGTCTCCACATTTGCTTGCTATGATTTGTTTGTTTTGGGTTTTGATTACACATAAAGTCTCAAATTCTAAGCAGTGCCAGTTGAAACAGCGTTATTTTTATTTGATGGTTTAGTACTTGTTTGATATGTTATCTATGAACATTTATTATAATCTTTAGTTTTATATTTTAACCTGTCTAAAAATTATGGATGCAGATTTGAAAAGATGTAATAGTCAAACAAACAAATCTAGGAGTTATGATGGAGCTCAATGAAACATCGACCCAGTGAACAGAAGCTGTGAAAAAAGCATACTGTGTGAAGGATCATTAGGAAAGTTGTCAACATTATTATGTCTTAATACAAATATATGGTGCAGCCGCACTTTGAATGCCATGCACAATTCTCATCATTTCATTCTTGCATTTCAAAGGGAATTCTATAGACCTGGAAAATGCAAAAAAAGACAACTCCTCTCCTGTTGAAATAATTGCTTCATTATTTGGATTCAGCTGTATTATGCGAGTTGATTATAGATTATACATCTCCAAAATAGTTCTAGGAGTAAAATTTTATCACACATTCAATAAAGTAGTTCAGGCCTCTGTAGTTCATACTGATTGCATGAAATTTAGATGACATCTTGCAATTGACATGAAGGTAAAAGACTTAATTGGTTATCTGACCAAAAATGAATTATTTGAGTATTTCCTGCATATTTTTTTTAGAATCACACAAAAACATTGAATGGTGGGTTCCTTTGATTCTTAAACATTTTGATGCTATCAGCTTTTTCTTTTTGTGTGTGGTGGAGAGTTACTGCTTTTATTATTATATATTTTTACAAGAAGGGCCGTAGAGCACAACCTAGAAATTACAGACTCATTATTTTACAAATGTCATTGCTTAACCGTAGGCTAAATATTTGCTTCTTAAAATAGAAGTTTGGGTGCGCAAAAGTAATATTACCCCAGATGAGCAAGCAAGTTTTAGAGCCAAGGTTTTAGGTAGCATGTTCATCTTGGCACATCTGACTAATAATAAATATTGCAAGAAAAGCACAAATATTATGTATACCACCATTGTAGATCTGAAACGTTTTTTCTACTCAGGTAGAATGTTTTATTTAGAAATGTAAAGAAATGAAGGGAACATTTTTTCATATGTATTGGACATGTAAAAAGGGAAAATAATATTGGGAAATGATTTATAATGAGTTTAAAAATGTTTAAAATAACTTTCCCCCAAAACTGGAGTCATTTTTGTTTGGAATAATTCAGAAGGCAAGTCCCTAAGTTTCAACAAAATTTATTTACGTATGCAACAATTGTTAGACCAAAAATAGAAAGTGAGGAAGGTCCCAAGTGAAGAGGACTGGCAACTTAAGATGGTAGAATATACAGAGCTTGCAGGTTTAACATGTAGGGTAAGAGAGCAAGGAGAACATATATTCAAAGTAGAGTGGAAAATATCTATTGAGTATATGGAAAATAACTGTACACAGCTGAAAATGCTGGTAGCATTAAGATAAAATCAACTGTGTAATTATTGTTTGAGTGATGTAAAAGTGAACTGACTTAAATGGTTACAGCAAAATATGCAGGAATGAAAGAAAAATAAAATGAACCAAGGAAAGAGGGAAGTCATGGGATATCTAACAGTATGTAAAATGTTGACTTTAAGAGGTAAAACTGCAAATTTAATAAAAATTATTACTTTAAAAAGACTTTTAATTAACATTGGAGAGGACCTTTGTTGAATTGGACTTTGTTGTGACATTATAGAAAGATCTTGGCCATGGGAAAAGGGCTATGTCAGGTTATATAGCATTATATTAAGTGCTCTGTTTTAATTCCAGTTCAGCTCATTACGAAAAGCAAGGCCTCAGCACTACAGGCCTGTAATGTTGAAGCAACCTGTACCTGCTTATCTCCAGTAATGTTGCAGCATCTGTTGTTTTTAACACCATTTAAGGGGCCCATTGGGACGCGGGTGGCACTGTGGGTAAAACCTCAGTGCCTAGGACTTGCTGATCGTATGGTCGGCGGTTCGAATCCCCGCGGGGGGATGAGCTCCCATCGTTCGGTCCCAGCTCCTGCCCACCTAGCAGTTCGAAAGCACGTCAAAGTGCAAGTAGATAAATAGGTACCGCTTCATAGCGGGAAGGTAACGGCGTTTCCGTGTGCTGCGCTGGTGCTGGCTTGCCAGCTGCAGCTTCGTCACGCTGGCCATGTGACCCGGAAGTGTCTTCGGACGGCGCCGGCTCACGGCCTCTTGAGCGAGATGAGCACACAACCCTAGAGTCGGACACGACTGGCCCGTACGGGCAGGGGTACCTTTACCTTTAAGGGGCCCATAAAGTACATTGGTTTCTGAAGCTATGTTGCTTCTAGTTTGTTACTGCAATGAGTGGTAGCTTTTGGAAATTACATTGCTTTATGCTTCTTTCAATGTCTCAAAAAGACACATATTTAAGTTTGGTACCTGATTAAATTTTTAAAAAATAATCAGTTAAAAGGGCAAGTAATCAATTAAAAGATCTGTCAGTTATGTGATACAATTTAATTTCCTATTATTAAATACATTAATCAATCTCATGCAGGTGATAGTTTCAGGCTACTAAGTTTATCCTGACTTAACAGACTGGCTCTTTGGCAAGCCAACCCAAACAAATTGGCAGATATAGATGGTGTGCATAAATGATCTACAGCAATGCCATCAGTGGTACTTAATGTTCCATTTATGAATGAACTGCTATTTATGAACAAACTGTTAAATGATACCTGACAATGAACGTTCTTGTGCTGCAGTTCTGACTCAAAATGCATTTTCATGGAAATAAAACCCACTGATTTCAAAATCCCTCTTCATATACTCTAAACTTGCATAGGCGACGCTTGCTGGGTACTGAGATACCAGAACCATGTAGGGTCAGGCTGATTGGACGGGAAAGACACACAAAATCATTGGTTCAACAGTAGAGAATTTGGCAAATGAGTGGGAAACTCTCCTATAATTGACCCCCGTAAGTTGCAGTGGGTGTGGTTTCACTGTAATGGCCTCATGGGTAAAATGGGGAAGCCTGATTAGGCCCACAGGCTGGAGGCCTTATTGATGGTGCAAATTTTCTCCTCTTCCAAACCTGGTACACGGATTTTTTCCTCCCACTGACTTTAATGGGAGATATTTTTTTTCAAAAAATCTATATGATATAATAAAATAATCAAACATAAATAAATACATATGCTTTTGAGAAGTGTAAGGGGATTTGTACCCCTGCCTGCAGGGGTGCATTGAGATTTGCAGCAGTGCATTTGTTGCTGGCTGTGCAACTGAGACTGTTAGATTGGCAGCACAGAGGTCTTGCCTCGCATATTGTGTGCAAAGGTATGTGCTGGTGGCATATCCCTGTCACTATGAATTCATTGTCTCCCTTCATGTATGAGTGGCAATGTGGGTATCATCACTGGCAGTCACTGATTGTTGGGCACTACTGTAACGTCTCTGCCAATTTAACTGTATGTGTTTTCCCCTCCTGGGCTGTGCGCACAATGGAGATGGCAGCTTGCATTCCAGTATGGTGTAGAGGTTAATATTGTTGGACTAGGACCTGGGAAAGCTCCCTGGGTGACCTTGGGCCAGTCCCTGCCTCTCAGCCTAACCTACCTTGCAGGGCTGTTGGTGTGAGGATAAAATGGGGAGCAATGGAAAACATGTATGTCACTATGAGCTCCCTGGGGGAAAGGCGGGATACAATTAATTAAATAAAATATTCACTGTGCCAGGGTTAGGCAGAACAGCAGCAGCAGCAGCTCTGCTACTCAACAGTTTGCATCTGCTGTAACATTATGCTGGCTTAATTTACACTGGCCAGCTTCTTCTGCATAGGACTATGCTCCCTTAGGCTTTGCTCAGAACCTTACATTTTGCAAGCTCCACTGAATTCAACAGGACTTAGTTTTGAGTAGATATGGTTGGAATTGCACTGGTCTAGGTTTTGGGTTGCAATTTACTGTGGTCCCTCAAAACTGCTTTGCTAGAGTAGATTCTCCAGGGCTAGCACTCTAGGATTCAGCTCCTTTAGACGCTATTTACTTAACTAGAACTTAGCTCCTGAAACACAAGGCCTTTGCTGTGTGGATGATGGATGGTACAAATACATGCTTTGATTATAACTGTTTCTAAATTGTTTCTTTAGACATCCCTCGAATATCACTTTTTGAAACTATTAAAATCAGAATCAAAAAAGAGCCAAAGATCCCCTCCATCCCCACTGAATCCTCTCCTCCCAACAGTCACTGACTGTGGTCTTATTGCCTCCCAAACCTTTATGGCGGAGTCCTTCCACTTTCTTGGTGCAGGGATGGAAAAAGCGGACTAAGGAGCCTGAGAGGGAGCGGGTCAAGCAGCCTGGAGGAAGGGTGTTCTGCACCCAATTTCAGCCGCATCTCTTGACCTTGTTATATTAACAGCACATTCACACTGCAGGACCACAAGCCACTTTTTCCTCTCTTTGGAAGAACGGTGGGGTACACGGTGCAGGACTAAGTTTATTCATGTAGTTATATTATTATTAATATTATTATCATTTCTATACTGCCCTTCCCCCGAGGATCACAGGCAGTTCACAGTATTAAACCAGAAAAATACATTACCTAGAAACAAAATAAACAAGAACACGCGCCCCCCTTCAGTGTCCGGTGGGGCCCCTTCCGGAGGCCGAGCCCCTTCCCTGCCGCAGACTCCCGGGCTGCGCTGCCTGGCTCCGCCCCCCCAGCGCCTCCCCGACCCCAGAGCCTCGGCCCCGAAGGCCCGCCTCCCGACCCGGAAGCGGAAGCGCGGAGCTGGGGGCGCCGGAGACTCCCCGACTTCCGGCAGCGTGAGAGTCGGCGCAGCGGCGCTCCGGGAGGGGCGGGCGGGCGGAGGGGGAGGGGCCGCCGTTCTTCCTTTTCCCTCCCCCGCTTCGTGCGCTTCCCCTCGGGTGCCCGGAGGCGGGCGGGGCCGAGGCCTCCCCGCGCGGCCCTTTCTCCGGGGGGGCGGAGAGGAGGAAGGGGAGCCATGGCCGACAGAGGCGCCTCGGCGCTCCCGGAGGCCGGCTGGTGAGTGGCGCGGCGGGGGGGGGAGGAGGGCAGCCCCCCAGCGACCTCTCGCCCCTCTTGGCGGCTCCCCTGCCTGACGCGGCCTCCCGGGCCTTTCCCCGCAGGCCTCCCGAGCGGGTCCCTCGTTATCACCGCTCTTTGTTTGTTTATTCATTCCGTTCTCCCTTGAAGGCCGGGAGACGGGCTGGTCGCGAAGGAAACTTCCCCGAGGAGGGCGGGAATATCACGCCTCCCGCATGCCCGGCGGGGTTGGCGAGGAAGTGAGGGGCTTCTGCCTCTCGGGGGGGCGGGGGGTTGCAAGGGCAGCACCGCTTTGCACCTGGGCTGCTTCTCGGAAGTTTGCAGAACTTGGCTTAGGGTTGCCTTGTCGTCAGCTCACCGTCCAAAAATATTCTTATCAGCCGTTTGTCGCCTCCTGTATTGAATTTCCTATACTTTATTTTAGCATACCTTACAACTGTGTGTGGCAGATCAGTAATGCAATCTCCTATACTATAGATGTAGTGACTAAGAAAAGAGATTTGCTTAAGTTCACCTGATGAGTCAAAGTTTGAAGTTGAAGTTTGAGGCATTTCTATCATGTCAGTCTTTTAACTGCTGTCCCAGCTTTTGAACCTAGGTTTCTGTTACTCCTCACGCAGTACACTCTTTCACCTAAAGATTTGTTGTCAGCTTGTGAAGATTAGGCCAGAAATGATTAAACTAGCTGCTGTGCAATTGGAAATCAAGGTGGCACGATTTAAAGGTTTTTGCATTTGTGCTTGCATTTTTTTTAGTCCTTTCTGTGGAAATCTGTCCTCGCCCTTTACTTTTCATCAGATATGTGCTGAGGTTAGCTTGACAGTTAAGAGATTAATGAAAGTACACTTGAAGAACCTTGCAAGGTATATTTCATTTGTTGTTGTTCAGTGCTATATTTATAACTAATAATTACATTGCGTGCAGTATATGTACTGTTGAAACAAACCATTTTCTACTTTAGCAGCTTTGGTAGAGAAAGCTGAATAATGTAAAATGCTGAATACTAAAGTATTCTAGCAAAGCTAATATTTTAAAGTAGTACCGTATTTTTCGCTCTATAGGACACACTTTTTCCCCTTCAAAAATGAAGGGGAAATGTGTGTGCGTCCTATGGAGCGAAGATGCCATAGCCCCGTGACCCTCTCCCGGCTGGAGAGGTGACGCGCGGCTATGGCAGGAGCTTCTACAGCCCCGCGTCACCTCTGCAGCCGGGAGAGCGCGCGCGGGGCTAAAGAAACCATAGCCCCGCGACCCTCTCCCGGCTGGAGAGGTGACGCGCGGCTATGGCAGGAGCCTCTCCGCTGCGCCTTTCCGCTGCTCCCTGACCTGCTCTTTGGGGCTGGTGGTGGGCTTCCCCCGCCAGCCCCAAAGAGCAGGTCGAAAGGAACCTGAAGCCTGGAGAGCGAGAAGGGTCAGTGCACACCGACCCCTCTTGCTCTCCAGGCTTCCAAGGTAGCCGCCTGAACACACCTTAAACGGCACCTTGTTTTAGAGCGGGAAAACAAGATGGGGAAAGTTCTCCCCCTCTCTGTGCAGCGCCTCCTGCTGCTTCACTGAAGGGGCACTGGGCAGAGAGGGGGGAAAAAATTTTTTCTTGTTCTCCCCCCTCTAAAACAAAGTGCGTCCTATTGTCCGGTGCGTCCTATGGTGCGAAAAATACGGTACTTGGGCCTAACCACGAGGTTGACAGCTTTGGTTGACAAGTTCACAACAGTATGAAAACATATTTGGTCACTGATGTGAAGCAATGTTGCTAATTATTTGGAGTGAAGGAGGTGATAGGCAAACTCTTCACCCACTCACTTCCAGCCCGCCAGGAGTTCAGGGACAAGTAGAATAGACAAAGAAAAGGTGATCATACTAGAGTGAAAATTTAGAAATTCTTTGTATTGCTTTTAAGTTTACCTTCAGTACTTCTTCATTAGATATATACTCTAAAATAATTTTGTAAGCTGCAGTGAAAGCATGATGTACCTGGCAGGCATGTGGCCAGCAACGTGTTTATTTAACTTGTATTGATGCACAAAACATATTCCCTGTTAATTTTATGTATTGTATAACTATACCAATTTCCCCCCAGTAGCCAAATGTGTAAAATAATATGACTTAAGCATTTAAAGCTTTGTTTGAAAATTTATTTTTTATTGGAGAAGACCCCTTACATTGGTTGACTTTTGATAGAGAATCAGGGGCTGATATACACTTTTGAACTGAGTTGCATCCAAAATCATGTTCAATGAAGTTCAGCTAGCATTGGGTGAAGAGGATTGAGAGGCAGACTTCACCAGGTCTTCCCGCTTCAAGATTTGGAGGTTTGAGATAACATCTGACACGAGTGGCTGCATGGGGGATGAAGGAGTCATTTTAAAAAGCCTCCCTTTCCCTCTTCCACCAGTGGGAAGCTTTTGCTGGACCTCAGTGCCTTCCAGGAGTGGAAGGAGCCCTTCCATTCACAACAATCTAGCTCCCACCCACTAACTCTAGCATTGAGCTGTGCATTAGCATCCTAGATGGAAAGCACCTGAAGGATAATCTAGTCCAGCCCCCAGAAATGCAGGAATCTCAGGTGGCCCGTATGAGGATCGAACCCATAACCTTGGCATTATCAGCACCACTCTCTAACCAACTGAGCTAACTGGCATTAGGAACTCTATATATATTTTGAATAAATACTGTTTACTTTTCCTATCAACACTTTTGGTCAGCAGGTGCAGAGAGAGCAGACTTCCACCCATTAGCCCTGTCCTCATGTTCTATGTGTTAGGCAGAAGGTGAAGATAGGTTTTGTGCATACAGTATAGCTATACTCAGGTAATTTGGAGTCCCTGTGCAGACCAGGGTTCTTGATCACATACTCAAAATGAGGAAAGCCTATTCTGACTTTTTATTAAACATACAGAGATGAGGGGCCAACAGGTACAGTCTAGGTGCCCACCATGTTTTGATAGAACATATGGATAGACCATGAAAACTTGAAAAGAGGGCTATAGTTATCTGAAAAAAGTTACGTTACAATTGATATTTACTTGCATTATGTACATTCATGCATTATGTTACTAATTCAGTACTTCTTTTAATGCTGTGTGTGTGTGTGTGTGTGTGTGTGTGTGTTGGTGCCCATCTTCAGAGAGAATAGAGTGTTCCTCCAGGGGTGAACTCAAACTGCTGTGTTAGCAACACCAAAGTCACCTCCCTGTCGCGCAAGCCTGGGCAGTGTGTGTGGAGGTCCTGGACTGTCCAGATGACAAGATCCATCTCTTGGCTTCACTGATGCAGTCCAAAGGAAAGCACAGCAATATGTTTGGCACCAGCTGCAAGAGTTGCCAGAAACAGGCATACAAGGTGGCATCCAACTGTCTTGGGGATTCCACTCTGGATTTGTGTAGTTTTTACTCCTTAGCCTTTTCTTCTCCCAAAGATAACCCACAAGACAGTAGAACTTTTAAGATAAGATTTTTCTTTCTTCTAGGTGGGCTACCTTCTGAGGTAGATGAGCCCCATCTGCCTCTCATTTCTCTCTGCAGCACATGCAGCAACTGCCTTCTTGACCGTTGGATCCACTATTGGTCACATCGGCTCAATCTGCAGGAGTCTGTCTTCACATGCAGGGGAAATCCCTAAGTCACCGAGGGTTTGAGACCCTTCGACTACCCTCACCTGGTTTAGCTGGCTAGTCGCAGCCATTTCCTGGGGCGTGGGTTGTTGCATGCTGACAGCTTCTAAAACTTGTTAATGTATGGGTGCCTGAAAAGCTTTCACAGTGCTAGAGCAGTGTATGGTCATATTTAACAGATGTATATGGCAACTTGTTTTTGGACACATAGAATTACACTGGTGTATGTGAACACTGGAATTCAGTACAATTCACCTGGATTCTCTCACCTAAGATACCTACAGCCAACCTTTTTAGAACTAAAAAGGACACACAGTGTGAGGACACGCAGTGTAAATATGATGACTTAAAATGTTGATTGTAAAAGATTGCTTTATTTTCTTGTTGTTTGTGTGTGAAAACCCCAATAAAAAAAGAACTAAAATATTCACCCGATGAAGTTAAACGACAGATTAACAGAGCCAGACTGATACCCAGAGAAAATTTGCTGCAAGACAGACCCCCAAAAAGAAAATAACAGAACACCACTAGTACAGTGGTGCCCCGCAAGACGAATGCCTCGCAAGACGAAAAACTCGCTAGACGAAAGAGTTTTCCGTTTTTTGAGTCGTTCTGCAAGACGAATTTCCCATGGGCTTGCTTCGCAAGACGAAACGTCTTGCGAGTTTGTTTCCTTTTTCTTAAAGCCGCTAAGCCGTTATTAGCCGCTAATAGCCGCTAAGCCGCTAATAGCCGTGCTTCGCAAGACGAAAAAACCGCAAGACGAAGAGACTCGCGGAACGGATTAATTTCGTCTTGCGAGGCACCACTGTAATCACATACAGCTCCCATGTTAAAACAATACAACGCATCATCAGAGATCTACAACCTCTCCTAGACAATGACAGTTCTCTTTCACCAGCTCTGGGAGGAAGACCTTTCATTGCCTACAGACAACCACCCAATCCTAAACAACTCTTCACCCACAATAATACAACAACCAGACTTAACATGGACATTGGTACCAGAGCCTGCAATAAACCCAGATGCCAACTTTGCTGCCACATACACCCGGACAACACCATTACTGGCCCCAACTGGTCTGAATAGAGACATTGGATTCTTATCTCATTATACATGATAAAGCTATTTTTAGCCATCTCACCCCTTGCTTTTTCCTGCAGTCATTAACTGCAGTCATTAACAGTCGTCAACAGGTTTACCACATCTATTAGCCAATCACCCATTCCCACCACCCTTCTGAGTAATACCCCTCCCCACCCTCTCACTATATATAAGGGTCTGATGACTTCTGTTTCAGTGTATCTGAAGAAGTGTGCATGCACACAAAAGCTCATACCAATAACTAACTTAGTTGGTCTCTAAGGAGCTACCGGAAGGAATTTTATTTTATTTTATTTATGATGTTTTAATGTATTTTTAATCTTTTGCTGGAAGCCGCCCAGAGTGGCTGGGGAATCCCAGCCAGATGGATGGGGTATAAATAAATTATTATTATTATTTGCTTATTGCTTGCTGAGATTGTTTACAGTCATGGGAAAAAGAAAGTGCAGCCTCTTTGAATTCTGTGGTTTTACATATGAAGACATAATAACAACCAGTTGTTCCTTAGCATGTCTTAAAATTAGGTAAATACCAGTGTGTATACTCAGTGTGTTGTAGCTGTGAAAAAGGCAAATCTCATGCTGGGGATTTTAAAGAAAGAAATTGAAAATAAAACCGCCCGTTTCCTAAGCCCATTATACACACCTATGGTGCGGCTTCATTTGGAATACTGCGCACAGTTGTGGCCACCTCCCCTCAAAAAGAATATTGTATAACCAGTTCAGAAAAGGGCAACCAAAATAATCATGGGGATGGAGCGGCTCCTCTATGAGGAAAGGTTGCAGTGTTCAGAACTTTTAGTTTAGAGAAAGGGGGAATAAGAGGTATCATGATAGAAGTTTATAAAATTATGTCTGGCATGGAGAAAGTGGCTGGAGAATTTTTTCTCTCATAACGTTAGAACTTTTGGACATTCAATGAAGCTGAACATTGGAAGATTCAAGAAAGTCATTCTTCATGCAACACATAATCCAGTGGTTTTCAACCTTTTTGAGCCCATGGCTCCCTTGACCGACTGCAATCTTTGTGCGGCACCCCTGTGGGGCTCAGGAGCCCAGTTATGTCAACCCTTGCCTGTAGCTCCTCACCCTTTTTCAAACACCCTTGTGGAGTGTTCCCCCAGCCTCCTCTCCCCTCTTTTTGGGAGTTCTCCAGGCAGCCGCTGCCACCACCCCTGGTCTCTGAGCCACCCGCCCAAAAGAGATGCCTCATACTACCCTACAGGGGCCTCGGAAGAGGATGTCCCCAGCCTTAGCAGCCCAACAGAGACTAGCTGAAAGTGAACGTGAGGCCATCACCTTACACACCTTGAGTGGCAGCAGCAGGCGCAGCTGGGCCTGCGTGGCAGAAAAGCACCCCTTCAGTGCTGGGTACTCAGCTCCCAGACAGGCACTGCACGCAGCAAGCACAAGAAAGGCCAGCACTACGCCTGCTTGCCCAGCCTCCCACTTGTCTGTCCATTCCCAACAGCAAGGGCTGGCTGGCTGGGCTCCCTCATCCACTTGCTTGCTTCCTCTGCTGCTGGCAACCAGCACCCCCTGGCCAGCCCCAGAGCCAGGGCTGCTGCAACAAACGGCCATGCAAGCCTTTGGGAGGCAGAGATGCAATAGGGCATCAGAGGAGGGAGGGAAGGAAGGAGAGATGGAGGCCAATGTTGCCCACGGCACACCTGACCAGCATTCAAGGCACCCCAGGGTGCCATGGAACACTGGTTGATAACCAATGCCCTATTCTATTTAACATCTACATGAAACTCTTTAATAAAATAATTATTAGAAAAAACATGGCTTAAATGATACTACTCTGGGCATAAATGCAAGTGAACATATCTCTTTTGAACCTTTGGCACAATTTTCTTGATTGCTACTTACTTGTTGAAATCATGTGATTTCAACAAGATTCTTTTTTTTGTAGCAGTAAACTAAATTTAGTTTTGCTTCTGATTCAGGATCCGAAATAAAATTATGTAGGCTTTGCGATAAATGAGAGATTCTGTCTTTCTGTTTAAGGAAGGACTAACACATTTAAGACCTTAAGTGAGAAGAGCTGTCTATATTAGTCTATATTAATTGCTTATTCACATGCACCCGCTCCCCCAGCCAACTCACTGCATAGTTTCAAATAATAGTTTTGAAATCTGATGTGCATAACTGGGGGGTGGGGAGAGAAAGAAGGGCACACAGTCAACTCAAAGTACAGTGGTACCTCGGGTTAAGAACTTAATTCGTTCTGGAGGTCCGTTCTTAACCTGAAACTGTTCTTAACCTGAAGCACCACTTTAGCTAATGGGGCCTCCTGCTGCCGCCACACTGCCAGAGCACAATTTCTATTCTCATCCTGAAGCAAAGTTCTTAACCCGAGGTACTATTTTCGGGTTAGCGGAGTCTGTAACCTGAAGCGTATGTAGACTGAAGTGTATGTAACCCGAGGTACCACTGTACACAAAGGTTGTGAGCATCCAGTGCATCTCTTGCATAAACCACAGCGTACATAGAACAATGTTCCTTGCTGTAATTGTGCTCTAAAAGGTCAATTTTAGCAACTTTCCTGTTTTAATTTCTATACTGCTTAATGCCAAACTAGGTTTCTAAGTGGTTTACAAAATATAGAAAACCAGGTTACGAAAACATTAATATATAAACACCTATAAATAAAGTGAGCAATAAGACAATACCATTAAAACAATATATCAAGTACAGGAGATTTTGGTTGTGAGATCAAGCGAATGTCTTTGTCAGAAACTTCTTCAAAAGCCAACAGAACGCCTTTCGAGAGGGGCTTTTGTGTCTCTGAGCAGGCAGTGCTTTGCACAACAGCAGTACAACCGGTGGTTGGTGTATTCATTGTGTTCGAATGATATTGTAAGCTGCCTTTGTAAGATGTTAAGCCCCAAAAGTAAAATGTGCTATATTCCCTGGTTCCCCTATTCTTTTTTGACCTGATGGAAGTCTCATAGAACATGCATTTATGTGCTGTACTTGCCGCACATAATAGTCTAGTTCAGGGGTTGGCAAGGCTTACCAGGCATGGGCCGGATCACTCCCACAGAGATCCTCCGTGGGCCGGGCCGGCGCAGCGCGATGCCAGAAATAGCTTCTGTGCATGCCCAGACACCGAAAATCGTGCCTGCGCAGAAGCGATTTCCAGTGTCTGGGCATGTGCAGACGTGATTTCCGGTGTCTGGGCATGCGCAGACGTGATTTCCGGTGTCTGGGCATGCGCAGAAACAATTTCTGGAGCTGTGGAAGAGAGTCCCTGTGCCATGCTGCGCCACTTTATCGCAGCTCAGTTTGGGGGTGGCTCTTGGGCCGGTTAAACGGCCTCCGTGGACCTCTTCTCGCCCATGGGCCTTAGGTTGCCTACCCCTGGCTCTAGTTAATGCTGATGAGTGTATAGGAAATTATTGTGTCAAGTAGGCTTGAGTGTTTTGTGGATAATGTGTTAAGACAATTAGGCTGTAATTGTAGGTGCCTGTTCTTGGGAGTAAGTCCCACAGAATTCAGTGAAGCTTATTGTTGAGTTGGCCTGCATGCTTTTGCTCTGCATAAATTATAGACTTTCTGAAATGGAATCGAAAATACATATTCTAGCTGCACTCTTCTGCTCAAACATGCAACTCCATAAAACTAGTGTTAAATTTAAAACTATTTATTTATACTTGGACATTCTCCCCCAATTTTAAAACACTCGTTTATTTTTTAAGGAACAAGGACTTGACATGCAGCAATAGTTCCACCAAGTGGTGATTCCATAGTTGTACATTGTGATGTTTCCTAGACAAGAAAATTCTGTTTGCTTTGTTTAAGTATAATTTGCTTCCAGGTTGAAAGTAAGATGTAAGCACAGCATATTGTATGTTATTATTATTTACTAAACAGTATATTACAGTATTTCAGTGACATCCTCAATTACATCATTCCATATTTTAGTGTTGGTCCAGTTCCTACTTCAAAACATTAACAAAAATACTTTTGAGTAGCATTATGAATTATTGTTGCAAGTATTATTATTATTATTATTATTATTATTATTATTTTACTTTATTTTCTTTCATTGGTGCACACTACTTTGAGGTGTGTGTTTTTTAAAACAACAAAGATTACATTGGTTTGGATTTTGCTTTAGAAAGCAGGATGGTTCAGCTTATGTTGCTTTGCTTCAACTTGGGTCCAAATCAGAGCTTTGCTTCAGAAAAGCCAAGGCTTTGTAATACTTTTTTCACCGTGTGTGTGTATCTCCTTAAAATCTTTATTGAAGGTCCTGCTCTAAGTTCCCCAGCAGATGAAGTGAGATAGGTGACATCTAAGGAGGGCTATCTTGGTGACAGCAATTTATGAAGTAGATTCAGGCAAGAGGCTTACCTGCCACCATCTTTATAGTTTTTTCAGCATCAGATAAATACTTTTTTTCCACATTAAAAGAGTTAGAACCTCAGATTAAACAGACAAGTTGTTTAATCTGAGGTTCTCAAAATTATGATTCATCCTTATTGTGTATCTGCCAGAAATAAATCTTCATACTCCTTTCATTGTTTTGTATCATATTTTTAATATTTATTTTCATTCTTTGTTTTTAGTGCACTTCCCTGCACTAAAGTTGTTTAACTTTATAAATATAATAAATAAATATTTTTGTAGGTAGAGGATGTACTTAACTCTGATCTAAAGCTGGTAAGCCTGCTCAAGTTGTGACCAACTAAGCCAAACACTGCTCAACTCCCATGTGCTAAAGCCTGCCAGATACTTAGCAATCCCTTGCTTCGGCAGTGGCAGGCAGCAAAATCAAGTTTTTTACTCCTTTGTGTAGCTGTTAAATGTCTAGTGGCTATATAACTGATAGCTTGACGTATAGAAGGAAGTTATTGCATGTGTGTATACCAAACTTCAAAATAACAAGCCATGTTCTGATTGTCTTCTGAACCTACTTAATGGTTAAAAGGGTGTGTGTGTGGCAGGGAATTCAATAGAGTGGTGAAGATAGCTTTGGGGGAAATGCAGTTCTTTTTACAGCTACTGGTTTGGATGTAGTGTTACTCTTAGAGTGCTCTCCTGAATGATCTTCTGCAAGCAGAGCTTGAATTCAGCACCTTTTAAATTTAGCACTATAGTACAGTGGTACCTCAGGTTACATACGCTTCAGGTTACAGACTCCACTAACCCAAAAATAGTACCTTGGGTTAAGCACTTTGCTTCAGGATGAGAACTTTGCTTCAGGATGAGAACAGAAATTGTGCTCCAGCGGCGTGGCGACAGCGGGAGGCCCCATTAGCTAAAGTGGTGCTTCAGGTTAAGAACAGTTTCAGGTTAAGAACAGACCTCCGGAACGAATTAAGTACTTAACCCGAGGTACCACTGTAGTTATAAGCCCTGCTCGGATTGGCTCCGCTCCAGAGTTTCTGAGTTAAATTGATCCCCACCCAAAGCACAGCATGCATTTGGGACTGAATCCCTTCCCTGTTTTCAGCAGGAATATTTGCATCTGTGACTTGGTGCAAGCTGAGACTGTAAAAATTAAAAATAATCCAGAGTGCACTTCTAATTCTTCCCTTGAGCCAAGTCACCTGATGTGCGGCTCTTGGAGGGTTGGCTGGATCCATGTCCTCACCTGTCATTTAGTGTAATGTGTGAATGTAGAAAACAAATTTCCTATCAGGCTTCAGCTTTATTTTTTTATTTTTTATTATTTCTGACTAAGTTGCATGAAAATGTTTCTTTTTCAATAAAGGTGTGGTTTAAAAACAAACAATGGTGTTTGTGAACCCGATAGGTTCATGTTTGCATGGACAAGTAATGGGTGGTATCCAAAAGTTAGGACCATTAATATCAGTACATCTACAGTGAGTAAGACTTAATTGCGCAGCACCCAATGTTTCCTGTCCAGCTGCAGCCCTTCATGACATGGAGGGTCTCCTGATTTTTAAGGAGTGTCTTTTCCGGAAGTTCAAGAGGCTGAACTGAAAACCCCTGCTACATCAGTAGAATTTTATGCATGGCTGTTTGGCCGTTACCATTATCGTAATGGTGATCCACCATATTGTTTCCCCTTCAAAACAGGAAAATGGGGTAGGGGGTTGAAAATAAGTATTTGGGAATATTGTGTATGGAACGGTAAGGGTATTGTTGAGGCATCAGAATTTGCTGAGGAACACCTTCAGTAAATAATATTTTGATAACCTGGCAAAAAAGGTAAAAGCTTGCATTATAAAACATAATCAAGTTCATGTTAATTGAGGGTGTTGCTCTTGAATATCTTGCAACAATCAGGTCAAAGTTACTTACAACTAAGCTGTTTTGAAAGCAAAGGAATTAGCTTCAGCTGCTACAATGCTTGGTTGAATTACTTAGAAAATAAGAATGACTTTGTTATTTCAGGACAATGTCCAGCATAATGAGCAACATTTAGTGAGGTCTACGTGCTTGTCTATGCCTATGTGTCTATGTGTGTGGCGCTGTGGGTTAAACCACAAAGCCTAGGACTTGCCGATCAGAAGGTCGGCGGTTCGAATCCCCACGACGGGGTGAGCTCCTGTTGCTCGGTCCCAGCTCCTGCCAACCTAGCAGTTCGAAAGCACATCAAAGTGCAAGTAGATAAATAGGTACCGCTCCGGCGGGAAGGTAAACGGCGTTTCCGTGCGCTGCTCTGGTTCGCCAGAAGCAGCTTAGTCATGCTGGCCACATGACCTGGAAGCTATCTGCGGACAAACGCTGGCTCCCTTGGCCAATAAAGCGAGATGAGCGCCATAACCCCAGAGTCGGTCATGACTGGACCTAATGGTCAGGGGACCCTTGACCTTTACTTTACCTATGTGCTTGTGCAACAGGACTTGGTTCCTTTACTCCCTCATTCAGCACCTCCCCAGGCCATTAAACTCTTGTTTCATAGAGTCCCATAAGCCTCCAGAGCAGATCTTTGGAGGTCACTTGTGGGGCTCATGGGAGGGAGAGAGGTCACATTGCTACATTGGCTCTCACCCAAGGCTTCTATCGGTGACCAACTAGTCATTCCGTAAAAGCTCACAAGCAAACTAGGAGGACAAGAGTTCTTCTCCTTTGTTCTCCTCATCATCTGGTATTTTGGAGACTTACTGTGCAACAGTTTAACATCCCAGAATGCTTCAGTGAAATTTTAACTTGCTGTACAACTTAAAATGCATTAAAAATGTTTTCATGGATAGATTAAGGATTTGGGATGTTTTCATTTGAGATATCCGTATACTAAATCAACATTTTTCATTTCTTTTAATAGGTACCTGTCAGATGAAGGAATTGAAGCCTGCACAAATTCATCTGACAAAGTCAACATAAACGACATTATTCTGATTGCACTTAATGTAGGTAGCATATGTGAACTTTCATAATTGTCTTGTTAATTGTCACTTATTGTAATCATTAGCTTATGGGTTGGCTGATATAATACAAAATGAAATACCATAGCTCTTAAAGGTGCTATTATTGTAAAATAATTACTAGAAAACCCCAAAATAGATTAGAATAGTATTATACAAATTAAAGTTTTGCCTAGTAATTATTTAGGGTGGGTGACTTGAGTTGTTGTTTTAAAGGGAATAAAATAGACCCATCACAATAACAATTGCTAGATTTAATTTCCATTCTGAGTTATAGAAATACAGTTTTGCAATTTTGTTTTTACTTGCTGGGTTTATAGAACAGGTTTCCATCTGTAATAGAAGTTGATTGAAGCCGTTTTATGTATATATTCTACCTTGTTTTTATGTTTTGGTCTTAAGTATGTTGGATAAATTAAGTTAGAAATACTATTTCTGTTATAGAAGTATAGGCATTCTTTAGTCTATTACCTGGGGATTTAACTGGAGGCAGTTTCTTCTGCCATAATATTGTTAAATAGAAAACAATAGTGATATGGTTCATTCTTTGAAATCACTATTTCTCCTGCTTCTTCCCAAAGGGAACAAGGTAGAACTATCGGTGTTGACTGCATCCGTGTTATATAAGCATTTTTTTCTAAGTTTTGTTAGTGCTTCATACAATTCTCTTCGTATTTCTTAAGAATAATTCTGTATAGTATATCAATTACTAACTTTATGTGTTCTCTGAAAATTTAACTGTGGCCTTCTGTTCATGCTTCTTTACTAGGCAAGCAATAGTTTTTCTGGTTCTTGCCTTTATTTAAAATTACCTCTTCAGCACAGCAAATTTTTTTATACCAACAAAAATTGTGCTAGTGTACTGTATTGTCTCCGTTGAATATTCAGGTAATAGACTAAGCATATGTTATCATTAACCAGCAGATAGTCAGAATCTATGAGCAGACATTTAAGGAAACAGAATGGAAGACTAAAGACCCTGTCATGCCTTCTCTCTTTCTCTCCTTAGAATTATAGTCTTTTATAGTATCTGAAGAAGTGTGCATGCACATGAAAGTTTATACCAAGAACAAACTTAGTTGGTCTCTAAGGTGCTACTGGACAATTTTTTTATATATATTTAGTCTTTTATAGTGTTCATTATATTCCCTTTGGGTTTCCTCACCCATATTTTGCTGGTGCGTCTCATACATCTTGCAAATCTGTTCTAGAGGGATAGCATAAGGAGCTGCAGTAAGCAGGAAAATAGTCTAGCACCCACGTACACAACTCCTTTGTCATTTCTGCTTCCTTTCAGGATGCTTTAGATTTCATTCAATAATACCACCTACATGATCCCACAGGAGTTTTTGCAGCCATGCATACTAGAAACTTGCTTAATACAGTGGATAAACAAAATATAGTTATGTAAATAACTAATGAAGGTTATGTAAATCCTAATTGTAAAGGGTGCGCAGGTAAAGAACCAACATTTAAACCACAGAGATTTAATGATTTCTATTTTTAAAAATGAGCGGTGTCTCTGGCGTTGGGTCAGCTATTGGAACAGTACTATAAATGTTTAGTTCAAAGTTAAAACAAAAATTTGAAGCATAAATCATTTAATTCTATTGTGCATCTGCTTGTTTATAGGAAGAAAATGTAATCTGAGTGTTGCAGTGTCTTGGGTAGTAATATTCATTTTTAAAAAAATACTGTATACTTCCTTTTAAAAGTGAACATCTCAATGTGCTTTACACAATAAAAACATAAAACAATGAAATAGTGTGTATGTGTGTGTATAAAACAATTAACTAAAAAAACCCATTCTAAATAAAAATAAAAATATCAGTAACAGCTAGCTAAAGGATATGACATACAAAACCTGCTTCAAGTAAATGTAGACTAAAACAGCTGGATCTTAGAAACCATTAGGAAATATGGAGGGAACCAAGCATACATAGCTGCTAGAGGTCTGAACTGTAATTTCTGTAAAAAGGCAACAAGTTTTTTATAACATTATTTTACTCTTCTTAAGTAGGGATTATTCCTTTTTAAAGATTTGCATTAAGTTGCATAAAAGATTATTTTGTTTAAGAGCTGTGTATGAGAATCATGAGCTTGATACTTTGTTCATGGGTATGTATATTTACCAGTATGCGTGACTGTGAAATACTGTTATTACTTCTTACTATAAATTATTTCTTATGAATTGTTACTTTCTTTCTGGTATCTATTTTGGAAAACAGTACTCAAACTTAATTTCTATTTTGACTTCAGGCAGATTTAAGAGCTATTGGGAAGAAGTTCCTTCCAAGTGACATCAATGGCGGAAAGGTGGAAAAGGTAAAATTGCTGGCTTTTGCAGTACTTGTGTTCATACAGTACTTGTATTCCTGCAGCTTTTCCAGCTGAACTTGTCTCTCTTCTTCTCCCTTCTCCATTTACTGGGCATCATCCCTGCAGGGGCTACTGGTGTCAGGTGATTAACAGGTGGGTTGTCAAAGTCTCTTGCAAGGTTTTCTCAGGTGCCTGGGAGCCAGCTGATTGTCAGGTGCTTGGGAACAGAGCTGGCTTTTAGGCACTTGGAGAGCACTGTGCAAGCCCTGGGCACCAGGATGACCGTGCTGCATGCTGCATGGATCAGCTGTGTGATCTAGTTCCTTTATCTAGTGATCTAGGGAACTTGGTGGCACAGCTAAACCAGCGAGGTGAGCTCACTCGCTATCAGCTGGGTAGTAACTTTATTCCTGCTGTGATTGAGTTGTCCAATCCAGCCACTTCTCTACCCGCCCCACACCTGACGTCACATATGCTGTCACATGCGGGCAGGTGGGGGAAACTGCCCCAAGCACATCCCCACCCTCGTCGGAACAACGATAACTAGGGTGTAACAGTACAGTTTCATGGAACTTAGAATCATGATATACAAGCTTCAGCCACAAGATGGCTGCGTTAGATTAAATTTGAAGAAAAATGTTGAACTTCAGCATATGGGACAGATAATGTAACAGCGTGCCTTATCGTGAGTAGAGTTAAATGGTGTTTAATATAATGATTATTGTACTTAAACAGGAAATCTGATACTTCTCAGTGTATGAAGGGTTTGAACAAATTTAGAGCTAATCCAAACTATGCGCAGTTAGCATTTTTTCCAAATTATTGTTGGAATATTAGGTTTAAGTGCTGAAATCAATTTAGGTTAGCAGTCTTGGTCTTCTCTGCAAATATCTTTAATATCTGTTTGGTTGTACAAATCAAAATTAGGGATCTTTTTAATATATTGTTATGCTGACGGTGAGACTAGATCTTCTCTTGTCTTTTTAGTGCTGGGTGTTTAAGCGAATTTTTTCAGAAGCCTTAGCTCTGTACAGTGGTACCTCGGGTTAAGTACTTAATTCATTCTGGAGGTCTGTTCTTAACCTGAAACTGTTCTTAACCTGAAGCACCACTTTAGCTAATGGGGCCTCCGCACTGCCGGAGCCCGATTTCTGTTCTCATCCTGAAGCAAAGTTCTTAACCTGAAGCACTATTTCTGTGTTAGCGGAGTCTGCAACCTGAAGCGTATGTAACCCGAGGTACCACTGTAATTAAATGTATATGTTTAATGGGGGTAACCATCAGTTACCAGCCAGTGTGGTGTAGTGGTTAAGAGCGGTAGTCTCGTAATCTGGGGAACCGGGTTCGCGTCTCCGCTCCTCCACCTGCAGCTGCTGGGTGACCTTGGGCTAGTCACACTTCTCTGAAGTCTCTCAGCCCCACTTACCTCACAGAGTGTTTGTTGTGGGGGAGGAAGGGAAAGGAGAATGTTAGCCGCTTTGAGACTCCTTAAAGGGAGTGAAAGGCGGGATATCAAGTCCAAACTCTTCTTCTTCTTCTTCAGGTGAGAAGCTGAAAAAACAGGGTGCCAAAGTATAAGCTGCACTTTTGTGGGTCAGATGGCCTGTAGATGGACCCATTTGTTAGAGGAGGGAGATAAATTGTGCTTAGACAAGGAATCATTTGGTAAATTCAACAAGGAGGTTTTAGGATTGGGACAGACATAATTTTTCAGATTCTTCTGTACAAACAGCCTGTAGATATTGGACTGCTTCACATTTTAAGCTAAGCAATGATTTAGTGCTATGTACACAAGCCTAGAATGAGCCTGAGGAAAGGCCAATGTCCCCCAGCTCTCCTGTGCAACCAGGAGAATAGCTTCTTAGGAGCCAGAATAAAATTCAGCCACCCCACTTGCTGTACTTAATAGTTGAATTTAGCAGCACAGAAGTTCCCGCCACAACTGTTTGGCAATTGTTTCTGAAGGTTAAAGAAGGTTTTCTAGTGGGTGGGTGTTTTTTGTCAACTCTATTTTGTCCTGTATATCTCCGGCTTTGGTGTCATTTCACCTCAGCGGCCAGTGAAATCTGTGCATGCATAGGCCCCACTGTCTTCAACTTAACTACTTTCCTGGGAGTAAGCCCCATTGCATTCAGTAGGGCTTGCTTGTGAGTAGACACACTTTTGCTTGCACTGCTTATTGAAAAACACCCTCCCCATCATTCTCACATAGTACCCAACCTCCCATTTCAGCATACGGCAGCCAGCTAAATCTTCTCCCCCCCCCCCAGCCCTCATCCCATCAATCTCCCTTTTTATCAAAGGGAGGGAGGGAGGCCCAAACAAGCAATATTGATACTGAAATTTTAATCAAATCATGATATCGCTTTTTGTTTTTGTTTTATATAAAAAAAAGACCTTCTAATATATTGCAGATCTTGTGCATGGTATTCAGAAAACACAATATTGGAAAAACCGGGAAGCTAGTGCTTCTTCCTGTGCTAACTCTGCCTCAGTCAACTGTTCCCTGCCAGCAGGCTGCTGCAAAAATCGCCACCTCTTTGAGAATGGGTTAGCTCTCCCCAGTGGCGGAGGATGCCGTTCGGGCACATGGGGCTGGGCAAGGGCGGCAACGCACCGCAAGGCCTCCGGAGTCTGCCTGCCTCCTCCCACTCAGCCGCCCTACAGCTGGGGGGAGGCAGCGGGCGGACCGTTGGGGCAGCGCGGAGCCTGAGCACGCCCAAGCCACCATGTCTCTCCCAGGAGAGAGGCCTGGCTTGGGCGCGCTTCAGGCCCCGCGGTGAGTGCCGCCCGGCATTTTGTCACCCCCCTCAATGGCGACACACAGGGCAGCCCTCACCCACCACACCCCCCTTCCTCCACCCTGGCTCTCCTTGCCATCCCTACTAATAGCTACAATAAAGGTAAAGGTAAAGGTACCCCTGCCCGTACGGGCCAGTCTTGACAGACTCTAGGGTTGTGCGCTCATCTCACTCTAGAGGCCGGGAGCCAGCGCTGTCCGCAGACACTTCCGGGTCACGTGGCCAGCGTGACGAAGCTGCTCCGGCGAACTGGCACCAGAGCAGCACACGGAAACGCCGTTTACCTTCCCGCTAGAAAGCGGTACCTATTTATCTACTTGCACTTAATTGTGCTTTCAAACTGTTAGGTGGGCAGGAGCTGGGACCGAACGACCGCCGCGGGGATTCGAACCGCCGACCATGCGATTGGCAAGTCCTAGGCGCTGAGGTTTTACCCACAGCGCCACCCGCGTCCCTGGAATAGCTACAATAGTCTGCTGCAAAAATTCCTGCCTTTTTCAGTTAGCTCTCCCCGTCATCACTACAAATAGCTACAAAAACTGGTTACAGGCTGAGCAAAAATCACTGCAACCGCTGCACAGTCTCCTCTGCCTCCTAATCGTTTTTCACTTCCAAATTGCTTGCTTCCTTGCTCCAGTGATGCTGAGTCTCTGTGGCACAACACTTACAAGGAACTACTCTGTGATGCTGCTGCTGCTGCTCGCTCTCTGTCCCGTTCTCTTTGTTAACTCTTTCCCTTCGAAATTGCTTGCTTCCTTGCTCCATCTCTCTCTGTCTCTCTCCCTCTCTCTCTCTCTCTCTCTCTCTCTCTCTCTCCCTCTCTCTGTGTGTGTCTGTGTCTGTGTCTCTTTCCCCTCCCTTGTTGGTGCTGGAGCCCTTTGTTAGCTGTGTATAGAACCCCCCCCCCGCTTGACTTTCAACTTGCTTCAGAATAAAGGGGGGGGGGAGCCCCTGTGTTTGTTGTGTGCACCTTTCTTTTGGGGCAGAAGCAGCCCACAGGTTTCTTATTAACCCAGCCTATGCAGCCAGCCCCATGTTAACTCTGTGAGTCTTCCAGCTTACCAGTCCAAGCAGGAGGGAAATACCCTCTCGAGATGCTTGTTGGCTTGCAAGTTGCTTCAGAGTAAAAGAAAAAAAGCACTCTGCTCTGCCTTTTGAACCTTTCCCCCCATCTGCATCTGTGTCTCTCCCCCTCATTATGCCCCCCCTCATTTTCTCTTCCAATCCCATACCGTACCCTAGAACTCTTCCCAATTCTCTCCTGGCCCCTTTGGTTTTTCACACATTTGTTATTAATAACAAATTAATACATTGATATTAAATGTGAAGTTTGGGTGCACAGTTAGAAAAGAATGAAAGTGAGCCTACTGCAACCATTATAGGTCTAGCCTCTGTGTGACCCAAGGTTCCACCTGCATTTCTTGGAGGCTCCTGAGGTTGTCAGACAGGATGCCATAAAGAAGATGACAGACTTGCATGGGACTCTGCTGCTTATACAGAGCCAAATACTCACCATGCTCCATAGAAAAGGGGTTGGCAAAAAATGTTTATTTCAAGTGGAGGACCAAAGAGCTAAAATAACTATATGGCTATGCCAACAGTGGACATTGATGAATGCCCTTTGATATGGTGAACGGCACATGAGGCATCCTTCCCACCTTTGCATGGTGCATGCAAAGAAGTTTTGGGCTATCCCAGGAACGAGTGTGCCTTCTGAAAGTGTGTTCAGCACATGTTCTTCAGAGACAAATGGCATCTCTATTGCCAGAGAATGCTGAAATGCAAATTTTCCTTGCAAAATTTTTCATTTAATCATTTTTTGTTCTGTAAAATTTTATCCATTCTTTCTGGTTTGGCCTGGCTTAGAAAAGAAAATTACCCATCAATCAGATAACTGGTTTGTGGGATGTATAAGACTCAGTGAATACTTGAATATCTAAAAGTGTGACACTGAATTGGTGTTTTGCTTGTTTAGTAACGTAATTAAAATTTTAGTAAACATTCTCTCACCTTACTTTTGATATATGCTACTGATTACCGTATTTTTTGCTCTATAAGACTCACTTTTTCCCTCCTAAAAAATAAGGGGAAATGTGTGTGTGTCTTATGGAGCAAATGCAGGCTGTGCAGCTATCACAGAAGCCAGAAGAGCAAGAGGGATTGCTGCTTTCACTGCGCAGCAATCCCTCTTGCTCTTCTTGGCTTCTGAGATTCAGAATATTTTTCTTCTTGTTTTCCTCCTCCAAAAACTAGGTGCGTCTTGTGGTCTGGTGCGTCTTATAGAGCAAAAAATACGGTACTTCTACAGCTTTAATTTTAGAGAAAATGTGCTGATTTAAACATTATTGGTACAGTACCACTATAACATAGCAGTTGTAACAATATGTTAAAGGTAAGTAAAAAATTAGCAGTTTTAGAATTAGACTCATAAGTAGTAGCAGTTGTCAGGACATTACCACGTTCACCTCTACATAGCTCCAGCCTTATTTCAGATATTGTGATATATTGAAATATTGCAGTGTTTAGCTGGTGATATATCGTGATGTTGAAAACCAGATATCGCCCAACCCTAGTGTCCATAGAAATGATGGCAGCGCTCTGGCAACAATAATAATGAAGTATAATTAAAAATGTTTTTTTTAGGTAACCTAATACCTACCAGAACCATTTCCTATAGTAGTTACACAAAATATAACAAAGCTAATTAAAGTAATTTTGCCATTGGTCTTCACAGCTAGAAGGTCCATGTGTTCTACAAATCCAAAAAGTACGCAATATAGCTGCACCAAAGGATAATGAAGAATCTCAGGCTGCTCCAAGAATGCTGCGTTTGCAGATGACTGATGGACACACAAGCTGCACTGCAATAGAATATAATTATATGTCCAAAATAAGGTAAACAATACTTATTTTGCTTTATATTGACTGAAAGCACATTACATTTTAGAACTCTCAAAGGCATTTCAATATATAGAATATGTCTGAGTTTACAATATCTTTTGAAGGAGAAAAAGTTTGTTCCAGAAGTGAAGAAATAATAATCCTATACGAAGAAATCCTTCATATCTTTTTCTGTTTGTGGTTTATGCCTCCAAGAATAAATTGACTGCTAATCTCTCATAGTGGTCCTTGGTTTACAATAGCTGAAAACACAGAAGTACACTGTAAAAGTAAAACATTTATAAGAAATTAATTTAATTTAGGGTGTTACGTGTTATACACAGCTATAGTTAAAGCTGTCCTTCAGATTCTTTGGGCAATTGTGTGCCTATATGATACCCATTCAAGTAATCAGCTGGAGTTTAACATAGGGTGATAACAGCTGAAAGGCCATCTGGCCAGCTGATTAGTTGTGTACATAAAATGAGTGTAATTTCATTACTAAAAATGCTAATGAATTGCATAATAGGTATGCTGGATTAGACTACATATGAATTAGTGACTTGATGAGAAGCCGTGTGCAAAGCTCATTGGCTTTACACGTATGGTAAACCATAAAGAGATTGCAGAGCAGTTTGTGCACTAAGAAATTACTTGGTGAGCAAAATCAAGAATATCTTAACATTATACAAAAGCCTTTCTCTCTGTAAGAGCCAACGTCTAGGGGCTGAGGGGGCTTCTTGCCCAAATAAAATATTTGAGGGTGCTGTGGCCCTCAAAGTTGATGGACATTGCCCTTCAAATAGCATGCAGGCACCGCATCAGGGGGGACTTACCTGCCCCCCATATTTTATACAAGTTGGCACCCCTGCCAACACCAATTTAAAACTGCCCTGCAACATTCCTGAAGCTTCTCTAACAGAAAGCTGCTACCCCATGCACATTCATAGTTACACTACATAGGGATATGCAAGATTGTGCAAGGTTGCACCCAGATACGTTTACCCTAGTGCTAGTTTGTGATTAATCATAAGACTTGTTGTCTTTACACAACTTCTCCCCACAGCTTTAGAGGCCACAGTACAACTGGAACACTGCCTCCATATTAGATATTCTGTCCTTTTCCATGTTGGTCAAGGAGGTATGCTCCTGTTTTATCCTATATTATCTACACAGTTGCCTTAAATCTTGCAACAAGACAGCACTGGAGGTAGTGTGGTGGCCAGGATTAGGTATTTGGTTTCATAGTTGTATGTATCCTTTAGATCTACTTTAGTATAAAACCATTCAAGAACCACTGTGGCTTCACTTTAATTGCCCATATTTCTTCCCAGAGCTCATGTGCCCATTTTCTCATTATCTGTAGATGAAAGCATGTTAGGCATCCAAAAATAAGTGTGAAGTTGTACTCCAGTACCAAAAGATCGGTCCAGCTTTGCAAGATCCTACAGGACAAACCTTCAATTTTATATTTGAATAAATTGTATACTATTTAATTAAATAGTTTCAAAGACAACGTTTTTGTTTCTGAAAATGTGAAATGCTGGTTTTGTCATCTTAGTTCTTTAAAAGAAACATGTTTCTTTCTGGAAAAAGTTGTCCTTTAAATAAAACCTAAGTGAAGAATAAAGTTTATTTGCACCTGTGCTTGTCAAAATATTTTTTTCAAAGCAGTTTCTAGAAAGAAAACAAAATAGAGTGACAGTAAAAGCACAGCTTAAAATAGCTCAGCATTTTTTAGAAAAGAAGATTTTACATAAGCAAAAATTGGCTACAAAATATATTTAAAACATTTTCAGCATCTGTCCAAATGGGGGGTGGGGGCTTCTCTAGTTTCTTCAAGTGCAGAATTCTGCGATTGCAGTGCCAGTGATCAAAATTTTGCTAATGACTGGCTGGAGTTTAGATTCTCAGATGCTGATCTTGGGCAGTCCTTAAAGTAACCTGGTTCTAGACTGCTTACACATTTTGAGGATTAATAGAACACTTTAAACTGAGCCTGGAAACAAACAATGTATTACTGCAACATGCTCTGACCACCCTTGTACCATTTGCAGTTTTTGAACTAGAACAAAATGGCAGCTCTGCAGAAGGAGCCTGCTGACTTTAATTCAGCACTCTTTTTCTTGAGGATGGAAGTTGTCACATATTATGTTAGTTAATAAACTATGATTGTAGTATTCATGGAGATCTGGAAGTAATTCGCATCACCTCAACTGTCTTAATAGAGCTGTTGGCAAAGGGCAGGACTGAGCAATATCTAGACCAGGCATAGGCAAACTCCAGCCCTCCAGATGTTTGGGACTACAATTTCCATCATCCCTAGCTAACAGGACCAGTGGGTCAGGGATGATGGGAATTCTACTCCCAAACATCTGGAGGGCCAGAGTTTGCCTATCCCTGATCTAGACCACCAGCTCATCTGATAAGATGCTAGACTAGGAATATGGAAGACCAAACTCCACAGTTGGGCTCCTTCCTTCATCTGTGACCAACGCAGAATGCAACAGGGTCTGTATGGAGCCAACATTATAATGAAGATGGTGAAAGTAGAATGAACATCTTTTTTCATTCAGTAATGCTTGACAGGGATTTGGAATTTCTCATGACACTTTGTACTAGAGGTGTCTTGATGCTGTTGGTGGATTACAGATATGTGATGGGTCTCTATCTCCTTTCTGTGCTGCTTGGCCAATGTCTGAAGCCCTTTGCTTCATTGGGAGGGCTGCATGCTTTGGATCCTCAAGGTCCCAGTAGCAAGGCTGTGAATTCTCACATGCTACTGTAAAGGTGTCTCAGTCATGAGACGCCCCATATTCAGATATCTGAATCTCATATCTCCTTTGTGTGCTGTTCCATTTCCAGGAACAGGGTTTGTTCTCACCTAAGTATCCCTAGTCAGAGCTCAGTTTCTGAAGTGATTGACAGCTGATTTTCTTAATATATTCTGTCAATTTGACAGATGAGTGAACAGTTGAAAACTACCATTGTAATGATTGATGTTCTATAGATGCTGCAGCACTGAAAATGTGTTTTTTGTTTACCTATTTTGCCACTGAACAATGGAGGCACTTGGAAAAAAACGTACAGTAAAACACGTTTTCTGTGAGTGCTTCCAGAAGCAATATGGAGATGGATTCTTACTATGCTTCCTGCATAAGGTGATAGTGCTGGGCCATGTGTTTTCTCATGACTACATCTTCAAGTGCAGATATCTTCAAGTGCAGTGAGTCCTTTCTAGTGATACCTAAATAAGTCACATAGCTATTTAGCATTAAAACAGAATGCACTGTAGTTTCACACTACCAAATTATTTAATATGTATCACATAATAAATAACTTAGAACTGATTCAGTGTAATGGTGATTCAGAACAAAATACTGAAATAATACTTTCGTCAATACTTGTGGAGTTCCTCTTGTTCTTGTGTTTAGTCTGAACACTCCTCCTGGAACGAAAATTAAACTGCTGGGAATTGTGGAAGTGAAAAATGGCATCCTCCTTCTGGATGACAGCAACACAGTGATTCTTGGCGGTGAAGTGGACCATCTTATAGAAAAGTGGGAGTTGCAAAGGGTGAGGTAACATGCTTTTCCCTACCTTAAGCTGAATAATAATAATAATAATAACAATAATAACAATAATAATAATAATTAATTTTATTATTATTTATACCCCATCCATCTAGCTGGGTTTTCCCCAGCCACTCTGGGCAGCTTACAGCATATCTAAAATCAAAATAAAAATATCAAGCATTAAAAACCTCCTGATACAGGGCTGCTTTCAGATGTCTTCTAAAAGTTGTGTAATTCTTCATCTCCTTGACATCTGAGGTGTTCCCCAGGGAGATTGCCACTACTGAGAAGGCCCTCTGCCTGGTTCCCTGTAACTTCGCTTCCTCCAAAGAGGGAACCAGCAGAAGACCCTCAGAGAAGGACCTCAGTGTCTGGGCTGAATGATGGGGGTGACGCTCCTTCAGGTATATTAGTTAAACTTCAAATTATTTATTAGGTATATGAAAATGAAGGCATTGTGATTGTGTTACAAAGCACATTTAATTAAGTCACATTGTAATGTGCATTAAAAATGTTTTTATGGAAAGGTCAGGATTTAAGCTGGGGATGGGGAATCATAGGCTTGGGGGGGCATACCTGGCCTCTGGGGCTCCCCAAGACCATCCCCCCAGACCACAGCCTTCACCAGTCCTGCTCCACACTCTCCTCAAGTTATTTTCCTCCGGAATGTGTCCTTGTGCTGATGCTTCTTGCTGGCCTGGATGGAGAGATGCATGGTGTCTATGGTGCAGAATGTGGGAGGGTACAGAGGAAAGTAGAGCATCCATTGCTCTATCCATGTTTGCCTCTGGCCCTAAAATGCTGTCAGGTTGCTCACGAGGGGATTCTCCATCCCTGATTTAAACCCAGAAAATTTAGCATTTTGTTAGCATTCTGAGGTGTCAGAGAAAAATGGGCTGGCAAAAGTTCCACACTGGAGGTGGGCCGTTTCTATACCAGCCTTCTATCCAGTGTCAGTGTGGTACTGTAAATGTCATAAAGCTCTCTGATTTCCTTGCTGAGGCTTTTTACTTTTTGCCTCTTCACTTTATGGGAAAACCTGTCTCTTTCCTGAGGCACTTCAGAAAGAACTTAGCAAACACTCCTTGTACATCTCTTGAATAGTGGTTTTTGTCTGATTATATGTACCGTATTTTTTGCTCTATAAGACTCACTTTTCCCCTCCTAAAAAGGGGAAATGTGTGTGCGTCTTATGGAGCAATGCAGGCTGCGCAGCTATCCCAGAAGCCAGAACAGCAAGAGGGATTGCTCCTTTCACTGCGCAGCGATCCCTCTTGCTGTTCTGGCTTCAGAGATTCAGAATATTTTTTTTCTTGTTTTCCTCCTCCAAAAACCAGTCTTGGGGTCTGGTGCGTCTTATAGAGCGAAAAATACAGTATTTATTGCAATAATGTATAACCTGCTTTTCATGATGTAAATCTTTCCAAGGCAGCTTGCAGAGTAACAAAACTGTTAATAAAACTGCTATCACACTATCAAAATATTAAGCAGGATCCTTCCCAGAAGGCAGGTGTGGTAAAAGATCTTGGGGTGTGGGAGGGCATAGTCCCTCTGGAGCAGCCTCTAAGGTGGTCTTTTTCCTGCCTAATAAATTGATATCTAGCGCTGGTTGAAGACACAGTGTGTAAAACACGAAGTTCTGTGGTTTGTGTAGCATGTTTCCACCCTACATTTCTTTGAATCCCTAGAACTTCCTATTCCTCAGTAAAAAGACTTCGTATGTATTTCTTTCTAGAGGCACAAGCTTAATGCCCAATTCAAACTGGGTAGTTGATTTGCTTGTTTAGAAAGTTTGCCTTCTCTCTTTGTCTCCTTCAAGCTTTCCTGTGCCTTCACACTCTTCTCATGACACCTGTGCTTCTAGTAAGGTTGATCAGTAAGTTGGTAGATACAGGGCATGACGGGTAGAATGTCCTACCTCTTGCTGTGGCAATACCAGATAATGATAATGTTGCTCAATTTCACAGAGCTTATCGAAACACAACAGAAGTAACATAGGAACGGAAGGTGGACCTCCTCCCTTTGTGCCTTTTGGGCAGGTATGACGTGCTTTTAAATAGATTTAAACTTTGAAACAGAAGCGACTCTGTTGTATCTTAGAATATTTCTTATTATTATTTCTTACTATTTATTGAATATATATACCGCCCCATACCCAGAGGCTTTATTTTAAAAAAGCTACATATAGGACTTTTTATTTCAATACTTTGGCATTGTGTTCTTTAGAGTCTAGTGTTTAACAGGATATGGTGCAGGAAAAAGATATTTAAGCATTAATTTACAAATCGATATAACTGTAAGAAACTAGTTTGAACATAATGCTTTTCTACATGTTTGAGAACTTTCAAGCGGCGGCCAAGTGCTTTCCCAGTCCATTCTTTCAAGTGCCACAAGGAACATCAGCTACGTGATACTTCCTATTTAGCAATTAAATGTTTGGTTAGATATCTTTTTCATTTTAAGTTTTGCCCTTGCTTTGTACTTAGCTGTGTGTACATGGGCCATCTGTATTGGTTTGTTTTTAGAGTGCGCGCGTGCACACACACACACCCAGTTTCTTGTGCACGTACCTATGTCAATGAGACTATATTCTAAAAGCAGCTTGATCTGTGGGGTAGAAAGTTTCAATTTCCGCTATTTGGTACCAACTGGTTGTCTAGAAATGGAGTATTCTTCATCCAGTAGAGAGGATTCTTTAATCAAAGCAAGACCTGAGTGGGGCTGGACTGGGAGGCTTCCTCTGTTTTTTTTTTTATAAGATATTTATTAAGATTTTTAAAAATATTACAATAAAAATGAAAAAAAAATGACAAAAATACAAAATAAAAATAGTTAAAAACACACAGATTTTCCATTACTTATTTTCCTTTGACTTATTTCCCGGACCTCCTCATACCTCCCTTTTTTGTATTCCACTTCAATCTGTTGGTTCAGCAAATCCTTTAAAAATAATAATATTAAATTTTTACCTATTTATAACCCTTTTTTTCATATTCCCTTAAAGCATTACAGCTGGAAACCACTTAATTACTATCCAACATCATTCTAACATTCATTAATTTTACAATATTTCTGTAGATAATCTTTAAATTTCTTCCAATCTTCTTCCACCGACTCTTCTCCCTGGTCTCGGATTCTGCCCGTCATTTCTGCCAGTTCCATATAGTCCATCAGCTTCATCTGCCATTCTTCCACAGTGGGTAAATCTTGTGTCTTCCAATACTTTGCAATGAGTATTCTTGCTGCTGTTGTGGCATACATAAAAAAAGTTCTGTCCTTCTTTGGCACCAATTGGCCGACTATGCCCAGGAGAAAGGCCTCTGGTTTCTTCAAGAAGGTATATTTAAATACCTTTTTCAATTCATTATATATCATTTCCCAGAAGGCCTTAATCCTTGGGCACGTCCACCAAAGGTGAAAGAATGTACCTTCAGTTTCTTTACATTTCCAACATTTATTGTCGGGCAAATGATAGATTTTTGCAAGCTTGACTGGGGTCATGTACCACCTGTATATCATTTTCATAATATTCTCTCTTAGGACATTACATGCCGTAAACTTCATACCTGTGGTCCATAACTGTTCCCAGTCAGCAAACATAATATTATGTCCAACATCTTGTGCCCATTTAATCATAGCAGATTTCACCGTTTCATCCTGAGTATTCCAATTCAACAGCAAGTTATACATTCTTGACAAATTCTTAGTTTTGGGTTCTAACAGTTCTGTTTCTAATTTTGATTTTTCCACCTGGAAGCCAATTTTCTTGTCCAAATTATATGCCTCCATTATCTGATAATAATGAAGCCAGTCTCGCACTTTATTTTTTAGTTTCTCAAAACTCTGCAGTTTCAGTCTATCTCCATCTTGTTCCAAGATTTCCCAATATTTCGGCCAATTGGCCTCCATATTGAGCCTTTTCAAAGCTTTCGCTTCCATCGGTGACAGCCACCTTGGGGTTTTGTTTTCCAATAAATCCTTGTATCTTATCCAAACATTAAACAGTGCTTTCCTGACAATATGGGTTTTAAATGCTTTATGTGCTTTGACCTTGTCATACCACAGATATGCATGCCATCCAAATACATTGTTAAAACCTTCTAAGTCCAAAATGTCTGTGTTTTCAAGAAGTAGCCATTCTTTCAACCAGCAAAAAGCTGCTGATTCATAGTAAAGTTTAAAGTCTGGCAGGGCAAATCCACCCCTTTCCTTTGCATCAGTTAATATCTTAAATTTTATTCTGGGCTTCTTGCCCTGCCAGACAAATCTAGAAATATCTCTCTGCCACTTCTTGAAACAGTCCATCTTGTCCACAATTTGCAATGTTTGAAACAAAAACAGCATTCTAGGCAATACATTCATTTTTATCACAGCAATACGACCCAACAGTGAAAGCTTCAAATTTGACCAGATTTCTAAATCTTTTTCACTTCCGTCCAACATTTTTCATAATTATCTTTAAATAAGTTCCCATTTTTGGCTGTCATATTAATCCCCAGGTATTTCACTTTCTTAACCACAGTCAAGCCTGTCTCATTCTGAAACCTCTCTCTTTCAATCGGTGTTAAATTTTTCTCTAAAACCTTAGTTTTTAACTTGTTCAGTTTAAATCCTGCCAGTTGACCAAATTCTTGAATTAGTTCTAAAACCCTTTTAGTACTAGATTCTGGCTCCTGTAACGTCAATACTAAGTCATCTGCAAATGCTCTCAGTTTGTACTGTTTGGCTCCGACCTGTATACCTTTGACCAACCGGTCCCTTCTAATCATATTCAGCAGAACCTCCAGGACCGATATAAAAAGCAGTGGGGAGATTGGGCACCCCTGTCGTGTCCCTTTTTCTATCTTAAATTCTTCCGTCACCACATTATTTACAATTAATTTAGCCTTTTGTTCAGAGTATATTGCACCTATACCATTTTCAAAACCTTGGCCTACCCCCATCCCCTGTAGGTTCTTCTTCATGAAGCTCCAAGAGATGTTGTCAAAGGCTTTCTCCGCGTCCACAAATATCAGAACTGCTTTAGTATTTATATTCACTTCTAGTTTTTCCAAAATATCAATTATATTTCTCAAATTATCAGACAAGTGTCTTCCTGGGAGAAAGCCCGCTTGGTCTTTATGGATCTCTTCCATCAATACTTTTTTCAGTCTCTTGGCCAAAATGTCTGCAAAAATTTTGTAATCCACATTAAGTAACGATATAGGGCGGTAGTTCTTAAGCTGAGTCTTTTCAGTCTCTGTTTTCGGTATAAGTGTAATGTACGCCTCTTTCCACGACTCTGGTGCCCTTCTTCCTTCCAATATTTCATTACAGACTTCCTTCAAAGGTTGTAATAGCCACTCTTTCAAAGATCTATAATATCTAGAAGTCAACCCATCCGGTCCTGGAGATTTGCCCAATTGCATATTTTGAATGGCACCTTCTACTTCCTGTTCAAATATTTTGTAGTTCAACATTAATTTACTTTCTTGGGAGATTTTTTGTAGTCCATTTGTCTTCAAAAATTTGTCTATGTCCATTTATTTCTGTGGCCCTTGTGTGTATAATTGTTTAAAATACCTCTGGAAACAGTTTCTAATCTCAATTGGGTTATGCATGTTCTTTCCTTCCACTTCTAAGTTTGTGATAGTATTTAATTTTTGTCTTTTTTTCATTTGCCAGGCCAGCAATTTCCCACATTTATTAGCTGATTCAAATGTTTTTTGTCTCATTTGTTTAATTTTCCATTCTATTTCCTGATTCATCATTTCCATATATTGTACTTGATATAATTTTATTTCTCTCAAAATCTCCTGCGACTTTGGTTTTGCTCTCAGTTTCTTCTCACTTTCTTTTATTTTCTCCAAAATTTTATCTTTCTTCTCATTTTGACTTCTCTTCTTTATTGCATTCTGTTGTATCAGAAACCCTCTCATAACAGCTTTACTTGCGTCCCAGATTACTCTTTTTCTACATTGGTGTTCATATTTATTTCAAAATAATCTCTCAAAGTTTTTGGGCCTTTTTATAGACTTCTTCATCTCTAAATAAGGTGTCATTCATCCTCCATCTGAAGGAGCCAGTTGATATTTGTTTCATCTCCATCCTTACAGCGTTATGGTCGGAGCAGGTTTTTGGGCAGATTTCCACTTTCTTTATCTTTGGTGCCATTCCTCTAGTTACCCATATTTGGTCAATTCTAGTCCATGTCATCTTGGCTTCAGAAAAGAAAGTTCCCTCTCTTCCCAGGGGGTTCTTTACTCTCCAAATGTCCACTAAGTCCATATTGTCTGTCATCTCAAAAAATGTTTTCGGTAGTCTACCATCCTTGGTAACTACCTGTCTTTGTGCCTTGTCCATGTTTGTAGATACTACTCCATTCATATCCCCCATCAGAATCAGATTGTAATCCAAATAGTCCAATAAAGTCTCATGCAACTTTTTAAAGAATTCAGATTTCCCCTCATTCGGTGCATAAATTCCTACGATCAAAAATTTCTCTCCTTGAACTTGAATTTCAATTGCCAAAAATCTGCCTTGTTCATCTTTAAAAATTAATTTCGGTGATAGTCTCTCCTTTGCATATATCACAACTCCTCTTTTTTTAACTTTGTCAGATGAGATAAACTCCTGTCCCAATCTTTTATTAATCAGTAGTTTCCTGTGTAGCCTTGTTACATGTGTTTCTTGTAAGCAAATCAAGTCCAATTGTTCCTTTTTTAGTAAATGAAAAACACTTTTTCTCTTTCGAGGAGAGTTCAAACCATTACAATTCCAACTTAACAGTTGCAGAGCCATGATGGGGTTACTTCGCTTTACCTCCAACTGCGCCAAGTGTCTGTTCTTGTTCTGTCGATGGTGTCTCTTCCTCTGGAGCCTCTTGTCCACTTCTTGGAACCTGCACAGTCCCAAAAGATCTTTAAGGGAGAGGAAGAGACAGGGGATCATGCTGGGCTGCTTGAGTAACACAATTGCTCTCTTATAATTTATCTGTCTTTATTTCCTGTGTAGTAGAGACTGGGAAGTTCAGATCACAACTAGAATCTGGCATGTGGCTGTATTGTGATTTGATTCTATTATATTAAAAATGAAATACATGGTTGATGGAGCTGCTTTTTAAATATGCTTTTACATTTCCAGAAGTGTGTATCTCAGCTTCAAGTGGACAGCAGGGAGCTGGATCGGAGAAAAACTCTGCAAGTGACAAGCACAGCGAAACCTGCCGGGGACAATGATGAGTTTGAAAAACAGCGAACAGCTGCTATTGCAGAAGTAGCAAAAAGCAAAGAGGTTAGAAATAGGGTCTGCAGTATATTATTATTATTATTATTATTATTATTTACAATAAATTTGTAATTTGTGGAGGTACTATAATGTCTGTGCGTTCTTTTCTTGGTATTGTATGGAGAAATGAATATGAAGGTATTTGCTGTGTTCCCACAAAATAAATTATCCAGTGAGGAGAAAGGGGGTTCTAAAGGAATTTGGCATGGAGTACTGCTGAAGAGAAAATCACCCAATCAGTTTAGAAGCATGCATTGTTCTATATTCATTGATTATAGTTATTTAAGCTAATTAGAAAACTTGAGTACAGTGATACCTCAGGTTAAGAACTTAATTCATTCTGGAGGTCCATTCTTAACCTGAAACTGTTCTTAACCTGAGGTACCACTTTAGCTAATGGAGCCACCCGCTGCTGCCACGCGATTTGTGTTCTCATCCTGAAGCAAAGTTCTTAACCCGATGTACTATTTCTGGGTTAGTAGAGTCTGTAACCCGAAGCATCTGTAACCTGAAGCGTCTGTAACCCGAAGTACCACTGTATGTAAGAAAGAAAAAAAGATAGATAGATAGATAGATAGATAGATAGATAGATAGATATTGGAAACATATGTTTCATTGTAACTTATCTCAGTACCCAGTTGTTTGTTTGCTTGCTTGCTTGTTTTGGAAAGACCAGAAATGCAGGAGGAGTAGATTGTTCAGATATCACACTAGCCAAGGATTAAAATGAATATGTATATTGAATCACATAAATATGTCAGACTTAGGGTAGATGTTTTGACTGGTTTATTTCATACATAAAATGTTTTGGAACCAAAACATTTTGTTATGTATAAAAGCAAGCAGTTTTAGTAATGTAAAAGGTCCCTTAAACTAAAAGCCTAACCGTACTGCCTGTGTAATCTCTATAATGTATTGGTGATGAAATATTCTTCCTTCCAATTTCTGATTTAAGTTGTTTTTTATATAAGTTGTGGGATTCTCTCCCCACAGAGGTGTGTCTGGCTTCTTCATTCTGTGGCTTTGCACCTCTTTGCCTTTGACACCTGAAATGTGTGTTTTCATAGCCCACTCTGTTCTTGTAACTATAATCTGTTTTACATGTTTCTTATTCTGAGTTTTAAATTGTTGTAACCTAGCCTGGGAGCTGTTTGTGAAGGTTGGGTAATAAATTTGATAGTAATAATAATACCCAATTATGCTTGTTAAAACCTTTTTACAGTATTTTGTGGTTTCTAGAGAGACCAGAAGTGGAGCTAGAAATCAAAATTTTGTTTGCAGGAATGCTAAAAATGAGTATTTTCAGACTGGCTTTCCATAGTGGTTATATAAAGAAAGTTAGTACTGGTGGTACTGAAAGATTATTTTCCTTATCTCTTCTCTAAAGACTAAAACGTTTGGAGGAGGTGGCAGTACTAGAAGCAATCTCAGTGTGAGTACAGGAGGGAATCGAATCAGGGAAGTGTTCCAAAAAGAGAAGATCAAGCCTGAGGGGAAAAATGAAGGCGTCTATCGAGAACTGGTAAGGCTGGAATCTCAGCAAGCCTTCAAACACCAGTATTTTATATGAAGGATGTTCAGGGGGAGGGGAGGGGATGTTTTTGTGCAAGGTATGCAGATATCTTGACTACCAGTACAATTCCTATGTGTTACATTCCGTGGAGCTTACTGAAGGGTACTTCAGTTAGGATTGCAGCCTAACTCAATATTTGATTAAAGTAAAATGTTAAATTGCAAGAAAATTGAAAACCAATTGTCATGGCTGAAAGGTAACATCTTTGCAGATATGTTTCTTATAATCCAGATTTCTCCCCCATTCAGATGGATGTTGAGCTTTTCAACTATGAAAATATTGCTGGATTTTAGTGACAACATCATCAACAACAACAATCATCATCATCTATTTCTACCTCGCTCATCTGGCTGGGTTTCCCCAGCCACTCTGGGTGGCTTCTAACAAAAGATTAAAAATACATTAAAACACCAATCATTAAAATTTCCCTAAACAGGGCTGCCTTCAGATGTCTTCTAAATGTCATATAGTTGTTTATTTCTTTGACATTTGATGGGAGAGTGTTCCACAGGGCAGGTGCCACTACTGAGAAGGCCCTCTGCCTGGTTCCCTGTAACCTCACTTCTTGCAGTGACGAAACCGCCAGAAGACCCTGGGTGCTGGACCTCAGTGTCCAGGTTGAACGATGGGGGTGGAGACGCTCCTTCAGGTATACTAGGCTGAGGCCATTTAGGGCTTTAGAGGTCAGCACCAACACTTTGACTTGTGCTTGGAAACGTACTGGGAGCCAATGTAGGTCTTTCAAGACTGGTGTTGTATAGTCTTGGCGGCCGCTCCCAGTCACCAGTCTAGCTGCCGCATTCTGGATTGGTTGTAGTTTCCGGGTCACCTTCAAAGGTAGCCCCACGTAGAGCGCATTGCAGTAGTCCAAATGGGAGATTACCAGAGCATGTGCCACTCTGGTGAGACAGTCTGCTGGCAGGTAGGGTCTCAGCCTGCATACCAGATGGAGCTGGGAGACAGCTACCCTGGACACAGAATTGACCTGCGCCTCCGTGGATGGCTGTGAGTCCAAAATGACCCCCAGGCTGCACACCTGGTCCTTCAGGGGCACAGTTGCCCCATTCAGGACCAGGAAGTCCCCCACACCCACCCGCCCCCTGTCCCCCACTAAAACTGGTTTAAAATGTTGTTCTTTTGCCAAATCTGTAGTTTGACATCAGCCTTGCTAGTAATTATTTAAAAGTCATTGTGGCAGCAGTGTGCAAGTTGAACTGTTCTTGCAAGCTGTGGCCAGGATCCAGACAAATGCAAAGCTAGTACCTTGTGTCTTTATTGAACAGCAGTTCCCTGTGCTATACTGTGAACTGCTTCTGAAACTGAAGGAGCTTTCAAAAGCAGTTTGGCGTGGAGGTTAGCTATTCAAGAGGAATTTAAATGTTTGAGGTTACCTGTGCTTGTGTATCCCTCTTGAAATTGGTTGAAAAGCACTTTAAAATGCAAGAACCCAGATGGATACTGGGTCACTCAGCCAGGCTGAAAAGTGCCTTCTTTTGAATTCATTCAAGGCAGGTAGTAGCTGCTGGATCTGTGTGCAGCCCTGACAGTGAGAGGGCTGTGATACTTGCAGTGTGATTGCTGCATATAAGACGGGTCTGTTTCCATCATAGTGCAACAGTTCACAATTCCCAGAACACACCAGGTTGTATTGAATGATGTGGGGATAGAAGTGTATTCATCCCAGGCTTTCCTGACTACTCCAATCCATTGCAGTTTTCTGAACCTCCTTAAAAGACTCCCTTGAGTGGTGAGCATATCCTGAAATGTGGCACATGGACTGCAGTGGAATGGGAAAAGCTCCAAATTAGTGGGCGGCATAGGGATCACAATTAGGTGGTGGCATCCCCTACCTGCTCCTGCCCTCCTTGGAGATAATTCAGGAAAGATGTTTGTTTAATCAAAGGCAATAAATAAAGGGCATATTTTGATATTCTCTTTGTCTGTGGTTTGTATGAAATTATGACTTTGTAAGAAATTACTCTTAATTTAGCAAAACAGACTTGTCTTGTGTGTCTTGTGTGTACATGAAATACTAATTTGTGTTTTAATTTAATATAAATATTCACTTTAACAGTTTTATGGGGTACATTGTATCCATGGTTTACATTTATTCATGTCTTCTATTGCAGGTTGATGAAAAGGCTCTCAAACATATAACAGAAATGGGTTTCAGTAAGGAAGCAGCAAGGCAAGCGCTTATGGATAACAGCAACAACCTTGAAGCTTCATTGAACTTCCTTCTGAACAGCAATAAACAAATGACTGTACAAGGGCCACCTCCTAGAGGTACAACTTTAAAGGCTGCTTCTTACAGAAAAGCATTTGAATAGGAACAATTTACTTCTGAACTACAACCAAAGGTTTCTGGTGGTTTTCTGTGAAGCCACCAACTATAATTACTTCCCAGTTAACATTGCTGTTGATGTGTAGAGCATGAGGCTATTGTAACACAGTACATAATGGATTTATAATACAACACCCCAAGGGATTCTGTAGTTGTGGTGCTGTAAAGCTTCTTTCAACGAATGTCTAACCTGCCTTAATGTCACCAGGGTCTTGAGAGTTAGAATGTTCTTTGGCTACCATGGGTTGAGCTGATGAGATCCTTCAGAGGAACATGGCAGACAGCAAGGCCAAAGGGGGCACATGAGCCCAGGAAATGACTTAGCACAAGGAACTAGGAAAAAGTTGTTTGGAAGAAGGGAGTGATACAGAGGAATGGTGAAAAGGAGCAGGAAAACTAGGAAAGGGTGTGCAGAGGTGCACGTATCTAGGAACCTTAAGGGTAAAGTTTCTTCTCCTTTTTCTTCATTAAATTTATATACTCTGCTTCATCCTAAGATCTCAGGGAGGTTCACAAGGTAAAAATACAGGATAAAAGCACAAAATAAATAGAACAAAAACAGAGCAGCACCCCCACCCTGCCAAAAACACTTTTAAAGGGCCATAGAAAATTAATCAGCCCAAGGCCTGATTAGAGGAACACTTTCACCCAGCGCCTAAAGACATATGTTGAGGTCGCCAAACAGACCTCCCTGGGGAGAACATTCCACAAATGGAGCCACTGCGGAAAAGGCCTGTTCTTGTCTTGCCACCCTTTGGACCTCTCATGGAGGAGGCACATGAAGAAGGGCCTCATGATGATCAAAGAGTCCAGATTGGTTTTCAGTAGAATTATGCCAAAAAGCAGTTTAAACAGAACCTCTTGGAATTTCTTCCACTTGGTTTATTTTTCACATATGCTTATTTACAGTAGCACTGACTGGGAAAGAGGGGTCACAAAGGGAGGAGTTAATTCTTATCCACAGTGGAGATGAACACTCCATCACTGTGATCAGCACACTTTTTAACTTTGGCAGGATCTTGTAAATAGCATATCTAATTTTACCAATTCTTTCCTTACTTTCCTTACTATCACTGCTATGTGGTAAAAGTAGAATGTGCTCAATTACCAGCTTCTGTGTCTTATTCTACCTCAAAACATGGATACTACAGAAGGTTTTTGGCTATTACTTCCACTTTCTTTTATATTCTGGCTCCCCATCCCACCCCATTTAGCTCATGGATTCTTCCTGTAATATTTGCAGTTAATTCCCACTGGACCTTCTATAGTGGTCAGGTTCAGTGACTTTTAAAAGTTTTGTCATGCATTGAAGAGGCAAGGCAAGCTTGCTGTTTTGGTCAAATAAGAATAGTGTTGTTACAGACTGCTGTATACCTAATTTTTTTTAAAAGTCTCAGATAAATAAGTTTGAGTGGACATAAGGTAAAGGGTTCATTTTAATGGCCATGCATGCCCTAGTCAGGTGATCATCTCACATGATGAGAGGGAGAAAAGGAGCTCGATAACTAGCTTGGTTCCCAGCCTAGCTCCTCTCTCTGCTTTGGAGGGTGAATGTTTCTAATGGACCCATGCTGAATTGTGGGAGCTCCCTGTAGAATTAGAACCCTAATTGCTTACAGTATTTGGAATTTGCCAGAGCATGAAAAACTTACCTTGCATCCAGGTGCAAAGATTTTCTCTGAAATATATATCCTACTTTAATACACCTTAACATGGTAGGTGTAAGATATTGTCAACAAAAATATGGAAAATGTCTTCAGCCATCTATTTCAGCCTTCCCCAACCTTGTGTCCCAGATGTTGATGGAGAGCATTTGCCATGCTGGCTAGGGGTGATGCAGTTGTTCTCCCAACAACGTCGGGGAACACAAGATTGGTGGAAGCTAATCCAGTTGATAAGTTACTACATTCCTTTAAGGTTTCTCTGTATACCTAACTTTAAAATACTTTGAATTGCTTTATTTTTCAAGCTAAGTTCATTTGACTATAACTAAATAGGTTATATGATTTATCTCTAGGGAAGGGGAAAGGCAGAGGCCGGATACGACCTGAAGATGAGGAAGAACTAGGAAATGCCAGGCCATCGGCTCCAAGCACACTGTTTGACTTCCTGGAGTCTAAAATGGGTACTCTTGCAGTAGAAGGTATGTAGACAGGGTGGGAGTTTGCAGCTTCTTGCACGACACCATGAGTAGATCCATCATCCATATGAGTAGATCCACCTCCTTGGCTAGTTCACAAGTCCCAACTGCTGTGCCTAGGGTGGGGCTTAGAAAACCTCCTGCATATAAGTCTTCAGTCCTTATAGAAAGATGCTGGAACTCTGTCTCCTTAACTTATTTGCTCTCTTTGCTGTGAGCCTGTGTGTATATGATCTTAGACTGTTAACTGGAATTCCTGTTGACCAAACTTTGGACCGTGCCTTGGTCTCACTCTGAATCACCCTGTAAGTGAAATCTGACTCTTGGCATCCTTCTCCCTGACAGCAGGATACGGACCATTGCCACACTGGCTGGGGTTCATGGACGTTTTAGTTCGAAACGGGGCACCCCATTGGCTAATAATCGATGGGGTAGGAGAAAGTGCTGGAGCAAATAGAATCTATATACCATGTTGACTCAGGTGATTAGGGCCCCTGCAGAGTGACCCTCCTCCCACCCTGACCTCTGGGCATTCCATTGTACAGTGGAACCTCTAGTTATGAACTTAATTCATTCCGGAGGTCGGTTCTTAACCTGAAACTGTTCTCAACTAGAGGCGTGCTTTCGCTAATGGGGCCTCTTGCTGCTGCCGGCACACGATTTCCGTTCTCATCCTGGGGCAAATTTCTCAACTTGAGGTAACTCTTCCAGGTTAGCGGAGTTTGTAACCTGAAGCGTTTGTAACCTGAGGCGTTTGTAATTCAAGGTACCACTGTACTGTATAGACCTAGTATTGTGGAGCAGGCATCACCTTGAACATTTATAGCTGTCCTCTTAAGTCTGAGTTTTCTTGGACATGTCCTCTTTTGGGGGGCCAGCATACCCATCCAGGCGGATTTTTGCATTTTATATGAAATGTCCAGGTTTGGGTCTGAAGTGAGGTCTGCAGCCTACGTTGGCACTGCCAGCGACACTGAGGACAGATGTTGAGGATAACGACGCCAGACCCACATGCCTCCTCACTTGCACGTCACCCAGAGGCCACACGGTTCTTCAGAGTGGCAGAACAGTAGACCTAATCCTGTGTTTCCCAAAATGGGTGATACCGCCCCCTCGGGAGGCTGCAAAGATCCAGGTGCAATTGGTGGGTGCTGAATAAAGCTGAGGGGGCGGTGGAAGCGACACCACCTCCCCTGGCTCCAGCGGTCATGCTGGAGGCCAGGGTTTTTCCCAGACTTGGGTGAGCCATTTTCAGCTTCACCCAGGATCGGGAAGTAGATCGCAGCTTGCCTGCCTATTTGGCCAATGGCAGGTGGGCAATGGCGCCAGCCCCACCACTGGGGCGGATCGGACTGAGCCAGCCGGCTTCACTCTGGTACGGCCCATGGGTTTTTAATCCTGGGGCCTAGTTCACCTCATAGAGCTGAACATTAATAAATTGAAGGCAGTGCACTAGGTTCATCCTTCTCATTAGGACTATTTTTAATGTTATTTGTAATTTTTATTTTAATATTATCCTTTGTTATCTTCATTTTGTGTGTGTAATGCAAATGTTACTATGGTTGATTTTAATAAATAATTTTATAATTTCGAGTTTCAAGGTGTCTTATTTACAACATTTTTCTGTGCTGTGGTGTAGGACGGAGGTAGAAATATAGATACATAAACAATGCAAATTTGTCACTGCATATTTCTCTTTGTTCACTTAAGGACGGTGGATTTCCGGGGGGCGCTGAGTATATTTTTTTTTCTGAAAGGGGGGCAGTAGGCCAAATAAGTTTGGGAACCTCTGGTGTAATCCGTCAAGGCAGCAAAGAGGGAAACTTTAAAAGTGACTGGTTGAACAGATAACATTTTAATCCCAGCAAATGGGTTATCCATGGGTTGGCTTATACTTGGATCATCTAGTGAAAAGACTGGAATGTTTTTTTCTCCAAGACCAGTCCTGGTGGGACCTTTGGTATGCTGCCTTGTCTTTCCCACTCATGCCCAGAACATTAACCAATATCTAATTAGAAAACGCATATTGGTCATCTTGGAGACTTCTTTCTGGCCAGGTTGTGTATGGTTTGCCTGTGTTTGTTATAGCTCAGACTTCACCACGGTTGCATTGTACAGTCTACCCAAACTTGCTTAGCCAATAGCTCTTCCTTTATTTTAGACTGGACCTTTACTGTAGAGGCTCAAAGTTCAGGGCTAGGAGGCTCTGGGATATTCTTCTGGAGTACTTTACACTCTACTGGCAGCCCAAAGGGACTCAGCTCACAGGATATACCAGAACACTTGGACTCATTTAATTCTGTGGTGCCAGAATGTCTGTTTCTCTATGATGGTTTTGGTTGAGGTCTAAAGCCTAATACCCTCTCCAGCCAGCCTCCCACAGAAGTAGTAATGGCCTCCATGGTTTTGTTTTTTTTAAAAAGGGTAAGACAAATTAATGTAGTATATTTTTCCCTTATTAAAAATGGCTACAAACCACATTGGCTATGTTCTGTCTGCACTGTCGGAGGCAATATGCATCTGAATTCCGGTTGCTGGGAATTACAAGTAGGGAGAGTTGCTGTAATGCTCATGTTGTTGTGTTCCTTTGCTTTGTGTTTTCGATTTTTCTTTAATGCTGTCAGATAATATTGAGATTTTCCAGTGTAAGAATATGCAGCTTGAAGTTGTTCTGAAATGTCTGTATATTATTATTTCTTAAATTTCTATACCACCCTTCGTCCAAAAATCACAGGGCGGTTTACAACATAAAAACACAAAAATACATACCATAGTAAGAAACAAGTATTCTGCCCTCGGTTTAAAAGACTAAAGAATGTTAACCAGCCAAAAGTCTAGTTATAGAGAAACAGTTTTGCCTGGTGCCTAAAGATATGTAATTAAGGTGAGCCTCCTTGCGGAGAGCATTCCACAAGTGGGAGCCACTGCAGAAAAGGCCCGTTCTCGTGTTGACACTCTCTGGACCTCTTGAGGAGGAGTCACAGGACGAAGGGCTTCAGATGAGGATTGCAGGGTCCAGGTCAGTTCATATGGTTCATATGTTGGCTCCCCAACTATTTTGTATGAAGTGAAACAGTAAACGTGGCATTAACCCGAAGCTACTGTGAGGGATGTTACTGGTGTAACGGGTGTGATATTTTGCATTACAAATTATACTCTAATATGTGATAGTTGCATAGTTCCAGATAGTGGGATAAACAGAGGAAGTTTGGTATGTAGTGTGCAGTTGGAAGACCAAGGGGCTAAGAGCTATTTCTTCCTTTAAGTTAAAAAACAACAGCACAAGTTTTATTCCGAGCCTCTTATGCACTATATTGTTGATCTCTTCCAGTCATTTTGAATCCATTGTTGCAAAAATTAAGGAAAGGTGTTTGAAGTTACAGTTTCAAACACTTTAAGGGGGGAGGAGAACCTGTGCACCATCTAGAAATTATTTTTTAAAAGAACTGCATTATTTGCATGTGAAGAAGCTTTCAGTATTCTTTAGCATTTTATTTAATGAAAGGTTTCCTTTTAAAAGTAGTTTAACTTGGAGTATTTTGAAGTATTTAGACTACACGTAAAAGGAGATTTTACTTGTTATGGAACCACTTTCAAATTTTACAAAGAGATAGTTGTTTCAGCAGCTACTTGAGGCACCCTTCCTGGAAATAAGCTTGTTGTTGTGTAAAACACAATTTATGAAGCTCCGAGCTATGCTTGAGTTTTGTTACTCCCAGTTTCTGTGATTTGTTGTTGAATGTCCTTTGGCAATACCTGACATCCTTATCGATGTTTTGTATAGCTAGATGGAAATCTTGCTAATGGGAAAACTCAGCTTTTTCCTCCTTCAGATACACACTCCCCCCGCCCGCCCCCGTCCAAAAATGGGAAGCTTAGTTCCAAATGGTTTCAACACATGTGAACCACCCTGAGATCTATAAATGAAGGACAGTATACAAATTTAATAAGCAGCAACAACACTGACCTGGTGCAAAAACAGAATTGTCTTCTGCAGGAAATTTTGCAGACAACTTTAATCCAGGGATGGTGGGACCTTGTGGCCCTCCAGATGATGTGGGACTCCAACTCCCCTCTGTCCCAGCCAGCATGACTAGTGACCCAGGATGATGGTTATGAGTTCCCCATCCAAACTGGGAGGGGTGGCTAACACCCCAGAGGACAGGATCACACTTCAAAACGACCTTGACAGATTAGAGAACTGGGCCAAAACAAACAAGATGAATTTTAACAGGGAGAAATGTAAAGTATTGCACTTGGGCAAAAAAATGAGAGGCACAAATACAAGATGGGGGACACCTGGCTTGAGAGCAGTACATGTGAAAAGGATCTAGGAGTCTTGGTTGACCACAAACTTGACATGAGCCAACAGTGTGACGCGGCAGCTAAAAAGCCAATGCAATTCTGGGCTGCATCAATAGGAGTATAGCATCTAGATCAAGGGAAGTAATAGTGCCACTGTATTCTGCTCTGGTCAGACCTCACCTGGAGTCCTGTGTCCAGTTCTGGGCACCACAGTTCAAGAAGGACACTGACAAACTGAAACGTGTCCAGAGGAGGGCAACCAAAATGGTCAAAGGCCTGGAAACGATGCCTTATGAGGAACGGCTAAGGGAGCTGGGCATGTTTAGCCTGGAGAAGAGGAGGTTAAGGGGTGATATGATAGCCATGTTCAAATATATAAAAGGATGTCACATAGAGGAGGGAGAAAGGTTGTTTTCTGCTGCTCCAGAGAAGCGGACACGGAGCAATGGATCCAAACTACAAGAAAGAAGATTCCACCTAAGCATTAGGAAGAACTTCCTGACAGTAAGAGCTGTTCGACAGTGGAATTTGCTGCCAAGGAGTGTGGTGGAGTCTCCTTCTTTGGAGGTCTTTAAGCAGAGGCTTGACAACCATATGTCAGGAGTGCTCTGATGGTGTTTCCTGCTTGGCGGGGGGTTGGACTCAATGGCCCTTGTGGTCTCTTCCAACTCTATGATTCTATGATCTCTGCTTAAAGCTAAGAACTTGGGGATTGCTGCACAATTATGGGGCTTGCCTCAGGTCCAACACTCCTAGAAGCTTATCAGCAGTTCATTTTCGTAGCATAAAGGAAACTGACAGGAACTCCAACTCCACCCCACCATTTCCTCTTGTATTATTCCTTCTCCAGTGAGCCATTAGCCCAAACTATCAAATGGCGTATATGCTTTTGCTGGACAGTAGTAACAAACCTAATTTGACACTTAAGAGCAGGACATGCTGTTTTGTCACACAGCTAGACATCTCTTCAGCTATTATGGTAAAATGAAATTGGGGAAAATAGCTTGGAAAATGGCTCAGTCTTTGCCTTAATTGCAAGACAGGAAAGCTTTTGTCTTATACTAGGTAGTTTTAAGATGACAAGCATTTCCCTTTTAAGTTGTCAGTCAATCATTTTATTCACTTAGGTTCCCATAAATCTGTGACCTTGAAATAATCATGCCAGACTAACCTCTTTCCCTTTGCAGAAAGCTACAGAAATTCATTGGGTTGGAAACATCTGCTGTGATGGTTAATAAAATCAATGCTTTTTTAATGGATTGTGGCTTTCAAAGTCCAAAATTACTGTCAGATACAAATAGTCTGAAGTGACAGGGTAGCAAAATTACACCAGTCCACTGACTTACCTGTCTCAAGGTGGACTCTGACTGCAACAGTTCTAATGAATGTTTTTCGTCTGTGCTCAGCCTGAATTAGTAAAATTTGCTAGGGAGATCAACCAAATTAGATACCTTGCACACTTAAGAATTCCAGCACAAATTTCAGACAGAATTAATTAAACAATATAAACAATTGATTTGAGAAGGGGGGGAAATATAATATTATTCAAAGCAAAGCATGCACCTTCAGATTTATATTTGGATTTAACATAGTGTTTGTGTGTCTAAACCACAGAGCCTAGGGCTTGCCGATCGGAAGGTCAGCAGTTTGAATCCCCGCGACGGGGTGAGCTCCCGTTGCTCGGTCCCTGCTCCTGACAACCTAGCAGTTCAAAAGCACGTCAAAGTGCAAGTAGATAAATAGGTACCACTCCGGCGGAAAGTAAACGGTGTTTTCCATGTGTTGCTCTGGTTCGCCAGAAGCAGCTTAGTCGTGACCTGGAAGCCAGTACAGCGAGATGAGCGCTGCAACCCCAGAGTTGTCTGCGACTGGACCTAACGGTCAGGGGTCCCTTTACCTTTTTATCTTACCAGGTGCACCAATAAATGAATTCTTTTCATTTAAAGCAAGTGTTGGACACAACAAAGAAGCAAACGTTTATGACTTCTGCTTTTATACTCTCTGCTCAACAATAAAGATTGGGTTTGCTTCGCTTACTATTTAAGCTAGACCTGCACAAGCTGAAGCCTGTGAATTGTTTATAGTCTCTTTCCTGGCCATTTCACCCCTCAGCCCCCTGGATTTAAACTACCTTTAGGCTTGTGGCCCTTTCCTTTCTCCTTGATGGAGTTAAGAAGTTACAGCCATTCCGTGGTTTAGAGGTTGTGGTCATTCCATGAAATACTTTCCTTTGAGGCATTGTTTTCATTCTCCCTTACGTGATTTGCCAGACATTTGAGTTGAGCGGACTATGGTTACCTGCAAAATGAGAAACATCCCAAACCACGAACCCTTCAAAGCATGGTTTGGTAGCAGTTGCTGATTAGCGGTAGCCATAGTTTGCTCTAGTAACAGCTTCGAAATCAAGAGCTTCGTGTGCTTATCTTTAGGTGGCTCATGCCCCCAGTGTTTAACTCCTGTAGCTTGTGAAAAACGTCATTCAGGTTAATACCATATGAACACTTTCCCACGTGTCTTGCTAACATAGATTATTGACATGCTTCTTGATTGCACCTTATAGAATAGTTCTATGAGAATGTTCTATGAAGTTTTATTATGTTGTGATTTTATTTTATTTTTTAACCCCCTTTTTAATTTCATGTGAATTCTTGACTTTTATGTGTAATTTTGGCATCCTAGAATCTTTGCTGAGAGGCAGGATATAACTAAAATAAATATAGGTTGAGAGTGACAATGTGACCTTAGACTCCATGTATTATTTATACACCAGATGATCAACTACATATCGGTTGTCAAATATCTAAACTGTCTTTAGGAATTAAAATGATTTGATACTGATTAGCTGTGTCACTAATAACTGTTGTTTTTCTTTTGTAGAACCAAAGTTACAGATGTCACTGCAGCATCAGGGGCAGCACAGAGTAATGAATACTGAGCAAAATGGCATAAAAGTATATAGTCAGCAAAGGCATGTTCCTCGAAATGACACCAGGCAGCCAAGGAACGAGAAGCCACCTCGTTTTCAGCGAGACAGTCAAAATTTGAGGCACGCCATGGAGGGGAGTGTATTAATGAGAACCAGAGCTTCCGAAAGACAAAATTCTTTGGGCCCTGAACAATGGATTGAAGAGAGAAATAGGTGTGATAGACTTTATGCTCGAAAAGATACTTCCTATCCCACAGCTGTTCACCCTGGTGACTTTCATTTTAAGCGGGACATCCCAGTGCAAAGCAGACAAGGAAAAGTTGCATCACCCATGGAAATGAAAGAGAATTCTGCTGCTCAAGATGCATCTGACAACAATAATCAGAAACAGGGAAGTAGGGAAAACCAGATGCACCATCCTGACAATTTCTATGATAGGAAAACACTAATGCTAACAAATGAAACTTTAACTGGCTTAAAAAATGAGCAGCACTTTGGCATGAACATAGATTATCAAAACCCTGTTAGAACTGATCGTTTTAGTTCTGTACCAAATGGCGACGTGGAGCATTTTCAGAAAGGAAGGAGAGTTGGACCTATTAAACTGCCCGCACCCAACATGGCCACAGCATTTGATGTAAAAATGTACTATGATACTGGGCCCAAAAAGAGATCTGGACCCATCAAACCAGAAAAAATGGTGGAACCATCTACTTCAAGAGAATATGGGAAAAGCTGGCAACCAGGGGATGAATGTTTTGCCCTTTACTGGGAAGATAACAAGGTATGCCCTACTCAAGTCAAATTCTGTTGCTTCTGTTTTAAGTGCAAGAGGCGTATTTGTACTATCAAACTCTGGCTATTGTTTTGGGGAAAGGGATGTTGATAAAATATCCCTGTTTATTATGTATTTTGTGTTTTTTATATTGTGCTTTTGTGTTGTGAACCCTGAGATGTATGGGTATAGGGCTGTATACAAATTTAATAAACGATAATAAATAAGAAAAGTAAATAGTTTGCTGCCTGGGTTTGTAAAGTTTTTCTATCCTGGCTTCCTGTCCTTCGTGGCACTCTGTTGGGTTGTGTGGAACTAAGAATTTTTTTGTCATATCTGTAGTAATGGGTGTTCAGAGGATATTTCCTTAAAAGCAGTAGGCTTGAAGTAATCCTGGGTAATAGGTGTGACACAGAAGGTGGGACTCTTTAAGAGTGAGTTTTCTCTGAATAAGTGATCCTAAAGAGACAGATGCGCAGCCTTGTTTTTCCCTCTGTACAAAGTGTATAAAATGTAAGGCACTTGAGCAATTTAAGGATATTTTAATTTTTAAACAATAGATTATATCTGCATATTTAGTAAAACCTTTAAAATTGAACTGCAGATGCCTTTTTAAGAATCAAGGATATGGAAGAATATTTACAACTGATATAATCAACCATTCATTTTTAGGGTGATTTGTCATCTTTTAATTTTTAATTATTATTCTCTAGTATGTAATGCAGTTTGCCAACTCACACCTCACTGATTAAATTGTCCCGTCATTTAATCAGCTAAAGTATTTGTTGAGTAAATTGCAGATTTAAATCTTTCACTAGGAATGTTTTAAAAGAAAATGGATAAAGTTACTATCAGCTGTTTCTTATACATTTTTCCTAATCCTATTACAGATTGGTTTTTATTACATGGTTTGTGAATATATTGTTGCTTTTGCAACTAAAATATGTGAACTTCTGTTTTAAATGTCTTTCCAGTTTTATCGAGCAGAAATTGAAGCTCTTCATTCCTCTGGGACAACTGCAGTTGTTAAGTTCTGTGATTATGGAAACTATGAAGAGGTGTTACTAAGCAACATCAGACCCATTCAAGCTGACACCTGGGTACGTGATAATAAATTGTATACAAAGAGATAAAGTGCATAGTTCATACGAACAATGAAGCCATAAACAGATGACTGGTAATCGTGCAGAGAGTTTGAAGTAAAAGCCTGAAGAAGAGAATTCCAGAACTGGGTTAAGACCTTCTTTATTACATATCCATCCATAACAATGCCTTAAAGAATCTGCATGTGGTCTTACACTCATGTAATAAAATGTAAATTGTTCGGGCAGTATTCTCAAGTCACTAGCAAAATAATATTTATATGAAAAATTAACAGGATGCTTTTTAAATTTGCTCTGTCAAATTAAGGGTTCTGACGGACAGCTTCCATATGGTTCTATTTTAGTTTAGGAGATGATGAATTCATAAGTCTTAAATTCCAAAGGGTTTTTTAATCTATCTGTATGTCAGGTAAAATTAGAGCTGCTTCCACCATTGTTTTAATTGTGCCTATTATTTTGACAAATGCTACTTAAGTATATTAGATAGCTACAATAACCATAAAGACCTAAAGTGCTTCATAAAATATGCTATTCTAAAAGGTCTTATACAACATGTTCATGGAAAGCTCTATTTAGGTAAAACTAGAGTTTAAAAAACCCTTTTGTTTAGTGCACGTTTATTCAAGAACAATTGGGTTGTATCCAGTGAAGCCCAAACTGCCTCCCACTCAATTAATTCTCAATTTCCCATTCACACTGCTCCCCACTCCCGATCCTATAGAAGCATCCTTGCATGAGTACAGCATTGGTTACCACCCACTGCTTTGAACTCCATTTTACTAAGACTGTCTGTATAATTGGCTATGATGACACTTTATAACTATCTTGTTAATGGTACACAGAAGAGTGAACGCTTGAATTGGCTTTTACATTTTCAGTCCTTTCTGTGCTCTCTTTCTGAGTTTTTTTTGACAACCCAGTAGAAAAATTAAAAATCCATTATGGTTTTTTATAAATTTTATGACTTTAACATAGCAGTTCAAGTAGTAATTACCAGAACTCGTGCTACATTTTTTCATGCTGCTGATAATTCCTCACATTTTATTCTCTTTCATATAGCTGCAAACATATTATGTAAAGTGGAGGACCTTGTTTTTCTTTCCATACAAGCTTCTGCATTCTCTTAGTACTAGTTTCTTCTAGCAAAGAGGTTTGTTCTGTAATTCAGGATGGAGACAGTCAAGTGATGTCTAGAGTCTCCTGCTCTTTTCCGTCCCATCAGATTAGCTCTCAGATTCTCTGGCATCCAGCCCAATCTGAAATGTATCATGTACTGTCACAGTCCCTGTTGTGGGTCCCCATGCAGTTCTTCTTGCACGACTCCCAGATTTCCAGACGACATTGAAGTAGGTTTAGAAGCCATCAGTGCTGTCACACATTTCTGCAGAATCTCGAGGTAGGACCCAGGAGCATTATGCATCTCATGGTTTCTAGCATCTTGGTCCTGTGCAACATTCAGAGCCTCAGTTGGAGGCAGCAAAGAACGCTGCAGGCCATATTGTGGCAGCCACTGCAAAACCCAACTTTTGTCATACCTGTTTCCTGGCCTAGAGACCCAGTACACTCATCATTCAGAATCTGTTTAGTTTTCAGATGTCCTGTGGATATCCAGCAAAGAATTTGGGTCATTTCAGGATGAAATAAGAGAACCCACCCAAAGCTCTCATTTGTATGGATGCATTGCTAAAGATGAGTTATGCTAGTTCAGTGTTCGTCTGATTATGGGCTTGGTCAGCCTGTTGCCTGATCTGAGGGACATCACTGTGCTTTTGTTGCTTGTGGTGGCTGAAGACATACCAGTTCCAGCCAGTGTGCTTCATTATGATACTATGGTCATGCACAGTCTATAGCATCAGGAGGAAAACTGGTAGGCAGGCCTGAAACAGCAGCAGCTGCTGCAAATAGCAGGTGAAAATACAAGGACAGAGAAAAGAGAGAGGAAGAGGCTCAGTGAGTTGGAGGCAGTCTGTTGAGGGACACGTGTGTGTGCCACACCCACCCACACCCCGTGGTGGCCTTTTCTAATTGTCTTGCCTCAGATTTTACATAAGGAAGATACTCATAATACACACACTTAAATTGACATCAAAGCAACATAAATAATGCACCCTTGGGTTTTGGTCGATTTGGAGAGTGCATGTGAATGATTCTCTGGTTGCAGAAGGCATCCAGCCTAATCTCCAAACAGTGGCCAGCAGGAGAGCTGTCCCTTGTTTTGTCTGGATCCTGCAGCTGGAGGTGTACTTAGAAATGGCATTTTTTAATTTTTGCTTCCTTACCATGGAATTGAGTAATTTCCATTTTGTTGAAAATAAACAAAAATGGATAGTCTTTTAAAGGTTCGATCCTGATATGCTTCCAACTCTTAAGCTCTTCACAATATTGTTTGAGTCCTGGCAGAAGAAAAATAGCATACATTGACTAATACTAAAGTATCTGATAAGGAATGCAGGGAAGGAATGTTACTGTAATAAATGCATTTCAGTTATATTAAAAGTAAAAGAAAGGGCTATATGAATTCTGTATATTTCCTAAAGCAATAAATGTGAGATTTTGAATGAGTTCTTTTCAAGCAGACATACAGGTCTTTCAATAGAAAATGTAGATGAAGAAGCTTGCACTTTCCATCGCTCAAGTATTGTTTGAACGTTGAACTTGGCTATAGATATGTACCCTTATATATGCAATCCACTGTTGTGCTAAATGTAGCAGTGATCACAAAATAAAGGTATATGTTTGCAAAAAAGAGCCCAAAATTAAATGCCATCACAACAATAAACTTTTTCTTTTGCAACATTTAAAATAAATTTGAAAAGCATGCATTGTTCAGAGACTTCAGGCTAAATTAAGTCTGTTCTGTAGAAATGTAAAATAAACACAAGATAACTTAAACCTAAAGTGTTATGTTTTTCTCAGATTTCAGGAATACATTGGTTACAAATGATTATGCACTTGTCAGCATTTAATTTCATTATCAGTACTAGTTTTTCTTCTTACTCTCATACGTCCGTGTGCTTCTCAGTAATCTCTAGCATTTGGCTTTATTTCTGGAAATAGAACTTAAGTATCTGGTTATAATATAGCTGTTTATGGTTGCTGTCTAAGAGTACTCTTAACCCTACAGTAGCCCAACAGAAATAATGAGGTACTTTCAAGTGACAGTGCTTCAATAATGGAGCACATCTTTTCAAACAAGTACCTCTTGCATCAGTCAGCAATTTTGAAACTTTTCATCTTCAGAGAACACTTCACTTCAACATGCCTGCCAAGGCGCTCTTGTGCATTGCAGAGGAGTCTCAAGCATATTTTAGGTTGCACACAAACTTCACAGGAGGCACTGGTTAGGCCTGATGAGCTGCGTGTGCCTTAGAACAAATACACCAAACATTTGGAAGTTAGTTATGTTCTGTCAGCCTTTTAGTCATTACAGAAATCTGAACATTAAGTAATACTACTGCATATCTGAAGTCTCTTTCCAAATTCTCACACTTTAGTTTTAGCTTATTGGTAGTATGTTGGCAACCACCAGTAAAATAAGACAGTGAATTGGCATGAATGCTCTAGGTAAGGGAACATATCCTTGTCCACATGAGCAAAGCTGTACTCTGTGTATATGAGGATAAGTGCTTCTGTGTCCATCCCACAGAGTGACCAATCTGAGAGTGACTTCTCTTATCAGGGTATCTGGACCATTGTGTTACACTAGAGAGGGGTAAGGAGAATTTTGCTACCCACAAGGTGAAGATTATGTGTGGTAAGATGATCATCTGTAAGGCTCCTATTTGTAATAGGAAGAAAGTAAAACATTAGAAAACAGTTCATATGCAGTTGCTGTGTGCTGGTTACCAGGAACACAGTGCCCAACCTTTGTGTTGTGTTTTGAATCATACACACACACGCACACGCGAAAATCACTCTCCATGAACTCAAATTGGGTTAGCAACCTTATTATTGAATAAGTAGTGAGCTGTTATAGGGGCCTGTACTGCTGTTTACATGCTGCTCTTGAAGGTTCTTAACAAGTGCTACACGTCAGTTTAGAGGTGGGTGGGGAAAAGGCTTTTAGCATAAACTAATAAAACTCTTTGATTTAAATGAACTTCCTGTATTAGCAGTGAAATGTGAATCTTGCCTTCATTTACAAGTAGTTTCCATAGTAGCACTGAAAAGTGACTTTGAAACAGTTCTAAAAACCTGTTTTCTGTTGATTTGACTGCAATGAAACTAGTGCCATGGGTGCAAACCATACAAAGTGACAGACGGGTATATATGATTTTTGAAGAATAAAAACCTACTTCTACTTACTAGGCACGGTTGACATAAAAATGTGTGTTCGTTTGGGATGCTGATCTGCTGGCTGGTCAACACACCACCTATATTTGATTAAAGTCAAATATTCCATGAAGTCAAAAATATTGGGTAAACAGTAGCCAGTCTCTTTTCTTGATCATGATGTCATCCAGTAGCCTTGGTGGGAGAGGGAGGCCCACTTCCCCCCAATGCTGCTGGAGACAGGATTCATTTTTCTCACACATGCATGCATGCACACACTGTATATATTAGGAGCAGACTTCTTTACCTCACAACTCCAGAAAACTGCATATTTCTTTCCAGTTAAGCCATTTGGTCTGGCTTCTTCTGTCCATGTGCTGTAACTCACACAATTTGTGGAAAGGCTTCAGATAATTAAAATAGGATTGTCTGTCTTTTCAGAAGTCTTAATAGCGATAATCACAAATGATAAGCAGCAGTTATTGGTGAAATCATCTGGTTTGATGAAGTCAGATGCACTACTGTGCCATTCAGGGATGACTTTATGGATTATGTGACATCAGTGCATTAGTTTTATATGGGCCAGTACTTGTCTTATGTCTTGTAAAGTGCTGCTTGTACCTCTTAGCATTTATAACTTTGAAGTGAATAGCTGAATGGAAGCAGTAATCACTCACACAGCATTCTGAAAGAGGTTAGTATGGCTGCAATCCATCTGTTGGTCTGCCACAGAGGTGGGGAACTAGATCTGGCCAGTGGGCTGAATCCATATAGACCCCATGGACCAAGTTTATCACAATGACATACAGTGACTTATTTTTGCTTGTGCAGATAATCATCGGATTCTCATGGATGGCAGAGCTCTACACCCAGTGCTTTGTAACCCCTGATGATCAGCTGATTGGCAGTGCAGCCAGGTCTTTATCTGCCCACACCTGATGTCATATGTGATGCCAGGTGCAGAGTTTATGGGCATGGTTTGGTCATGGCTTGGACCCATTTAAGCCTCAGGCTGGAGATGCTCCACCCCATGGGCTCCACCCCACTCCATAGACTTATTATGCACTTCTTTCATAGTGGAATGAGTTTTTGGGACTCAGATACACCATTTTTTATGTGTATGCCTGAAAACTATATTGTGGAGCCAAAACAACAACATCAACAACATTTGTGAGTGAAGATATATAGCTACACTTTGCAGAAATATGTGATTGGCTATGGCTTTTTGTTTAATTTCCACTTGATGGAAATTCCTATGTGTGCTCTTAGGTGATGTGTTAAATGGCCTTCTGAATGTAACTGGAGCAGAGATGCATTGAAACCACATCAGTGGTGGTAAAACAACAAAGTACTGTGTTATATTCAGCTAAGACATCCCATTAATGCAAGGATGTTAGCCTGCACAATGGGAATTCGCTTCTTGTGTCTCTCCCATCTGCTGTAGAATGTTGGCAGAACCCTCAGAACAAACTGTGGAGGGAAGGGAAGACATTTTGGGACAGGAGAGGAAGTCCCATTCTGCAGGCAGAAGTTATTGTATTAGTGGGACAACATTATAAGATACAACCATGTTTTTTTATTGCTGCATCTGAAATAGAGGCTTAGGGGAAGGCTGGAAGAGGACATGACAGGACGATTATCAAAAATTAAGTGCAAACTATGGAACCAACAATCTGGATTTTTGCACTGAATAGTCTTTGAATTCTGCCAAACCGGTATTTTGTAAGCAGGCAGACTTTGGTAAATTATAGGAATAAGCAGGATTTCGGATACTTAGAAAAGTAAAATTTCCATCAACTTCAGTGTCACAGAGGAACGAAATGTTTCCTCTCCCATTTGGGTGGGCAGGTGGAGAGAATGAAAGATAAATTTTTGGAAGAAAGTAGAATATTTACTATGCTTTTTATCATTTCCTGGTGAGTTTCTACTTCTACGATTTAAGAGAGCTTCCAGGACCTACAGTTGGCAGTGAGGAACCTCAGCTGAATGCCCAAATTAGACCCACCAGGCCATGTTCACATAGCCACAGTCGCCTGCTACTCATCTGCTTACAATACATCAGGAATGGAACAGCTAAAGTCATGGTGGCGAAGGAACAATCCAAAGCCTTAGGGTGGTTCTCAGTTGTTTTGTTGCAGCCCTGGCTGCAGTTTACATTTGGCATTGAATGCCACCCTGCTTCTTTAGAGTGCAACCACAGCTGCCTTATAAAAGTTGATTGATAGTTAGACAGCCCCACCCACCTGTCAAATGTGGAGGGCTGCATTTTGATCTGGCCCATCCAATGGAAGTGGTTCCCCTAGCCTATGGAATTGCAAGGGCCTTTGTTGTTGGCATCTGTCTGTCTCAAGAGGCAATGAAGTGCGTCTGGGTTAGCAGCACTGAGGTGACATCCCTGGGGCACAAGCCTGGGCAGTGTGTAAGGAGGTCCTGGGCTGCCCAGACAGGACCCCGCCCCCTTCAGCCTCACTGATGTGGCCTAAAGGAAAGTAGAGCAATGTGTTTGGCACCAGCTTGGCAGACAGAAAGTCTAGAAATTAAGCTGTAGTTGACGACAGCTGAGCCACATCTCTTTTAAAAATCACAATAGAACTGGGTCTGAAGGTGAGCTTAAGGTGTTCTGCAAACAGCTCCACAGACCTCATCCCATGCTGTCCAGAGACTAGCACAGGGATGTTACCATTGGGGGATGGGACAGCACTGTAAGGTTTTGCTGGTGCTCATTTGCCATCTCTAAGCTCAGAGTGATAAAGAGAGAAACAGTTTTCTTTAGCTTTGCACATGAAGTGATACTGTTAGGAAAATACCTGAATATTAAAAATTAGTAATTAAAAGGATTTCCAGTATTGGAGAAGGAGCAAGAAGCAGCTGCACTGAAGGTAGTCAGGCATATTTCAGTTTTGCCAGTTGAGAATATAGTAAAAATAGAGTTGAAATAAAAGGCCTTAATACCATCTTGGCTTAGGAACAGGCTTCCCTTCATGCCATCAACATTACCCAGAAACAGAAGAAATGAAACCTGTTAACTGGAGGCAACCATGATCTAGCAGCATACACCATAAGCACTTTTTTCTACAGAGGGTTGAAATTACTTTGGAAAAGTCTGTTCCCTGGCCTCCACTGATCACATTATTAAGGACCATTAGTACATCTAGATGCTTGATGATACTGAAGTACTCAGCAGTATATCATCATTATACAATTCCACAGGAACTAGACAAAGTTAGCCACAAGAAACTCAGGTCATTTTAAAAACTAAAAGTACAGCCCTCAGGTTTCTCTCTCAGAGTATTGCTGAAAGATCAATAGCTTCTGATTCCGGACTTCCATTTTTATCTTCATGAACCTAACAAAAGTGAATATTTACTGAGGCTGAAAAAAGCTTTTTGTTATGCATGTTAGCTTGTTTTTTTTCTTTAAAAAATGGCACGCATATTTTGAAACAGCTGTTTGTTTCGTGTGTCAATAGGAATATGAAGGTTGACAAGATTTTTATTTTACACCTCTAGAGTAAATGGGATAGATTGCCTTATAAATTGTCTTAAATGGTGACTAGAAAACATTTTGAGGGCATAATCAGCAATTAATAGCAGTATTTTTAAAAACTTTGCTTGCTTTAAAAATTAGAAAATATTTCATCACATATTTTTTCAGTGTTTACCCAGATTTACCAACCACACACTCTTAATGCACAAGACACACACGCAGGTACATGTGCATGAACACATATTCTATTTATTTTTCTGGGCCTTCTCTACTAGGCAGCAGTTAGGGCATGAGAGATGTAGCAGTGCAGCATATAAATAAAGGAATTTGAACAAAACATCTCATTATTTTCAGTATTTGTGCTTCACTTCATCCCACAACACTCCCCAGTACGAAGGCATATTATCCAATGTTATATAGGCTAGCTGTTTGGACCTAACACATTGATTCAACATTGATTCAAAAAGGGTTCGTTTTTTCAGGTGGAAGGTATTCCATTCTGAAAGCTATTTAATTTTGGAGTCTGTTATGAGCATAGACTCCCAATCTTGTCAAATAACACTTGGTATAGGCATATGCTGTGAACAGCCTGAAGTCAGAATTAGTCTAGTAAGCAAAACAAGATGGTTTATTTGATTGAATTCCTTCAAGTATAAATTACAAGTCCTTTCTAGCTTTAATTCAGTTCTGTTTGCTTTTCAGAGAGATCTAAAAAATTCAGTAACTTTATGCTTTTGAAAGCATACTTGTTTTAATCTTTAAGACATTGGGAGAAGAGTTTATTGAGTTTTGAGATGGAGCCTTTTCTAACTTGTTGACTATATCATAACTGAACCACATTTGGATGTCAGGCTGAACTGTGTTTTAGCATGTGGAAAATAGTCCTAGACTCATCCAGTGTTTGCACACTTCTCCTATCATCCCATAAGTTCAAAAGGAGGAATTCCGAAGCTTCTCCTTTTTCTTTAGGATAGCACAGTTTCTTGTGTCACTTGGAGCTAAAAAATAAGCCAGTTTCAATTACAGTTCCTTGTATGGAAGACATGGGAGGCTGCACTTAACAAAAACCAAAAGCAGGAGCTTTCAAACAAATCTCAGCCTTGTAGGAAGGAGAAGGGAAGGCAAGAGGAGCATGTCAACTTAGGAGGAGGCTAAGCCCTTTCACAGTGCATTAAACTCTGGTTTAGCATGACATTCAAATACAGCCAGTATCTTGGCAACTTGATATTATTCAGGTCAAAAGACCTGTTGTGGAGAAAAATATTGTTCCCTGCTTGGGACATAGGAATAGCCAGTGAAAACCATGTTGCCAGTGCAAGTGTGTGAGAGGATTATGAGGCAGCATTCATATTTTTGCTGAAATGTGATAATTTATTGATATTATGGGTATGTGGACAGCAGTACATTACTTTTGCAAAAACAAAACTCAAACCCCTAAATGTTTTGTCAAAGTGAACAAATTGTTTTGGAAAAGGACAGCACTTATGAACTGTGCCAGATGAACAATAGTTGGATTTCTAACCAATCACTTGCAAACAATTGTTATCCTTTCTTCACAATGAGAGCCTTGATATTTCATAGTCTCATTCTGACTGCTAGAATGATTTAAATATGAAAGCATCATGTGTCAGAGCCATTAGAATAATTGAAATGTTAATGGACATGACCTCCAACCCCTGCCAGAAGAAAGCATTAGGCTCCAAACCTATCTTTGAAAAACAGGTTTTCAAATAAGTCTACATTAGTTTGCTCTAGTGAGCATATGGATAGTGAGCAAAGACCGGAACCACACCAGAAAGAAAAACAACTGACAAGTGGTGAAAAATTGGAAATATTCAATGCAAACATGATGCAAAATAAACACTAAATTAAATAGATATGAATGCAATATAATGGATGAAACAATTTCAGTGGGACTACTACAAACACTAAATAGGGGGAAATATAGCTGGTTGCATTAACTGCTTAAGATTAAGATGACATGTAGGAGATAGATGTAAAGACTTTGTGGAACAATGAGTAAATAAATTATTGAAAATTGAGAAAATGTTAATCAAAACAACCTTATTTACCAGACTTTCTTGGGTGAGGTCTACTGTTTTCCATTAGAAGATTTCTGAGCAAATGTAGTCCACAAGGATCAGGAAGAATAAAAAAGGAAACAAAAACAGGAAATAACTGAAGAAAACTATCCTCTTTGAGACCTGACCTGGAAGGAGTACAAGTCTCCTCTTAGCGAACAAACCAGTGTGCCCAATAAAAGCATAGATTGATTCTTCATTTCTCCAAAACACCAAACCACTGTTCCTGCTTTCATAGAAGGTGGGTTGGAGAGGAAAATGTCGCTGGAGGAAAATCCCATGTGAACTAGAAGTTGTAAGATAAAGGTCAAGAGAGAGAAGAAGGCCCTTTCCCTAAAATAAAAAAATTCATTTTAAATCTGGTTCTCATTGGTTACATCCTCAAATAATTTTATTCATTAAAAATTAATCCTCCATCAATTTGTGACTTACACCAAGATTTTGAGTCTTCTTTGTTCCTCCTCTTTTAATTACCCAAAGAAAGGCTTCAATTTTTAAACAGGAAAAGGATGTTGTTTTAAAAAAGGAAAAACAATCTGCTAATGTAAGATACATACTTTGACATCAAACAATGTCATGGAAACTTGGAAAACCCAAACTTGCAGCACTAAAATGACAAAGGAAGAGCAAGAAGAGCAGATATTTTTAATCTAAAATGCCTCATTGCAGCAGGAAACAGGGCATCTCTTCCTTCATTTACTTTCTCTTCTACAGTTTATTTTTCTCTGTCCATTTGTGTTATTTTATTTTGGTGCATTCTGCACTGATTGACACCTTCGCTGCCCTCCATCAGAGCCTATGATGCAATGGGTGGCCTTTTGGTCATGTTTGCTTTTGGTAGCATTCCACCCTCCACTGATGGGCATGAATGTCTTGTTGAGGGACAAAAAGTGGACATGTACCCAGTCATTGCCAGCATTTCCACCAGGCACACCAAAACCATTCATGCCGTCTACCAAGTGACATTGTGAGAGCAAGCCTCCGTGGTGCTTGACACCGATGCCAATATTTCCAACCATCACAAACTTAGGGTTTTCTCTACTTTGGTTCCATTCATTTTGTTGTTGACAGCAGACTGTTTTTTCAGACTGAGAGGTCACAAGTTTCCTTTGACATGGCTACAACACCACACCTTAGGGACTTGACCCATTCTCAAATTTGAGCATGGCAGGTGCTGTTGCCCTCTGCTGGCATACTTTGCTATACTAAGTGCGGCATAACCAGGATGCCTGATCCCACACTGAAGGCCTGCCTTTCAGTGGTAAGGGACTCATTAGTTCTAAAACTAATGACATTCTGTACCGAAGCTCCATACCTAGGCCCACAGTGTTCCATATGCCCTTGTCATGGAGGTTTCTCCAGATGTCCTGTATCTCAGTCAACAGAGGCACAATTATCCTGTTAGTCATCTTCACATTGATCCAAGAGGTCGTTCCCATCTGTGAAGTTCAGTTATCTAACCATCCCAGGGCAGCAGATATCCCAAGCATCTGTTTTGACTTGTGACATGTCATAGTTGGGAGCTATACCCACCAGCATTTGGGACCAGACTCTGGCACTTTTGCTTGGTGTGGCATACTGTCACCATGGTTCACATGCAATATGCAGTTGACTTTTTCTTGCTTCCTGGAGATGACATTTCCTGTTCAAAACCTTTGTCTCCTCTTAAGAGAGATGGATCAGAACCCTCTTCTGAAAGGAGACAATGGAATCGTTATCTGATGCCTTGAGACTTCAGGGCTTCTATTCACTATCCTGAGAAAGGTAGATGCCTCTAGACAATTGTAGACCTTCTTGACATAATTCCTTCATGAGACCAAGGAAATTCAGGATTGCCAACATCCTTCCATTCCTTTATGTTGGGAATTTGTACCCATAGACTTGAAGATATGTACTTCCACATAGCGATCTGACACAAACATCACATCCTGCACATCCTCAGGGAGACCATTGCTTCCAACTCCTCCTATTTCTACTGGCCATGGCCTCCAGAGTATTCATAGAATGTGCGACTTCTTCCCACATGCTATTTGGATGGTCATGCACATCTGGCCTCTAGCATACCTCAAAACCTTATTGTATTGGCTACCAGTGTGGTTGCTGGACCTGCTCACACAGCCAGCTGCCAAAGTGCCTAGAATCAATGACTTCAACTGTGTCACCTCTTCATCTGTTTGAAGAGGCACCTTCTTTAGCATTGGCTCCTAGATATGTTCCAGCAGGGAGTGGGCTCCCATGTCAAATGTCTTCTTCCACCTTTGGGAGTTCAGTGCTCCTTGTGGTGAATGCAGATGATCGACTTGTACTGCTCTTTCACCCCTCAGTCCTTGACTGCTGTAGTTGCCACAAACACTCACTTTTGTGTGGGGTGGGGGCACATTGTGGGACTTATGGTCAAGGCTGTGTGTTCCTGAGTAGAGCCAAGGCTTCTCATACATTCCCCTGAACTGCTGGCCATCACCAGAGTCTTCAGGTTCTCCTTTAGGAGCCATACCATCCAAGTGGCCTCTGACAGTGTTCTACATAAACAAGCAAACTGGCACTGGTTCAAGGATTCTCCTGCCCTTACACTGGAGTTGTGGAACTGGTGTGTACCTAATGTTATCATTCCTGTGGTGATTTATATTGCTGTGAAAGAAACTGACCCAGCAGACCACCTGAACCATACTTCATTACTCTGGCAGGTGGACCCTTGTGCTTTCCACTACCTATTCCTCTATTAGGAGATGCTGCAGGTAGAGGTTTTTGTCACCTTCACCAACAGGTAGTGCAATGATAGTTCTGCAGCCAGAAGGGCATGTACAGGAGACGTCTGGTGGTGTTTTCTTCTTGAATAACTAGTGATGGGTCAACAAATTATCACTGGCCGTAAGAACCACTTTCTACTAGTCAGCTGTAACATATAGCTACATCATGATAGTGCGACAATATTAATGCAATTACCAGCACAGATATTACCTGACAGAGTTACATAACTCAGTTTGTGATTTAGGGGTAGGTAACCTTTTTTCTGTCTTGGTGCAAGGGACCACACTCAAGTTGTAGTCTTGGCCAAGACAAAGGTAGGTGCGGCTGTTCAGCTGTTCCCAATCACCAGGGCAGCAATGAGACAGAATGAGATCTCCACGGCCTCCCAGTTTCCCCCTCCCCACAATAGAAGAGGCTGCTGGTCCTTTGAGAACCACAGCTTCATGGTGTTCCAGGAACCTTGAGGTAGTACTTCCCAGTAGTTCCCAGCATATCCCGCTTCCCTCACCTTTTGTGACAGAAATGGCAAGGGATGCAGAATCGCCATTGGGAACAATCACTTGAAGGTGCTCTGGATACCTTCCCTTGTCCTTTGCCTTTCCCAAGTAGTTTCAAGCAGTATCCTAAGAGAGCAGTGGTCCAAAACATCCTGTTTGGACCTGTTGAGGAGGCTGGTTCTGGCCCATTGGCTGCTGGCTCCCTGGGGATTATTTCTGACTAAACAGCAAGAATCTTAATGTGATTGTGTTGCCAGTTACATAGATTGATGAGTATATGAATCATTCATGTGATTTATTTGACAGCTGGTATTAATTCCACAGTTTTTGACACCCCCCCACCCTTTCAACGATTTAGGATTTTTATTCCATTAAACTAAAAAGAATTACGACACAACTGCAGTTGTTTCTATACTTAACTTGGGGCTAAGCTCCTTTGAGCTCTATGCTGCTTACTTCTGAACATGTAGGTTAACTAGCAAAACATAGGTAAAGGTAAAGGGACCCCTGATCATTAGGTCCAGTCGTGAACGACTCTGGGGTTGCAGCGTTCATCTCGCTTTATTGGCCGAGGGAACCGACGTACAGCTTCCAGGTCTTGTGGCCAGCATGACTAAGCCGCTTCTGGTGAACCAGAGCAGCGCATGGAAACACCGTTTACCTTCCTGCCAGAGCAGTACCTATTTATCTACTTGCATTTTTGACGTGCTTTTGAACTGCTAGGTTGGCAGGAGCAGGGACCGAACAACAGGAGCTCACCCCGTCATGGGGATTCGAACTGCCGACCTTCTGATCGGCAAGTCCTAGGTTCTGTGGTTTAACCCACAGCGCCACCCGCGTCCCTCTTAGCAAAACATATTGAGCTTTAAAAAGCCTAGTGAAATGCAACCTTTAGTTTTAAATTAGAAATGGAAACAATCTGACAAAGAATTGTAAGCATTTACCCTGTTAGCCTGAACTTTCCCAGTTAGAAGAAATCCTTCTCAGTTCTCTGAGAGGCTGCAAAGCTTGCAGACCAAAAAGGGATCAAGCTCCACCTATTCACTCCCCAAGTTTGTTTTTAATCAGAGTTATCTGCATTCTCCATTCAATTCGTGCTGGTAAAACAACTGAACAAGTCATCTCCTACAGAAAGACTGTCTGTGCTTCCTCAAAGTCTACACCTTTTGAATTTGAGCTAATCTGCCACGAACAAGCCAGTTGTGGGAGGCCATGGCCATAATGACCCAAGCAATTATGGCCCTCTTCTTAGAACAGCCCGTTCCAGTATGAGCTTCCTCTTTTCATCTGCAATGAGAGCCCCAAGAATGTAGCTGTGAACTGGCATAGTACTTTGCTGGTCAGTGTGGTAAGAAACTTGTCACTCGCTAGATGGACATGGTATGTGCCACAAAATGGTCTAGCTGCCACTGTGCCAGAAACCTATCTGCTTCACTGGACAATGTAGCTTTGGGAAAAGGTTTGGGGCACATCAACAGCTCTTCAGAGTCTTAGGCAAGATACAAGAGACATGCCCCAGTCATTCCGATGTGAGGAAACCCAAGTTTTTCTGCTCAAGCTAATGTCTGATCTGATTTACAAAGGCAAGGTGAAATCTATGTCCTAAGCTCATTCCTAACCATTGTCTTAGCAAAGCATTCACATGGCTTAATAGCAACTGTGGAGAATACACTTTTGCTGCTGATGGTCTTTGGTGGATGCTGAGAGGGCATTTGACAAGTTCACTTGGGGCTACTTTATTTGAAGCACATCTGGTCATAAACAGCTTCAATAACAGTACTATGTTTGGTCAGAAATGAGGTATGACTGCAGACCAGCTCCACTGCCAATCCCCACTTGATTTAGCATGGTCCCAAAGTCTCTTGTTAACCTTATCTGAGAGTGTAGCACGTGCAATTCCCTTTCAAATATCTGAAGCGAGGTGTAGGGCAACACCTATGCCAGGGCTGGGGAACCTCTGGGTTGTGGGCCTAATTAGGTCTGCTAACCAGTTCCATGAAACCACACATACCTGCCCAACACCTCCCATCATATGTGATGTCAGATGTGGGAGAGGTAGGGACATTGCTGTTAGCTCACAGTCGTGAGCCATATCGTGTGCACCTGAGGGTTTATTGGCAATGCAGGCCTGCTCTCACCCTTGTAGTGAGAGCAGAGGCTCCAGCATCAGCTTCCTTAGAGAGTTCCCCATAGGGAATTCATAACACAGCTATGCCTTGCCAAACCAGGACTTGAGCTTCAAGCCTGCTTGGCTTTTCCTTTGTATCCCAGTTTGCGCTGCTGCAGAGGAATGCCAGGGTGCTCTCCCACAGGCCAAATGCAGCTCCACACCCCTGGCCCAATCATAACCAAAAGGTTTGAGCCACCTGGAAAAAGTGTAGACCAAAACATACACATGTGCTTTAAGCACAGCAAGAAAAGGACAGAGCTGCATTTAGAATAATGGGAAGTCTTATTCTAGCAACTATGAGCTAGCTTTTTAGGTCACTTACTAATTTCCTCCTCTTTTCTTTGCTTTTAATTTTTCTGACAGGAGGTTGTACTATAATTTAAAATAAGAGGTGGGGAAGCAGATGGGAGGCCAAAAATTCAAGTTTAAATTTAAATTCATGCTCAGTGGTGATAGCTATTGCAGTTGTTATATGTAACATCTGTTGAAAGAGCTGCTGACACTTTAAAAGGGTATCAGAAGTTTAAAGGTGAGAAATCTTCTACTTAATATGTTTTGGTTTTTTCCTTTACACTAGGAGAACTGAACTGGCTTTGAAATAAAAATAGGGCCAGGTGTTCCTATTTCCCCCCGTGCTGTTCAATCCTTTTTCCATTTATCCCTGCTAGTTCTTTCTGTAAATGATGTGAACAAGAGGTCTCTCTAATGTCACAGCAAAACATGGGAGTTTGTACAAAAAAGCACTGATAGAACTGCCTCCTGCTCCTCTTTCCCCTTACAATCTTAACCTCCACCTAGTGTAGCTGGAGTGAGAAATTTGCACAGATTGTGAAAAAGAAACACAAACGGTATTCTGGACCAGACTTCAATTGACTTGTGATACTTCAATCTAATATACAGTCTATGTTACAGGTGGGGAAACAAGATCCAACCAGGAGACCACATCCTGAGCTCCACCAACTCCCATCCCCATTTTGTGTCAATCTCCTGAGGTCACTATGACCTTTAGCTGATTGGCACTTGCAGCAAGCCCTGCTTTGTGCAGCCAGGAACTCCGTGCAGCTGATCCCAGCAGGGCTTGTCGAGGAGGCTGTGCTGGCTGCACCATATCTTTCTCCCTGCTGGAGCAGCTCCTGCACTCCTGCAGCAGGGAGTTGGCAACTAGGAAGTCTGTAGAGCAGCTAATCCCTGCAGAATTTATCTTCTTTGGGAACCCACATGCTTGCATGGTCTCGCTAAGGCAAGGCTTAGTGTGTCTTGCAAGCCAGTGAGCAGTGAGCACCCAAGTGTTCAATGGAATTTCCTCCAGAAACTACATAGGATTGCAGTCATTCTGAGCCTCATAAATAGTACATACAAATGCTATGAACTCTTGTGTGTTCTTATCTCTATCTATCTATCTGTCTATCTAATCTATCTATCATCTATCTATCTATCTATCTATGAATCATCTATCTATCATCTATCCAAAAAATCTAAAAAAATGTTTAGGGGTACTCTCATTTTCCTACTCATATTGAAATACTGCCCCTCAATGAGGCCAGACTTAGATTCACAAAATGTTTAGGGTTATGCGACCTCTGTGACACCCCCCCAAAAAAGCACTGTATCTATCTATCTATCTATCATCTACATTCTACAGTATCTCTGTATCTATCATCTATCTATGAAGGCATCAACAGAACAGCTTGCATTTTGGGATTGTTTTTGGGGCATGACTATGGGGATTGTCATGGTGAGCTTCCAATTCAGTAAGGAGCAACAATTTACGGCCAAAAAACTATAATTAGTATTAGTTTTTTAAGTGCTTGCTGTTGAATGGCCTTCTGTCACATATGATTTCGTTGAGATTCCTGCTTTTCAGGGGGGTTGGACTAGATGACCCTCAGGTCCCTTTCAACTTTACAATTCTATGATTCTATGATTTTGTTTATGTGTGTTCCACCTTTCCTCCAAAGATCTCAAAGCAACATACAGTATATGGTTGCCCCCTGTCCGCACTCCATTTATTTTCACAACTCTGTGAGGTAGGCTAGAGTAAGAATGTGTGACTGATCTGAGCTCACAGAAGGAGTTTCAATGCTAGGTCTCCCCAGTTCCAATGTGTCATTAACTTGTGCACCATGCTAGCTAATCACTCTGAGCCAACCTCAAAGTAGTGTGGGACATACATATAACTATAGTTTTCAGAGCTTGTCTATTTATTCATTACAGACATTATCTCACAGATAGGGTTCCTACAGAAAGAGTAGTAACATTTTTCTGTTTCACGTTTTCATTTCATCTTTGATGCTTCTGTGTTGGATCTTGCACATTAAGTACTTGTCACTCCAATGCCATGTTTTTAATCATTAAAAGTCCCACTAGTCACTTTTCTGGCCCTTTTTTGCAGATTAGTTTGTGTAGACTTTTGGGGGGAAAGATGTTCTGTCTGTACGGTTCCTTGCTACACATACAGCCTCTCCCTGCTCTTTCCAGTATCCAGATTTCACTTCTCAGGCGTCTGTCCTTAAGAAAACATGAGTGTGATCTGGCCCAGCCATTCTTGTAAGGGCCATTTTAGCTAAAGATCTTTTTGCCTAGAAAGGGAACTTCTCTCTGTATAATTCTGTCAGTGTACACTTTTAAATAATGTTGTTTACCTGCAGGAAGAGGAAGAATTGGCTTATGAACAAACTTTAGAATTCCGAAGAGGTGGTGATGGACAGCCCCGGCGGTCAACACGGCCTACTCAACAGTTTTATCAACCTCCAAGAGCTAGGAACTGATAATGGGTAAATACTGATGATGGTCATGCAGGGTGAGGGGGTGGGGGGGTAGTGCACAAAACCTTTTAATGTTTGGTTTTGCAAACATTTATCACTTCCTAGAATAAGAGAATAACTCACGGACGTTCTGTTGGAATTTACCTGGTGCTGTCTAGAAATTTGCACTGATGGGGCTACTGTTTTGAGTCAGCTAAAAATTACTAGTCATGGAGATAATCTCTGAAAAGGAATGGGTATCTGAGGCAAATGTGGTGGACCTGGCTAAAGCATTTTGTTTGTTTGTTTGTTTGTTTCTATACCCGAAGGTCTCAGGGTGGTTCACATAAAATATCAAATACATAAAATCAAAACAAAACCAACAACCCAATAAAAACCCTCAAAAGAGCCAGCATTTTAAAAAAGGCTATAGGATGTAGATCAAGTCAGGCAAAGGCCTGGTTGAAAAGGAAGGTTTTTGCCTGGCGCCTAAAGGTGTACAGTGAAGGCGAAGGCAAAGCATGATCATGCCTGGATTCCTCTCTGTTCGGTAGATGCTAAAAACCACACCAAACCACAAAGCGGCTCAATATAAATGGTGAGATACTTGATTTGAGAAATACTTGCCAAAAGCATTACCCACCACTGGGTCTGTGGATAAAAAAATGTGACTAAAGCCAGTATGTGGCAACCATGGAATTGATTGGTTTAGGACTTTATATTAATTAACAGTATAAATCTATGCTAGTGTCGATTGGTTGCAGTTTATTTATTTATTATTTATTTAAAATATTTATATATCTCTGTATCATGAAAATATATCACAGCAGAAATTATAGGGAAACTAAAAGGAGGGAAACCCCAGGAGTATGGGAACAGAATATTATAAGGTATTTTTAAAAAATACTGTTTCCTAAATTAAAAGTATTATATAATTCAATAATAGAGGGTGAGAAGACCACACTATTGTGGGAACAATCAATAATTATCTTAATTCCAAAACCAGGAAAAGATTTGAAAGACCCAGAATCGTATAGGCCAATTTCCCTAGTAAATCAAGATGCTAAAATATTGACAACAATAAAGACAAAAAGGATGAATACTTTCATGTATAAATAAAAACCAATGTGGCTTTATAGCAGGAAGACAGGTGTCTAGTTTAATAGGACTGTGTAGAATGACCAGTGTTAAAAATGATTATAGAAAGTTTAGGATTTGGAGAACGATTTAAAGGATTAGATTTAGACTTGAGGAACAAGGCATATGTCATGGTGAACGATAGTATAACAGAACAAATAACACTAGCCTGAGGTATAAGGCAAAGATGCCCCCTTTTCTTATTTGTATCGGTCACTGAAACTCTGGCCAATGTAATTAGAGAAGATGGAAATATGAAAGGAATAAACAGTAAAGGAATGGAGAAGATAAGCTTATTTGCAGATGACACCTTGCTAACAACTGAAAATCCATTGGAAAATATGCAGGTAATAGAAGCACATTTGGGGGGGAAATTGGAGAAATAACAGGGTTGTGAATTAATTGGTCCAAATCAGAGATGATGATATTTAATTATGGTGAAGATGAAAAACATTTTTTTTAAGAAAAATAAAATAGATATAAAATTAAGAAATGTAATAAAGTATTTGGGAATAAATATAACAAGAAACTTAGAAAATTTAGAACAAGAGAATTTTAAGTAATTAAAGACTGAAATTAAGGAAAAGCTGAAGGAATATTAAAAAATTAATCTTTCATGGTTTGGAAGAATAGTGATAATTAAAATTTTGTCTAAAATAATATTTTTTATTTATAATGTTACCAATTAAGATATTGGAGACAGAGATAAAGGGTTAGCAATGTATGATTAATAAATCTGTAATGGGGATAAGAAACCCAGAATTAATAAAAGAAGATGGGGTATAAACCCCAGAAAATAGGTGGACTGGGTCTTCCCAACATAGTTATATTATATAGCAAATGAGTTAAGATATATCATAGACGAGATAATAGAACAAGGAGAGTTAGAATGGTTAGAGAGTGGTACACAGGAAATGAGGGAGAAGTTAGTGAATAGATTTTTCATCAAACCAAATAGGCAGTGGTGGGATAATACTGAAAATCCCTTATTAAGAAACATCGTTGAGATATGGGTAAAATATAAAGGAAAGTTGATACCAGTAAATTTCCCACTAACTCCAGTGGTGATGATAGAAGATTTCCCAGTAAATTTTAAAAAGGCAGGCTGTTCCACAGGATTGGGCCGATGGCTGAAGGCTTGATTTCTTCTTGTTGTCAAACGAGTCTCACCAACTCAGGGAACGACCAAAGACGCAAAATGATCTCAGTGATAGAGCTGGAATATCAGGCGATCCCTGCGGTGTACAGGAACCTTGAGCCTGTCTTGGGGGCAGATGGGCAGCCAGTGGAGCTGTTTGGACAATGGCGTCACATGTTCTCAGCCGGAAGCTCCCACCAGTGGAGAAACACGCAGCCACAGCCCTCGCCCAAAGAGCACAGAATGCCAAGTGGCTTTTGAGGCTGGGGGAGGAAACGAGGGGCGAGAGGGAGCAGAAGTGTGGAATATCCACAAACAGGACATGGCTGGCTTGGAACTTGGACTTAACAGGAGCAATCCATTTGGCAACATTTTCTTGTGGGTCCCCTTTGTATCTAGTTATCTTCCAAGGTTATAAACTGCCCTTCTCTTTTTCTATATTTCATATTTAGTGTACAGAAATTACACTGTTTGATGTGATTTCGTTCCTGACATGTTTCTTCTTCAGAGCTGTAGCCTGTTGGGCTGCTTAGAGACAGCGGTTGCCACCTTTACATGCCCGGCTTTACTGGGATGCCAAGTATGGCAGCAGGGCAACATGGGCTTTTGTCAATATCAGAAGCACCTGGGATGGTCCTGAGCTGGAAAAACACAAACTACAAAATTGTGGAGCCACTTCTCCGTTTTGGAGTTCATTGCTAACATGAATGTGGGTGGTGATTTTTGCATTCTTTATTTATTAATTAAATTAGTATACTGCCCTATACCCCCAGGTCTCAGGGCAGTTCACAGGATAAAATCACGATATAAAAACACAGAATACAGAATCAAAAGAAAAAAGAACAACCCCCCTCCCCCACAAAAGCACATTTTAAAAGGGCATTGAATGTTAGTCAACCAAAGGCCTGGTTAAAAAGGAATGTTTTTGCCTGGCGCCTAAAGGTGTATAATGAAGGTGCCAGGCGAACTTCCCTGGGGAGAGCATTCCACAGATGGGGAGCCACTGCAGAGAAGGCCTTGTTCTCGTGTTTCCACCCTCCAGACCTCGAGGAGGAGGCACACGAAGGAGGGCCTCAGAAGATGATCTCAGGGTCCAGGTAGGTTCATATGGAAAGAGGCGGTCCTTGAGGTATTGTGGTCCTTAAGGTTTTATAGGTCAAAACCAGCACTTTGAATTGGGCCTGGAAACTAATTGGTAATCAGTGCAGTTGGACCAGGATCAGTGTAATATGCTCACACTGTCTTGCCCCAGTGAGCAACCTGGCTGCTGAAATTAATGAGGAACACTCATTAAGTTAATACCTAACCTACTACTGGGTTCTTTCTTTTCTCCTAAAAAGTGCTTCAAAATCCAACAACAGTGCGTCTTACCTCATAATGTCAAAACAGCTTTACCTCAAAAAATAAAAGTTATTTGAGACAAAATTGCGGTTTTTTGAAGCCTGTTTTTGATTAACAATGGGAGATGGAGTGCAAATGACAATGAGATCTCCATGTTACCTTTTTCCTCTCCTCCGCATTTCAGGTATTTGTTGTGGCAAAAGTTCTCAGTGTTCTCCTTGGTGCTCAAGACGTCTCACTTTGCCTCATGGATGGCACTTGATAAAGAAGGCTGGTACAAGCAGGGAGTACGTATAGGATGTATTCAACAGAGACATTTTTTTAAGTTCCATGAAGCTAAACTTTTTACGTATGAAATAAAACCATTGTTAATATTGCCATCAATAAAAGCCACCATGATCTACCCTGTCCTTGCTTTGTGTCTTTTTTTTTTACTTGGCTGAGTGCAATCCTAATTCCTCGTATTTTAGCATCTGAAGAGGACATTATTTTCTGTGGTGGTACATTTATTAGGCAATCCTATGGCAAGATGAGCAGTTTAGGATGCCTGAGCTCAGGCAGCCCCAGCTGGTGTTAAATTCCCAACCCTGTTCAGCTGAAGCTATACCAGAGTTATTTACTCTCCTGAGCTCAGCCAGGGCTCAGCTGGCTGGGTTGAAGGTGGCTGAGCCCCGGATGGTGTAAAATGACCAGAGAGGAAAGACTTAGGCTGGTTCTTACACCTGTTCAGCTTGGTCACATGACCTGGCTGTCACGAAAGTACCACAAAGAGATGGCATATGAAGTGTTTAGCAGACAGGTAGTCTTCCAAAGAAAGTCAAACAGCAAGTCTAGGAGGTAGTGTTTGAAGTGCATCACAAAGCAGGTCCAGGAAGCAGCAGTCTAAAAAGTGTGCCATGTAGTTTTACTAAGGATATTTATAATAACTGGGGGAGGGGAGAGATCTGGCAACTTGCCAGCCCAGCCATACCCTCCTACTCAGAAGTCCAATTAACAACATCTGCCTCTACTGGACAATCAAATACTTAAAAAAACCCCACCCAATTGGAGACACCTTCCTGTGCTAAAAATCAAATTCATTGCACTGGCAACCCAATATAGAACACTATTTTAAAGGACAAAAGGAGCTTACAGTCTAAAATTTGACACAGGGGAGGGAGATGAGGCAGGGGTAAACAGGAAATAAAATTTTAAATGTTTCAATTGCTTGTGGTTAGGTTTAGTTACAGGCTTACATGCAGTAGTGCACAGGAGCTAGGGGACGGAGCCAAAGGTTTACTACTACAGATGAGATTAGAGACTCAATAGGCCTTTCATTCTGACTCATAATGCTGCTTTTCCACAACACAGCCTGGATTGTCTCACTGTGACTTCTGCAGTCAAGGCATGGAGAGAACTAAAATTAGATTTGTGAAAGTCTAATACAAAGTAGCACAGAAGTTCTAAACCACTTGAAGCACATATGAAATATGTATTATGCTTTGCAATTGTACTTCTAAAAACACTACAGATCACATTCTAAGTCTTGCATATCAGTGTTACAGCTGATGCTTTATATGCAGATGGTACCAGGCTCAATCTCCAGGGATGACTGAGAAAGACTTCTTCAAACCCCCGGAGAGGGGCTGCCAGGCAATGCTGATGTGGATGGAACAATAGTTTGACAGTGCTGCTTCCTGAATTGAGCCATAAGCGCTTCTTTAACACACATTGGGACCCCAAGATGGCATGATAACCACTGAAACACTCTTTTCCCATGCTCTCGTTCAGTTTCCCTCAATGGTCTAAGCATGTGAATTGCTCTGATCACAGACTCATGGGCTACTAGGTTGCTGCTTTGGGAGACACAATGAGATGGCAGCTCAATCTTTGTGCCAAATGTGCATGGCAAAGGTGTATTGTTCCACCAGCATGCAATCCTGTTCTCTGAAAGTTTTCCCAATTCAGGATATCTGATTGATTACAGATGTAAACAGGTTTGGTGTAGGCATTGGGTGTGTACCTTATATCAGCCACCTGCTGGTTGATGGATGGAAGGGCTTGACCAGGGTCAGGTTCACCGTATGACACACACTGCATATGACCCACTGCCCTTCAGCCCTTGAGTTGGGCGTCTGGACAAGAAACAGCCCCACTACCGGCTCCCTTAAGGGGATTAAAAAGGAATTATTGCTCTTATGTGCAAAAGTCAATGGATTTCAGTGTTCTCCCGCTTTTAGATATTCCCTTGGGCCACTTTTTAAAAAATGCTACTTTGGTGCATTTAGATTGTATTCCAACAGTCAGATAATGGAGGCATTTAAATTGGACAAGAAAACTGGCTTCCAGGTGGAAAAATCAAAATTAGAAAGTGAACTGCTAGAACCCAAAACTAAGAATTTGTCAAGAATGTATAACTTGCTGCTGAAATGGAACACTCAGGATGAAACGGTAAAATCGGCTATGATTAAATGGGCACAAGACGTTGGACACAACATTATGTTTGCTGACTGGGAACAGTTATGGACCACAGGTATGAAATTTACGGCATGTAATGCCCTAAGAAGAATATTATGAAAATGATATACAGGTGGTACATAACTCCAGTCAAGCTTGCAAAATTTATCATTTGCCCGATAATAAATGTTGGAAATGTAAAGAAACTGAAGGTACATTTTTTCACCTTTGGTGGACGTGCCCAAAGATTAAGGCTTTCTGGGAAATGATATATAATGAGTTAAAAAAGGTATTTAAATATACCTTTCCCAAGAAACCAGAGGCCTTTCTCCTGGGCATAGTCGGCCAAATGGTGTTAAAAAAGGATAGAACTTTCTTTATGTACGCAACAACAGCAGCAAGAACACTCATCGCAAAGTATTGGAAGACACAAGAGCTTCCCACACTGGAAGAATGGCAGATGAAAATGATGGACTATATGGAATTGGCGGAAATGACTGGCAGAATCCGTGACCAGGGAGAAGAGTCGGTGGAGGAAGATTTGAAGAAATTCAAAGACTATCTGCAGAAACATTGCAAAATTAAGGAATGCTAGAGTGATGTTGGATTGAAAATAAGTGGCTTCCAGCTGTACAGGATTTAAAGTTATATATAGATTAAGATTAAGGATTAGGATTAAAAAAGTTTAAGGAAATGGAAACTTGGTTTTTAAGAGGTAAAATTTTAATGTTATATTATATTAAGATTAAAGATTGGGATTAAAAAGAGGAAAGAAATTGCTGGACAAACAATTTGAACTGGAATACAAAAGAGGAGGTATGAGGAGGTCCAGAAAATTAGTAAATTTAAAAATGGAGATGAAAAGGAGGTATTGTTTTTAACTGTTTTCTTTTTTGTCTTTTGGTTTTTTTTGTGTTTTTTTTTTCTTTTTTCTTTTTGATTATGTATTGTGTATTTTTGAACTGTGTATTTCTTTTTTATGTTTTTATGTTTAATTTTTTTATTGATGTGCTCTTTTTATTGGAAATCTTAATAAATATCATTTTTTTAAAAAATAGATTGTATTCCAACAGAAAAAAATGCAGCACATTATCCATTTTTTCAAAGTACAATAAAGGCTGAGATACTGTACACATATGCCATGTAATTGTATTATATACATAGCAAGAAAAACTGTCATACAAGAGTTTATATTTCATAATATATCTACCTAGGAAAAGGTAGATTGTCACCAAATTTGTTCATAAACTGAAGTCACTCTTAGGCTTCGAATCATGCAAATTTGTATGTATTGTATACAGAGGCATGGGGGGGCTGAGGGGGCTGCAGCCTCAGGCACATTTTTGGGAGGGGGCGAGATCAGATGCCTCCCGTGAGGAAGCTGCTGAGGCTGGGGGTGCTACACCCCTGATTCTATACACACTTACATAGCCGTTAGCGCATTAAACTAAATGTGAGTTGTTTTTCTGAGTAGACATGCATAGGATTGTACTGCCATCTATTGAGACATGACTGTTGAGGAGCTATTTCTGCTGGAATTTAAGGTGCAGTACAATGGTTTACATTTATCTGCCTGTTGTCGCAGAAGCAACAAGACATCAAGAAATTTGTTGAAAGAGACTATTTAGCTCAGGAATGGGGGAAATCTACATGATGTTGCACATTGGTCAGGGTAGCTGGGGTTGTTGAAAGTTAGATTTGAGCAAACCTTGGTGACCTGTTCTTGTCTTAGATGAAGCATAGTGAGAAGCAACAAGCTAACAGCTATGGGATCATCCGCACTTCCACTTTGCCTGTCCCTAGAAAGAATGGGTCCAAGCAGCTTTGCCTTAGCTCTGACACTTTCCCCTGGAAAACCTGCTCTTTAGTGCTAAACTTGAACAAATAGCACTCCGTGGACAACGCGATTGCCATTCATTCTGATTCAGTGCTTTCCCAGGGGAAAGCAGTAGAGAAAGTGCAAGTGTGGACGAGCCCCATGTTTCAATCACAACAGTCTCAGTATGGAGGCTATCAGAAAGTTCACCTTGCAGGCACCGTTGTTAAAGATTTCATCATTAATGTCAAAGGTCGTCATTTCCAACCCACAACCTCAAGCTACATAACTGTTTATTATGAGAACTGTTTTGTTTTGAAAAATTCTATTTAGTCTGGAATAATGACATAAAACACGTCAGATAACAGACAGCAAACAAGAAAGAAAAAAGTTACAGTCGCTTAATGCAAGATAAGTACATTTAGGGAAGGAGATAAAAGTGCTATTGTGCTAATCCAAAAGAGAATATCTTATTTCATGATGGCTGTATTTTCTTGGGAAACTTTGATAAGAGAATGAAAAAATCTTTTTCGTGTATGCTTCAAATAGAACACTATAAAGCTGCCCCATGGGCACGAATGCTCCAAGGGGGTAGCAGGTATTTCTCCTCTGGTGCTCGCTTTAGGGCTGAACCCCTTACTTGAGGTTCTTCACAAAAGCTAGCTTCCCGGGTCAGAGTAAAAAATAAAGAGAACACAACCTGGCAAAAATCCAGAAGCACAGTGGGCTGCTCAGCCTTTGATTGTTTATTTGTCGTGACAAAGATTCAACCTTTCTAAAAGCAAAGAAAGGAGAACCCTGAGACAAAGGAGGGTTTGCATTCCAAGTCTTACATTTGGCGCAAAACGGTAAAAAAATCCCACCCCACAAGTGTCAGTGAAGCGTAGGCAAATGTCAAAGAGACATCCCAAAATTGGGAGGGGTTACAGCAGGTGAGGCAGGTCAAAATTGCCTGTGTCAATCAAAGCATTTGGAATTTACAAACCGTATACCTTTCCAGACAGAATTTACATCTGGCATTGACATTCCAATGAGTTTCTGCAAGTTACAAACAGCTGACATTGTGTGCAATCTACATAACCAGCACATCCTATTCAGTAGACAGTCTGGGTAAACAGAGTCATGCTCAGTGCTATTTTCCTAGAAAAAGGTGCCAGA